GAGACAACTCCATTGCGAAACAGCGATAACCTCAATGAATTAGCGATAAAGCACCCAAAACACTGCGTCGTACTTCACGCGGGTATCGCTTGTGCTTACAGCGTGTGGGAATGCGGAAAATATCATGGCACGCGGCTCACTGATAAATCGCGCGCCGCTCGCACTCTCAACTAAAGCGCGCCGTTCGCAATACAGTGCTGTAATGGCGCGCGCGCCGCCGCGCCGAGTGTCGGGTAGGCGCGCCGGCGGCCGTAATAAGGCGCGCCGCTCGCTGGCTGCGAATGATGGCGCGCCGCTCGCACTGCAGCCTCAACTATGGCGCGCCGCTCGCACTGCTGCTTCAATTAAAGCGCGCCGCTCGCACGGCAGCCTTAAATAGGGCGCGCCGCTCGCACTGTAGCGCTATCATGGCGCGCCCGCCGCCGCAGCGAGTGTCTGAGAAGGGCGCGTATTTGTCGCAAATGACCGCGGGGACCGCCCTTTTTCGGCGACATATAGTCCCCTACCCCAAACTGACGGACCTGGAGCTTCGTGCCCATCCGGTCGACTCAACCGTTCTCCCGGCGCTCTGTTACGCAGCTGAGACTTGGGCCGACACTGTAGCCTCGTCGGAAGCTCGACGGACCCTCATATGTTTAAGTGCAATTTTAAAAATTAGATTAAGACTGCCCCCCCCCCCCCCCACAATGATCGGCCGCCTTATCGTGGCGTGGGGGTGACACTGGGTGTCGAACTGCGATGCACAGCCGAGTGTATACTCTGGCGGGCCTCCCATTCTGTGAAGGAGTAACATTCTCCAATCGATGGTGGATGCTGGATGTCTCAGTTGTTCCATCCTTCTGCAGTGGCTCCGATCACCGCCTCCTTCGAGCGAAGATATTATTAGAAAAGAAAACCTTTCCAGTGCCGCGAGAAGGAAAGAAGTCGTTTATGACGGTAACAGGCTGGAAGAGCTCATATCAAATTGTGACTGGCCCATTGAGGAGGACCCAAAGTACGACTACGATCGGTTTCTGAAAGGATTGCGAGCCTGCGGAGTGTGCGCCTCAGTGACTTCTGAGAAGAACTTGGAACGCATTTCGAAAACCACCAGGGAATTGCTCGAAAGAAGAAGATTTCTGAGGCAGAATCCGAATGCAACCCATCTCGAGCGACTGATAGCCAACGCCTTTGCAGAACAGTTTTGCAGGAGGATCTCAGGAAGTACAGGCAAGCCAAGATACTGGAATCAGCCGAAGGAAGACGAACTCTTAAGAAGTGCCGAAGGTATGGAATCGATCGCGAAGAACTTCTGCACCAACCTCTTCCGCTCATCAACACCCGTGCCGATGCCCGTTGTTCCCGCTGGAGAAGTACCACCACGAATTCTATCTGCTGAAGTGCGCATGGCGATTCAGACTATGAAGACGTCCACGGCTCCAGGACAAGACAATCTTTCCGTCGAAATTCTGCGAGCCGCAGGACAACGTCTACACGAGATTCTCGCCTCGCACCTGACATCTTACCTTCAGAAGGAGAGGATTCCCGACCAGTGGAGAACGTCAAGAACCATCCTTCTTTTCAAGAAGGATGAACGGGAGGATCTTCGGAACTACCGTCCAATATGCCTGCTGAGTGTGCTATACAAGCTTTTCACGAAGATTATCCTCGCTTGCACATCCAGGACACTGAATGAAGCTCAACCCCAAGAACAAGCTGGATTTCGCAAAGGATTCAGCTGCATGGACCACATCCAGACTTTTTCGAGGGTGAGAGAAGTCTGTCGGGAGTACCTGCAGTGGGTGATGAAATCACTGGACTGGGACGAGAGAGGCATACGAGTTGATGGGAGATTCCTTCCAACCGTTGTTTTGCGGACGACATCGTTCTCTTCTCGAGCAGTATCACTGAAGCAGAGACGATGCTGAAGGAACTGAACGAAGTAGGGAAGAAGATCGGATTGCGAATAAATCGGAAGAAGACTCAGTTCATGAAGAACGCCCTTTGTGACAATGCAGAAATGGAATTGGAAGGCACCCCTATCATGGAGACGTCTTCTTACGTGTATCTCGGTTCAATGAACATAGAGAACGACTTGAGGGAAGAACTTAACAGGGAACGAGAACAGCCTGGGCCGCTTTCGGGCCTCTGAAGGAAGCCACTCAGACAATCGACGGGACCCCTCCGCCGGACCCTCCGAAACTGCCAGAGTCGCGCCGGACCCAGTTGACCAATGAGAGAAGGGCAAATGGGCGGTCCATCGCGGTGACATCACTGGCAGGCAAATGGGAGGCTTCTCCGGCCCTGCTGCAAAGGTCCGCCATTTCTCCGGCGCGACTCTGCCAGATTTGGCGGACTCCGCGCCGGAGAAATTTGCGCGGCGCGTGTCCGCCAAATATGGGAGAGCCGCGCCGGAGAAAATGGGAGGGGTCCGGAGCAGAAATGGGAGGCCTCCGGAGCAGAAAATGGGAGGTATCCGGAGCAGAAAATGGGAGGTATCCGGAGCAGAAAATGGGAGGTATCCGGAGCAGAAAATGGGAGGTATCCGGAGCAGAAAATGGGAGGTATCCGGAGCAGGCTGCGTATCGATTTGGCGCGTAGCAAGCAAACGTCTAACTCCACGGTGATGAGTCCTCTGTTTACGCTCTTTGTCCATATTTTAGTCGCCGTTTCTTTGATTTTGTTGTTTTTGCGCGTTTCTTTACCGTTTTTTTTTCTTTTCCGCGTTGCTCTTCGTCGCGTTGGCGTTTATGTTGCTGTAAGTTCCTCGTTTTCAGGTTTATGTTTCAAATTTTCGTGCGGTTGCACTCAATCACCTTCAGTGTTTGGCTCTTTCCGACTTGCTGAGACATCGTAGACTATTGATGGAGTGGTTTTTGTGATTAATTCTGGATTTTCGAAACAATGAGGTTAGTTGCGCAACTATCTAGTGTTGTTGTGATGAAAGTATCGTCTAAATAATCCGTTTATTGCTATCTCCACCGATGAATCACTTTGCCGTTTGCGTGGTTCGCATCTCGCGTGTCTGTGTGGGATTATCATGCGGTTTTCCGCGAATCTATATATATATATATATAAAACTCAAACACTGTACCGTGTTTGTTAGGATGTTTGTGGCTTATAGACTCCTTTGTATGTGAACCAAAGAGGCTGAATTTTGTTTCCCTATAAATGAGACACGGCGCATCAGATAGGCTACTTTTTTCGACAATTCGCTGAGTCCTTCTATCGATTTATTGATTTTGTTTACTAAAATCTAGGAAGATGAAGGCTATACCATTCATTTCTCCAACTTAAGTAGTAAGGGGTGGTAGAGATCATTTACAATTTGCGGTGAGGAGCATGCGGTGTTATGAAGCGAGCCGGTCAAGAAAGAAGACTATTCACCACGGATACTACACTAGCGCTGGAACTGACAAGGAGGTGAAGCAGGAGAGTCACAGAAGATGTGAACTGAAGAAAGTGGAGGACTGGTAAGTTTACATCTTGAAGCACACCCTATGCTGGGCCACTCTGGACTCTCGGCCCGGGCGGGACCGGGGACCGCAGCTAGTTATCAATATGACTGTTTTTTACATACCATATTTTGTTTTCAGGGCAGAGGTAATGAACTGTGAAGAGCATGCAATGCATTGTGCAGCATTGCTTTCAAAATTTTCGTAATGCAGCTTTTTTACCTTCAGCTTTAGCACTTCTACTCTTTCTGTTGTTGTTGTTGATTTTGACTTCAGTTTAGTATACACTATGTTTAGACGTAACCAAACCAACTCAAGATATCTGTGTTTACTGGTATGGATCCCATTTACGATACAAAGGTTTTTCACCGAGAGTTTTGCGCCAAAACCAGTGCGGACATTCGTAGTGAATACTAGTAAGTCACAGCTCTACTTCTTTTCTCGAGGTCTCGGGAGTTTTGATTTTTTGATTGTCTTCAGATGCCGCTTTGCATTCCATCAATGCAAATGTTGAGCCATCTTCAGGCGTTTGCACGTTTCCCGCGAACAGTCACTTCCCTGACCGTTTTATTCTTTGGTATGTTCAATTTACACTTTATCACGAGTTATTGATTGGTTGGGCACGGAGCTCATGCGTATGCTTGCGGCGTTTCGCGCATCTGTTATACAGAGGTTTTCAATCTGAGTGTCACGGTCGACGTGGTTCACCCCCTCGAGAGCCGCGTCGCATGGGTCTCTCACGTAGTACACGACCGCACCCGGTAACGCGAAGGCCTTAGCGGATGCGGCCTTGTGCCACGTGAGAGACCCATGCGACGCGGTTCTCGAGGGGGTGAACCACGTCGACCGTGACACTCGGATTGAAAGCCCCTGTGCACGAGCCGCAGTTTACCAAGGTGTGTTTATCCTCATCTAAAGTACGCAGTAAATTTTGCAGTCTATCATTTAGATCGCCTATTGCATGGCTGAAGGACAACTGGTTGTTGTCACCTTACATGCCAATAAATGTGAGTAATGTCAAGAAAGGACTGAGCTTGCTTTCCAACAACGTTTAATTCACTGCGTTTCTTTCCGAGACGATAAAGCAGAAGAAGTTGTGTTCCGTGAGGCACCAACCACCTGAAGGCATGGATAAAATGGTTTCTATCGCATTGAAGAGAGCTGCGGCTAAGGTTTGATATCTGTTTAGTCAAATTGTTTGATTTTGTTGGTGAATCCTTGTTTTTACTTTTCTTTTTTCATGATGTTAGCCTCATATCAGGGGAAGAGGACTTTTGTTTACTGGGCGTTTCAAACCACCATTTATCCTCAGAATTCAGGAGGAAGACGAGCTTGGGCTAGCTGAGTATGTGATGTCGGACGGACCCGCCCATGATTCTACTTTCATGCAATCACAGATTGTGAGATTTGACATGCGTTTATCGGATATTAGTGATTACGGATTTCTAAACTTAGGTGGTCCAGAAATGGTCTCAAATCATAAGTTTGTTCTTGGAAGCCATCCAAGCATCTCAATCTCCCCCAGGTATCATTGGTATATAGCATTTCTACTTATCCTTTGTTTGAATGAATGATAGTACAGTAGAGCCGACTCCCGATGACACTTTATTTGGTGGATCCTTTACTTGCGGACTCATAGCAGCACGACTACGGCACGTGGTGAAACAGCGTCTTGATATTGCGCGGAGCTTGCTAGCATTAATTCAGCTCTACTCTGAAGACAGTGTGGGTAAAAACAGTTTTCTCAAGTTTGTGGTATTTCAATAAGATTTCAGGGCGTTACGACTATCCGATGTTTGAGTTTTCTGATCTCAAAAGGAAACTCAGCAATATCATCAATAATTATAGATTGTTTGACGATCAGCTGTCTCTGAAATTGGCAAAGTGGGCCTGAATAGACGCATGCGTGTCCCAGATATGCGAAATCTAGTGTCTCGAAATCTTTCTAGGGATAATGTGCAGGTGTCTCTATGTAGTTGGTTCTTCAAAGGAGAGGGCGTGGATTGGCTGAGTAAGGTAGCGCACATAGGACGCTTTGAAAAGCTGACCCATCCCCGGAATTCAACGTTTTTCTGGACAAAATACTCGAGGTATAATTCAATGCAGTGTCGTTCTTGTTTTGTCAAACAGATTATGTCCAGGCTGGATTACTATTTCTATCACCATATTCCGCGCAGGTTTTCTTGGTCAGATCTTTAGCATTGCATGAGCAGTATGCAGTTTTGATGGTAGGTGTCTTTGCAAGCTATAATTTTCAAATACCACTGATTCAATTCATGTTTTTCCATTATGTCACGCAATGGACTTGGTGCATTTAGAACCTTTGCACTTTATCTGCAAGCAGTATCCCTGATGAACTTCGCCCTGTCACGACATTCAGTGCCATTGCATAATCTGGAATAGGAAAACCCTTGAAAGTGTGTAATACAAGCAGCTTTCTAATAACTTCAGTATGTACTGGTAGCTCTTTTAGGCTATGACCAATTTTAATCTCGCCGCTAAAGGAGTAACCGATCAGAACAAGGCGCTTCTGACTGCTTTGTCACCTGTTGGCAAAACCCAAGAGATCAACCTCGGAGATTACTACGTAATGGTAAGATGTCTTTCACATATCTCAGAAAAATTTAATGGTGTTTATCAGGCTTAAGAGGCTTTTAAGGCTTTTAAGAGTCGCCGATGGTATGGGCCAACTGCGACTGCAATTTAACTGTTCCACAAACCGTTCTTTGGTTGGAAAGGTTCATTCTTCGTTACACCAGTGGGTGTGAAATGATTAACGATATAAAATGATTTTTCGAAGAAGTTTGAAAAATTTGAAATAAATGTCTTATCTCTTCGTTCTTTCTTCTATCTTCTATCCACAAACGCTAGGGGTACGCTAGGGGTGAGAGGGATGGGGTAAAGACGGGGTTGAGGGTCGCGCTGAACTCTTACCCGGGGGGGGTCGTATTCGGCTGATTTGGGTGGGGTTTAGAGACAAAGTCGACAAAGTTTAGAGACAAGACGAAGTCTGCCGCAACATACTGTAATTAGCCCTAATTAAGCTCCAAACCCACATGGGGTTTGGAGCTTAATTAGGGCTAATTACAGTATGCCGCGGCAGACTTGCGGAGCACAAAATCGGGAGGCTCCGGCGCACAAAATCGGGGGGCTCCGGAGCAGAAAATGGGAGGTATCCGGAGCAGAAAATGGGAGGTATCCGGAGCAGAAAATGGGAGGTATCCGGAGCAGAAATGGGAGGTCTCCGCCGGAGAAATGGGAGGGCTCCGCCGGACAAATGGGAGACCCACCGCTGGGGAAACGCCGCGACCCTGCCATTTCTCCGGCGGAGGGGTCCTATCCGCTGCCTGAGCAGTGACCAACTGACGGACCCGGGGCTCCATGCCCAGCTGTTCACTCAACCGTTCTCCCGGCGCTCTATTACGCAGCTGAACTTGGAGCGACACTGTAGCCACGTCGAAAGCTCTACGAACCATCCGACGAGCGCTTGAGCGCAGTCTTCTGAGGATGAGCCGACTCAAACAACACCTTCGCGGTATGGATTCAAGAAGAATGTCCCGCCTTTGTGACCCAGCGAAATACGTTGCGAAAGCGAAACATCGATGGGCCGGTCACATCATGGGAAGAACAGACGACAGATGGACAGTAAGAACATCGGAGTGGATCCCTCGCGAAGCGAAACGTCCCGAGGAAGACCTCCAACAGGGTGGAGGACTATATGTCGCCGAAATTGGAAGAGTCCCGCGCGGATTGCCTGCAGGAACGCATGTCCGCGCATGTACAAGGACGCGTATTTGTCGCAAATGACCGCGGGGACCGCCCTTTTTCGGCGACATATAGTCACCCACCCCCTCCAACAAGATGGGCATGGTTGTCGAGAGAGACACTCAATTAAACATTTCTAGCGAAGTTCGTGCAGTTACAGCAGGTATGCATTCCCTCCACGCTGTTTTGATTACTCTACCAAGTCTGATTTGATTTATTTGATTTATTTATTCAGATACAGTCATAACACAAAGAGACAGATAGACACGTGTTAACAAGAATGATCGGCTTTGAAATCTTGGAGCCTTTCGAAAATGTATAATGTCCCATCTTTTAGAGTGCCAGCGAGCCTGCGGGTAAAGGCTAGCTGACGTGACCCGTTAAAGTATGATTTTCAATAGAACACCAAGATTTTGGAAAAAATAATTCGCCATTTATGCTAATGCATGGGAATAAAACTCTGAATGGATAGATATTTTTAGAAAAAGATGATGGATAATTAGAGAATGAAATTGTTTAGTCATAAGCGTGATTTTGAAAACACTTGAAAAGAAGAAAGATAGAAATAAAAAATGGATGCAGATTTTCTGGCTGCAGCAGACATCGTCATTCTATCGTAACATTGATTGAATTGACCGAACAGAGCATAGTTAGTATCCTGTATAATGTTATCAGAAGTATCCTTTGGACCTCAAACTCTTTAGAACTTCTCTGTTGAATACAAATATAGATGTAGTTTTGATAGCCTTCTTAGGGAGTGCGTTCCGTGTTCTTATGACACGTACCAAGAAAGAGTCGTGAAACTGTTGTGTACGTACTTTTCCCACTGTGAGTCTGAGGTCGTATCCTCTGGTAATATTGTTGAAATTAGAAAACACGAAGAAGTCTTGCATTGCAAGGTTGATTTTCTTGGTTACAATTTTGTAGACAAGGTTTTGGTCGTAAATTTCTCTTCTCAATGAGAGTGAGGAAGCAGCAAGCATGGAAAGTCGCGATTTGTAAGATAACCGAAACAACTCTGCTCTCGCAAATATTCGTGCCGTATATGACTTCTGTACTCTTTCCAGGGTGTTGATCATTCTCTTTGTAGAAGGAGACCATACAGGAGTGCAGTACTCTAGTAATGGTCGAACAGGTAGGAAGAGGCGGAAAAGAGTCTCAACTTCAGTAGTTCGAAAGGCATGCTGTATGTGGTTACATCCAGCATGAGCTATTCTAGCAAGCTCTTCTGTATGTAGTACTCAAAGTTGAGGTTATCAGAATAAGTGACACCGAGATCTTTAATGAGATTTATCACTCGAACTTTTTGATTTCTCAAGTAAAAATTGTGAAATCGGGGATGTTTGGTTCCAGCAAGCATGATAAATGTTTTTCCACCGAAATATCAAGCTCCCATTTAATTGACCAATCCTCCACAGCATCTAAAGCTTTTTGCATCAATTCAGGTGCATTATAGCAGAAGAGTTTCGTATCATCGGCATAGATGGAGCAGAAGATATTACTGGGTAGACATAGAGGTAAATCATTTATATAAAGTAGAAATAGAAGTGGTCCTAAGCAGGTTCCTTGAGGAACACCGCTGCTTGTTTTATAGGTAGAAGAGAAGGATTTATTGATCAAAACTTGCTGAGAACGGTTGAGCAGAAAGGTTTTGAGAAATTTCAGGAGACAACTTCTATTCCATATGCTTTTAGTTTGGCAAAAATTAAATTCAGTGGGATGGAGTCAAAAGCTTTTGTGTAGATATATAGCACACAGTGACAAATCCTCTCTCATTAATTATTTTCTGCCATATGGGAATTGTCGAAATGAGAGCTGTCAATGTAGATGTTTTGGGAAGAAATCCATGTCGAACTGCATGTATCAACTGGTTATTCTCAAGATACCTGTAGATTTGTTTGCAAATTATCCTCTCAAAACCTTGCTCACTGAGGATGTCAAGCAGACTGGTCTGTGGTTTTTTGGTTGAGATTTGTTGCCTTTTTTGAAAGGTTTCACAATTGCAGTACGCCATAATTCTAGAATTTCTCCGCGAAGCTGAAATCTTTGAAACAAAAGAGTAAGGGCAGGAGAAATTCCAAGAGAAGCTTTTCTCAGAAAAACATAAGGAAGTTCATCAGGAGACGTAGATTTTTGAGAGGCAATTTCTTCAAGGCTTGGTATACGGTGTCACCAGTAATGTCTAAAAAGTCGATTTTAGCGTTTGTGAATTGTGAGCATTCAACTGCAGAATTCGAAGGTTTTTTGTAAACCGTTTTGAAAAAGGCGGCAAATGCTTCAGCCTTGTCTTTATCAGTTTTACAAACATCACCGAATGAATTATATGTAGTATATAGTGCCGATACTGTTCGTAACTTTTAGATTTTGATTGCAGAAGCGGTAGAAAGTTTTAATATTGCGACTTACTTACTTAGATACTTAGATGGCCCGTCCTCACGTGACGTGCGGGCCCCAGTACAGAAGGTGCCATTGATCCCTGTCCCTCGCTTCGGACATCCACGATCTTCTTGGTCGTCGTCGGTGGCTGCGTCCACGAGTTCCAGGGGCGAGAATCGTATCCAGCTGATTTCTCAGCCGGTCCATGCGTTCCACCAACACGTCTGCCCATCTCGTCGGTGGTCTTCCTCGAGGACGTTTGGCTTCGCGAGGAATCCACTCAGATGTTCTTAGTGTCCATCTATCGTCCGTTCTTCTCATTATGTGACCGGCCCATCGGTGTTTCGCTTTCGCAACGTATTCCGCTGGGTCACGAAGACGGGACATTCTTCTCATATCCGTGCTGCGAAGTCCGACTAGATGTTGCTTGTGTCGAGTCATCTTCAGAAGACTGCGCTCGAGCGCTCTGTGGGTGGTCCTTAAAGCTTTCGACGTGGCTACGGTGTCGGCCCAAGTCTCAGCTGCGTAGCAGAGCGCTGGGAGAACGGTTGAGTCGAACAGGTGGGCACGAAGCTCCGGGTCCGTCAGTTGGTCGGTGGCTTCCTTCAGAGGCCCGAAGGCGGCCCAGGCTGCTCTTCTTCTCCTGTTAAGTTCTCCCCTCAAGTCGTTCTCCATGTTCATCGAACGTCCGAGATACACGTAAGAAGACGTCTCCATAATAGGGGTGCCTTCCAATTCCATTTCTGCATCTTCGCAAAGGGCGTTCTTCATGAACTGAGTCTTCTTCCGATTTATTCGCAGTCCGATCTTCTTCCCTACTTCGTTTAGTTCCTTCAGCATCGCCTCTGCTTCAGTGATACTGCTCGAGAAAAGGACGATGTCATCCGCAAAACGAAGGTTGGATAGGAATCTCCCATCAACTCGTATGCCTCTCTCTTCCCAGTCTAGTGACTTTATCACCCACTGCAAGGCCGCGGTGAACAGCTTCGGCGAAATAGTGTCGCCTTGTCGAACCCCCTTCCCAACTGGAATGATTAGGGGGCGATGGAATAGCTGCATCGTTGTTGTACAGTCCTTGTAGCAGTCGGCTAGTGTCCTCACGTAAGCTGGTTCCACTCCTTGATCGACTAGCGCAGACAGGATGGCGTTGGTTTCGACGCTGTCAAAGGCTTTCTCGTAGTCGACGAAGGTTAGGCGACTACGTGCAACGATTTCTTCTTCGGAAATCCTGTAAAGAATTCACGCTTCAGCTTTGCAGAAAACCTGCGGTATTTTTGTAATCCAGTCTTATGTCTAGCTCGGTATAATCTAGAGACTTTGGCTTCCAATTTTTGAATTTTCTTTGGATACGCGAAAATGTGTTTTTGATCAATAAGTCAACGATCTATTGGGTTCTTTAATACAGTCAAGTACGCGGCACGTTGTCGATTGTGCGGACCTAGGGCCCGCTGGGCTCTATAGGGCATTTGAAAAATCGTGACGATGGCGCGACCACGCGCGACGGGTACGCCACTTCCGGAAATCACATTTTCTTGGTTTCCATTTCTAGTTGAATGGTTTTTTGCTTACGTATGATAATATTTAGACATTGCAAGTGACTGAGCTGAACGTTGTGTTGATGCCTTCTTGTATGAGCGTTCTATGCTTCACTGGGCGCAAAGCCCGCAACAAAGTCCGTCGTCACGGTTTTATAAATGAACTATACTTCAGTCCCGACTCTAAACCTGTTGAACCATTTATGGCATACCCCTAGAATTGCATATGAACCATCAACGTGTCTGTCCTATCCTAACACGTAACTCCAGCAATTTGAGGCGCTTATTCGAACTTGACATGCTAAAACGATCGAAAGGCAGCCACCTTGATAGTTCCTATTAGGGACAACCGGGAGATGCATGATAGATACACGGGCCAATTATGGCGGCAGCGATAGCAACATGTTGGCAACCTGCAACAGCGTGTTAGCAACAATGTATCGTTTGTTCCCCAGCAAGATTCCCATAGTACCACGTCATGTCGCTGCCTTTTGCTCTTCTGAAGGTGTTAATCTCGGGCAGTTACGTTGAAATCTCAGGAGAAACGTGTCAAAAAGAGAGAAAGGCAGCGTTGCACCACGTACGTATATGTATGCTGGTTCACATGGGAAATTTCTGGGGCACACAGGATATGTATCGCTAGCGGCCAGCATAATGCTGCAAGTTGCCGCATGTAGCATGCCTGCCGTCAGAGACGCAGAGCAGGAATAGCACTAATCGTGAAGTGGACTTTGTGACTATCAGTTTATGCTTACTAAGTTTCATCAGAGCTGTTTATATACCCACTGAGCGCATTTCCTACTTCCAGCGTACGGGAGTAAATGTGCTCCAAGCGTGAATCCGTTGCCAAGTACAAGCATTGGTAAACACTTTTCCTGCAACATATGTATTGAAGGTAAGGTATTTTGGACATGTTTGCAAGTAGTTGTATACTTATCACACTTTCAGGGTTTTGGAAGTGGGTCGTATAAGCCTGCCTCTCATATGCTCCAGAGCCAACGGGAATTCTTGATATCTTTCCTCGGAAAGTGTCTCAGAAAATCGTGGAGTCACACTCGACGAAGAGGTTTCTGTAGTGCAGCTCCAGAGAAAGGAACACATGTCGTTTTCCTGCACTTTGGATTTCCTCGCTCCCAGTTCTATGCAACTTGTCATTTGCGACATGCGGCAAGCTTATACTATCAGACACCGAGAGCCCTTGAAAGGTACGATTTATTATTTGAATTTCTCAATTATTTTTTTTTGATTTTAATGATTTACTTTTGTAGAGAACATATATTTTCGTATATATGAATATGATCTACTCCACATTTTTACTTACGCTTAAACGCGCGTCCAGGCAGAACTGGACCTATGAGGATTTTACGTGGAAAGTAATTATGAGGCCCTAACTAATGCACTGCCTAAGCGGCAGCGCAGGTGACTCACTAACGGCTGAGACACGCCTCCAAACTAAACTCCAGGATCGTATTCGCATGGATTCATGGCAGTCTCGCGCGAGGAGCCACCTTTGCGCTATGAATCCATGCGAAAGACGATCCAGGGGTCCACGAGGGGAATATCTCAGCCGTTAGAGCACTTTCTGAGCTGCCGGTTGGGCAGTGGCTTAGTTAAAACCCCAAAATTACTATCCACGTGAGATCCCCATGTGTCCAGACTTCCCTGGACGCTGCCTTCAAAGGTAGCGGCTCGGCAGAATGAAAACTTTGGGATATTTATGGTTCCCGGTTCCCCTGGACGAGCTTAGTCCAAGACTGTGCTTTGCAGCTTTAGAGAACATCAATAATCCGCTTTTCCAGACGTGAAAAGTGCTATTTGGGCGGACCGCGTATCCTGCTCTCTAGAGCGCGATTGGCTCGTGAGTACGGTAGGTCCGTTGTCTCCATTCACAAGCCAATAGCGCTCTAGAGAGCAGGATATGCGGTCCGCCCAAATAGCGCTTTTCACGTCTGGGAAAGCGGGTTGTTGATATCTTTTGAAGCTGCAAAGCACAGCCTTGGACTCATCTCATCCAGGGGAACCGAGAACGATGAATATCCCAAATTTGTCATTCTGCTGAGCCGCTGCCTTTAATTCAACGCAAGACCTGTAGTGAAATAGGTTCCTTGCGATGAATTCATCATGGTACTGTGGTTTGAGAACAATAGATGAGTTGCGCTTTCGCAATTTTAGAACGCGTTCATAACAGCAGTTACTGCATTCGTAGCTGTTGCTCGGTCACGAGTCAAATAATATTAGTGAGGTGCAAGTACTCAAATTGTTCAACTTTAAGATATACTAGTGAGCGCAAAAGACGTTTTTGGTATTAGTTTGCTTTCCTTTTTTTAATATTTATATATGAGTGGCAAATTGCCTGTTCTTGGAAACTAATTGCTGACAATCCAAGCTCAGCTTTGATACTACAAGGCTTCTATGCGCTGTTTTCTGTAGCCTTTCTGCCAGCCAGACTTCGCTCAAAAGCGCCCAAATTCCTCCAATCTCTCTTCAGTTTCTCACATCTCTCCTGACACGAGAAAGTGAAGAGACATTAGAGAAAAAACGCTTTCGGGCGCTTTCAAAGTCTGGCCGGGGCCTGACTGTCATCCCATATAATAGCCCAAATCTCAAGTTTTCAAAGATATACAGAGATGACCTATATATTTGGAAAGTAAGAGTCCAATGTATTTTGAAAAGTGGTTTTCCAGTCTATCAGTCATTAGGGGGTGAAGTTAATTAGATTTTGTTCAAGTTAGGTTTTACAATAACTAAACGTTCAGGCTCATTCCCATTCCTGTCTTATTGAACGAGAAAGTCAAGGACTGCATTTCGAAGTATGGAAGTCAAGAAACTGTAGAGGACTCCCTCATTCGCCTTACTGAACGTGTACAAAAGAGTCTAAATACTCTCATGCCGGAATTCGAATCTATCACATGTTCAAACGCTTTCTTCTTCGATGAGCCTTCTATAGAACGCCATCTAACCGGCATTGGGAAGTACGTTGCTTTTTCATGTACTTGTAATTTCTCGGATTTTCGTTGGGTCGGCTTTGGGCAGTTACCGCTTTTTATATGCTGGTACGATTTTTTTTACAAATAAAAAGTTTCATTGTCAAAATCTGAATTTATAGTAAGGCCGCTTTTTTGACGGGCAGGTCAGTGTTCATTTTAGTCCGCCCTACAGATAACCTTTTTCCTTCATTATAATTACTCCAAACTGTCAATGCCCGAAGCCGCCTTATCTGTATCGGACTCATCTTTAGACCATTTATTCGCGGAGGAGTCCCATATGTCAGATTGGGTATAAGAGAGGTCCACCCCCTACTTTTTTGATATACAGAACCTTCCAGGTTGTACATCTAGCTTATAAGCTGACTCGCTTTTTTGGCAATATTAGGGACTTCAACATTTGCCTGCTGTTTCTCAAACACAACATTGTTATGTTAGGGGTGGCTGCTCTCGTCTCGTTTTATTGCCGTTCTATCCTCATTACTCATGTGCCCAATCTGGTATTTTGCTCAACGAAGCCGAGCGCGTTCTTCAAACATTTACTGTTCCTGCAACGGTGGACGGTAAGGAAGTCGCAAACGAACGAATTGTGCCCAACACGAGCGAGTCATTCCGAGTGTCGGCTTTGCATCGATGGAGCAGTCACCCAGTTGTGAGCGAAGTGCGTTTTTTGCATCAAATGCGCTTCCTTAGCTTCTCTCAGCTCTCTAAACCATTTGCGTAATATCCCACTTTCACCTTGCAGTTAGACCTTTTCAATATCCTAATTCCAGTATTGGCTCGACGTACTCAAATCGAAACGTGCGGACTTTGGAGGTATACTATTCTGTGCCCCATCTCTGGTATGCCTTTGACTCCTTCCACGTAAGTGTATTAAAACCAATGTTTCAGAGAGGTTACAATAGCAAAGAACATCGACACCTGGTGTGGTCATCTTGTGAAAGAGTGATGTCCGGACTGAGCGATTCCTTGCCTTGGCGGCTCGCATTTTACAATGCTTGGGATCAGTGGGGTCTTCCTATTAGAGATTCCGTCAAAATGCAGGTAATTCTTGGATTCTTATTTATTCTCAATATACAGGGAGTCCCAAAAAATGTGCACACTGTTTGATCGTTAAACTCGCTTGCTTCGATGTCTCTCGCCGATTGTTAAGTACCATTCTGTAGAGGAGGTTCAACTTAGATTCACAGCATGAAGTAAAACTCCGATCTCTTGTTGCTACTGTAGGATTACGGTATGAACTTTCAGCACACAGTGCCGTTGCATACTAGGCCGTTCGATTAAAAAAATTTCGAATAGCTTTGTGTAGCAGGATTTTCGAGCACGTTGATTTCATTATATAACTTTTTACAAAAATTCTGAGCCTTTTCGGAGCTGTAATCACAGCCTAAGTAATCCTGTAACATTTTTAAAGAACATTGGAAGAGCAGTTGTTACTGTTTTGCTGATATAACTTAAGAAAGAAACATGACCGTGGTGTGCAACTTGTATATCTGTAACAGCGACTCTAACTAGCCTAGTATAAAAGTTTTTGGCTTATTTGGTTTCCTTTCCTGGAAGAAATACGGCTCTTATGGTCAAAACGTCTTTAAAGTTTCTACCGTAATCCTTCAGTACAAAGGGAGATCGGTGTTTTGCTTCATATGTAAATCACAGTTGAAGCGAGCTCTATAAAATGGTGCCTAAAGATCGGCGAAAGACATTGAAACAAGCGAGTTATTAACGATCAATGTGCACATTTTTGGGACACCCTATATACTGTATTTGCGGTTTTGGATTTTGAATGGTAGAAGAACCAGTACGAATAAGTCTTTCTATGAGCCCAAGATTTCGCCTCCTCCGAATCAGGTCCTCATAGTGCATGCTGTAGCATGTGCGGAAAGGACCAGTAGTTCGAGAAGATGGTGCTTATTGGCGGTCTTTGTTCCTCTGTTGAGTTTGAGCTAGTTTGATCACTAATGCCTTACATTTTTACAGGTGAAGCGTCTTTCCAAACAACTGCCCCATGACAAATCCTTCGCTGTGGTGCCAATTTCATCGTTCGTTCCGGATTTCAACACATTTTCGGTCCTGCCCAATCTTCTAGAGGAGGAGGTAAGTTGAGATCGCATATTATAATGATTGAAAATATATTCGCGACTCGGCAAACTAAAATGGGATGCAAAAATACTGAGAGTGATTCGACATGCTACCTTAAAGGCATCGTCCAGGCAAATCTGGGCTTATGAAAATCTCACTTGGAGGGTAATCTTGGAGCCCTAACTAAGACACTACCCAAACGGCGGCTCAAATGGTGAACTCACTACTGAAATATTCGCGTCCAAACTGAACCCCGGGATTGTGCGCGAGGACCCACGCGTGTCGCGCCATGATTCCATGCGAATACGATCCCAGGGTCCAGTTTGGAGGCGAATATCTTAACTTTGAGTTCACCATGTGAGCTGCCGTTTGGGCAGTGTCTCAGTTTCCAAAATTACCCTCCAAATGAGATTTCCATAATCCCAGATTTGCCTGGACACTGCCTTTAAAGAAGCGCACAATCACGTTAATATTGATCTCCAATTATATTTAGCCTACAAGTGGTCAGATCCATCCATGATACACAATACTAAAAGATTCATGTAGCTCTCGGGAGATGACTTGACGAGGAAGAGCATTAATTTAATGTGCGGGAAGCACACACCCATATCTTTCCTATGAAGGCAGCTTGAAAAATTCGACAGGGTTCTCGGCTCCTCTTGCATCCTTTTCTTACAGTGGCTCGACAAAATGCATCCTTGTTAAAGTTTAATGTTGCTAGGGGTTCCCTTAAGTGTAGGTCTTTTTGAACTGTCCGCGCTGTTCATTTTGCTGCTGCGAGGTCGCTCGCAAAGCGCACGCGCCTGCCCAAAAACTGGTCAATCAGAGTTGACGTGCTGACCAATCAGCTCACAATGGCGAGCGGTTTAAAAAGGCCGTTCCCTGGTGTTAGGTAGTATACTTTCGATTACAGTAGCCCCAGTTCTAGATCTCTAGACTGAGTTGAATCCTAAAAGCTTGCAAAGTCTCACCAGACACGCCCAATCACCACATGTGGGCGTTGAAGGCAGTGTTCCGGCAGATTTGTGTCCTGTGGAATATAGCTGTGGTGGGATTCCTGGTCACCCTACTAAGGTAGCGCCAGACTAAGCGACTGTTTTGTCCAACTGCAAATTAACATTAATTTTGCATGGTCCTGCAGCTGAAGCAGACAATCGTGCCCAGATTTGACAAACTGCGCGTTCAATCTGTTAATTGTGCGCGCCTTTTGCAACTGAACAAAATAGTCGCTTAGTCTGGCGCCTACCTAGCTTCCAGGCCCAGTCCGCTGCTTGATGTTACTTCTGCGCCGAGAAAAAACCCTCGAACCGGCGCGCGCTCCGACGGCTTCCTTACCTTTTCGGCCCGGGACCCCACGACCACTCCCGCATTGTGCATCCAGAGCAAAATTTGGCCAGCAGCGTTTTCGTGCCACCCTCTCTCTCCTAGCTTTCCACAAAAACTCTCGTCCGAGCTGCCTTCGGACGAAAGTTTCACTAGTTGCCTTTGCCTTCCCAGCTTCAGGAAATCAGGTATACGCCCCCAAAAAGGGATCGGCCATACTATTCCTGCTATTCCTACGACTCCTGCGATTCCTGTGAGTCCCGCACAGTTTATACGCCGCTTAAATGAGCGCGTGTTGCGTTTACGTGTTGTTTTACGCAACAAGCGCTCATTTAAGCGGCGTCTAAACTGTGCGGGACTCACAGGAATCGCAGGAGCCGTAGGAATAGCAGGAATAGTATGGCCGATCAGAAACGGTCTTTTTACCCACTCAAAGCTCAGATTCGATTCTACGTATCGAAAAGGCTTACAACACGCATAAAAGTGGAAATGCAAAATCTGCCGGGACACTGCCTTTGATGGTGTAATTTTGAAGCATGCCAAGACATCTAATGGGAGGCCTACGGTGTACTCAAATTACCGCTCAGTGTTTTGAGTGCTGAATTCTATTCCTAATGTAAATCATTCTTTCAATTTTGGAGGACGCTGAAGATGTATGTTTTGCATTTCGGAGTCTTTGCTTTACGCACAGTTCTCATTTCTCGTTGAAGGCAGTGTCTAGGCCAATTTAGGAACACTTTTATTCCAACAGATTACTTAAAGGCAGTGTTCGGGCAAAAACTCGATTCCTAGAAAATCCACTTACCGGGGGTTATCCGCAATGCTGATTCCGAAAATCTACAGAAGGCGCGAAAACATGCGTTTTCCAAAGCCTTACAATTTGAAATTCGACGGTTCCCGCCACGCAGAGACGCAGAGTCCTTGCGGGACCTTACAATTTTGACTGTGGCGGCATTCGTACCCTGCCGCATAAAGGATATTCGTCGACGATTGCCCCATCCAGCTTGACAGTAGGACAGGACAGGACAGGGAAAGGACAGAAATGCTACGAGCTACCAAGTCCCCGCGCGCTGCAGCGTACTGTCAAGCTGGAAAGGCCCCCAATAAGGCAGCCCAAGGTGGTATAATTGCATGGGTCGGGGCAGTCGTCGACGAATATCCTCTAGCAGGAATTCGAACAGGTCGGAGGACCCCGCCCCAAGGCGTAAGTTTCCTCACTTTCCGCGTCGTTTTTCTTGCTTTAGGTCGAGTATTATGACGTCGCACTTGCGCGATGTTGTGTCTGAGGGGGCCACTTTCGCATGGCACTGAAATCCCAAACCCCAAACTTGCCCGGACACTGCCTTTAAGCGGGCTCCCCATGCTAGCCATAGCCTAACTGCGAAATATCGCTCCTGTGGCCTATTTATCAGCGAACCTAGAGGGTTCCACTACCCAGTGGGTAAGCGAATACACTGCCACCGAGTTGGATCGATTTCCACGAAAAGCACTGCTGGGTTTTCGCGAACCCACTAACTTTTGAATAGTGATCGCATGGGTTGACCTTACCCACTGGGCTCGTTGATGAATACGGCCACTGGAGCAAGAAAATGGCTCTTACAGGTCAGAATTGAGAACATGGCCACCCCTCAATCAGCCTCGATTCACTGCTCTATCGAGGCAGTGAGTCGTGCCGGGACATCCCGCTGCAGCCAATGACATCGTAGGGCTATGTCCTCACGATTTACTGCTTATATAGGGACGAGACTCATTCGTGGGTGCACATGTCGGATCTTAAGTAATTTTTTCGCTCGAAGCATTTTGCAGAGGCAATTGTCCTACGAGTTGTATGGGGAGTTCGCCTCAGTAATCTGTTGGTTTTGATGCTCCTAAATCTGCCTGAACATCATCATTGAAAGCACGCAAACGACATATCTCCACACTTTTGAACGTCCGATTCAGTCTTGAGTGGGCGGAGTCTTCGCAGTAGACTGCACTTCCCTTAAATCCGCAGAAGTTTTTTTTAGCTTAGAGTTCCGTCGTTGTTTTGGCAAACAGTTTGGATTTACCTTTATGCGTTATCGCTGTTACGAGCTTTCCGTCCCATCATGGCTCCTGAATGGGAGATTCTCGCCAAAAATAACGACCAGGGAACTGCATGGGCGGAGCCACTCCATCCATGTGGGTAGCAACTGGCGAGATTCGCGCCAGATGAGAAGCGATTGGCTGAGTGTGCCAATCGCTTCTCAGCTGGCGCGAATCTCTCTTCCCCAGTCCCTTCAACAATCTACAAAGCCGGAAAACGTCAAGAAACCACTAACGGCAGATTTTAAGCACATTCCTGGGCTCAGTGCTTTCGGAAGGCTAAGCCCCTGGGCGTACTTCATGCGATTTCAGTCGCGAGGCGATTTGGCTATACTCCAATTGTTCATAACTCAGCGTAAGGGGTTGAATGTACGGAAAATAGATTGTCAGAGTACGAAAGTTATACATGCTGCGCGTTTGTGGTGTGCCAGTATCGAGACAATTTGGAGACAGGCAAATTGCCAAATCGCGGGCGACTGAAATCGCATGGAGTATGCACACGGAATAATGGAAAGCGCGCAGCAGCAACTTTGCCGAGCCGCTTCTTTCAATGATGCTTGTGTGCGTCGAAAAAGGGAAAAAGCTTAGTTGTTTCATATAGAAAGCCAGAGCCGCAGGGATGCAAACCACAGCGCCCTAAATTGGTCAATTATTTCGGAATATCTTTACTTACACCCTCGAAAAAGATCAATCTGTTCGCTGCAACGCACAGCTATGTAGAAGCAGTAATAATATCCCGAATTTGCCGAGAAGCATTTCGTAGGCCCAATTTTAGGCAGTTTGGGAGTAGCAAAAACAGATGTTTGCAATGTTATCGACTGTGCTTTGTCTTGGAAAAAAAGAAAAAAAACACGTTTTGACAGAAAAAGTAGGCCTTGAGAAGCGTAATTTACCGCATAGTGTTTCAAAAGTCCAGCAATATTTCGGTGCGCAATCGCACCGGGTATTCGAATATTGACGTCATATTCAGTTTGGATGCATACTAACATGGATAGATTTATTCTGTTACATTTCTCCCATATTTCTTCTCTCATTCAATTGATTTCCGATAAGTGAAAACCATTTTTTTCAGGACCGAGCAGTGTTGATAGAGCCGCAGCCTGAGAACCCAGTGTTGATCCAAGGAATGGTCGAACTGGTCAAAAACCACTTGCTGGGACGGAGAAATGCACAGCTGCAAAATCGATGTAACTGGTGCATCATTACTCAGTGCGAGCAAATGCGAAATGTTTTAGCGTTGGATAGCTGAAGCTGTAGTCCTATTGTATACATATAGACGTTGATTCCCAGATACTCTATTAGGTGTTTGTTTTAATGAATAAATGCATTTCTCTGTGGCGATGTTTTGTCCGAAAAGCCCCACTTCCTGATAATCGACGGGAATCGCGTCACGAGCTCGGGAACTCATGCGACAACCACGTGTGTGTGTCGGCGCGCACGGTGGCTTCTGCGAGTGCGTCACTGCAAACGCGCTCGTGCTGCTGACTGACGCAAAAGTGCTACCGGTTGGCGCATCGCTACCGTCTTTTCGTGTGTGCCGAATTTATTGGAGAACCTTGAGGATTTTCGCTTTTATTCAGTAATAAATATATTGCTGAAGTGTTTTGATCTGGAATTTATTCAGAGGTTATGGTGTTTCCCCCATGTTTTACGTAGTACAGACTATCGAATTACGCGCGTGGTGTTCTTTGCTGCGAAAAAGCGAAGCGATTAGTCAGCCCGTGACAATTATTGAATTCTCTCCATCGCACCCCCATTGCTATCGATTGATGTCTGCTACTGGGCATCTGTATGAACTTTGTGAAGATAAACTGTCTTTGCCACCACGTAATATTGTTCCTGTCGTTGCTAATGTCGCAAATTAATTGGATTTCGCCATACTTTGTCTCATAAATCTATTGCATTGGCTTTGCTCACTCGCTACTTCAGTAACGACTTGAAATATATTTATTGAAATTGCAGAAGGTGTTACTTAATCATTTTGCTAGAACACGTTTTTTTTCGCTTCGTAGTTTTGCTCTTGTGCTTTTTAGGATGTATTCAAAAGTGCGATATTTACAGTTTTATCGCAGCGATTGAGTAGCAGTTGAATTTTCCTATCTGTGTAGTGGTCGACAATACTTGGTAGGTTGTTGAATTTTTGAAAACTTTTCAAAATAGTTTTTTAAGTGGGGTTTTTATTCTAATTTTATTCTTATGTAGTTTTCGAAATCTTGTGGTAAAATTGCGATCTGAACAAATTTTCTTTTAGTTGTCTTGCGCAGCTTTCAAATCGATTTTACTTACTTTTTCTAGGTCCGGTGTAAGATGGCGGGCGGAGGAGGGGAAGAGCATGCCGCGCATTCGTCCGCTCAGGATGATCATCATGATTCTGATGATGATGATGATGGCGCAGACGAGGTTTGTGCGCGGTTTTCCTACTGATTAATCGTAGTCATATTTATACATTTTATTTTGGACAAATTTTCCTCTAGATTTTGGAAGAATCCCCATGTAAACGATGGTCGAAAAGGCGGGAACAAGTCAAACAAAGGGATGTTCCCGGTATTGACTCTGCCTACTTGGCGATGGATAATGATACTGGTAAATTTGACTTTGATATGTTATCAACCGCACAATAATCTGCCATTCAGGTAACGAGGTTGTATGGAACGAAGTAGAATTCTCTGAACGGAAGAATTTTCGTTCTCAAGAGGTTTGTTTCTATATCTTCACACGTTACACTCTCAACAGCTGTTTCAAAACTTTGCTATTTCTTTCTGTTTGGGAAAGTCTTTTTGTCAACAGTGAAGTCCCGCTGCAGAAGTTTTGACCATTTGCTGCAAATCAGACATCTAAATGAGAGCCACTTCAAAACGGCGAAGTGGAACGACAGTCTCTATAGTGCTCCTTGCAAAAAATTGTCTGCAGGAGAAGATTGTAAAAAATTGTCTGTAGGAGAAGATCAACGCGGTGTTCGACAACCTCACTCAATTAGTCCATACGAATCTTGTGAAATTTCATAAATACTGGACCGATGCCAAGTCGGAGAAACCTAGAGTTAGTTTTCCCATTGAAATCTCATAGCTTTTCATCATAACTATATTCTAGATTATTTTTATCACTGAGTTTATGTCGTCGGGATCGGTGGCCTCGTTCTTGCAGCGAAAAAGGAAGTCCGATTCTCCTTTTACTATCAAGGTAAGAACTAGAATGAGTTGGTGAGATGCTGCGCTTATATAAACAGCAAAACATTTTCAGCAATGGAAAAAATGGACTACACAAATCTTGTCAGCGCTCAATTATTTACATTCTTGCACTCCACCGATTACACATGGAAACTTAACTTGCAATACTATCTTTATACAGCAGAATGGGCTCATCAAAATTGGTTGTGGTATGTTCAGTTCTCTTTCTTGGTCCCGGCGTGCACTTTCTATACTTTGTACTTATACCAATGATTTTATCATTTTTAGTGCGGCTAAATATATCAATGGTGCTCTGGTTTCACATTAATGGTAGAGTAGTTTCTTTAGTTCTAGTTTATGTTCTTTTTATGCTTTATATACAGTACTTTTTTCAACTTTCATCTTATTTTGTCTTGTTTTGCTAATCTGATTATTATGTGAAAACGCCGCACAAAATGCTTAAAACTTAGTCTTCAGCTTGAAGTTCGTATTATTCTTTGTTCTGCCGTTATTAATGTCATTATAGTGGCGCCCGATGCCATCAGCCATCATGTGAAAACGTGCCGTGATAATCTGAAGCAATTGCATTACATAGCACCAGAGTACGAATGTATGGAATTCTTAAAATCCAAACTCGTAGCATTACTAGTCTTCACAAAAATTTCTTTTCAGATCTCACCGAAGTCACCCCTGCTGCAGACATCTACTCATTCGGTGTTTGTGCCTTAGAGGTTAACTCCCATTTCTATCATTCATCATAACTGACCAGATTTTTGATCTAGATAGCAGCACCGGGCGGCTTGGCCAGCTATCAAAATGGAACTGGAGAAGGTGGAACGAAAGAAGGGCCCATAAATCCGGAATGCCTGGACAAAGCATTAGAAGCACTGGAAGACGAAGGCCAGCGGGTACGTTCACGATTGTTGGAAGTCAGTTTTCCTCTTATTCTTCTTTTTAGGACTTCATACGGTTATGTCTTCAAAAAGATCCAACGAAGAGACCAACAGCGCGAGAACTGCTATTTCATCCGGTGTTGTTTGAGGTGAGCTATTGACTTGCATTTTCTTGGTTCAGCCATATACTCGACACATATGATATCTGTTGTTTGATTTGTTGATTTATTTTTCTGGTTGTAAAATGTCTGTGTTTTTGGTTACCTGGTTATCTAGAAAGATAACATCTGCGGTGATGGCAAAATCACACTTAGGAAAAGATGCATGTTATAGTTTAGTGTTTTCCATACTGTAACGCATGGATTTTGGAAAAAGACATCAGTCGTTTATGCAAGTTTTGGAAGAAGTTTGAACACTGCTACATCTGGCTCTTTGGGCTCTCAATCATGTCATTAGGGCTTGCAACAATTTCTTTCTCTACGGCATACCACGCTAGAGTTTGCAGTAGTAAAAATAAAGAACGACAGATTAGCGCAGATGATCGCAAGGAAGTTTCGGAGGAAACATGAAGAAGTCGGTGCCTCCTAATTATTCAAGCCAGTTAAGTCATCAGGTTCAGAAACATTTCATTGGCTGGTAGGCCGGCACGACAGTCTCGATTTGGAGTAAACGTGAACGGCCATTTATGAACCTATCTGTGAGCGGAGGATTGTGGGAATATTCAGTTCGAGTAGCAATAGAGATGCGTAAATGAGAGAAACTAGCATGGCTTAAATTGTTAATAATTTTGCGCAGTGTAGTTGTACGGCAAGGTTTCGGGTTGTGTTCGAATTTGATTACAGTATATATCAACTGGTGTCCTTTTGGTGCGGCCACGTTGCAGCGCAATTTGTCTCGTGCAGACTCCAGTCGATGAGAACGATCTGACTGTTTAAAGTCACCGTCCATCTTAAAGGCAGCGTCCAGGCAAAATATCGACTTCTAATTTTTGCCTTATCCAGGCCTTTTCATGGCGCTGATTCCAAATATGGCACTCAAAATGATTCCTCAAACAACCCCATTTTCGAGCCAATTTTGTAAGAACCGTAAACGAGTGCTCCTATTGCTATTTTTGTCGTAATCGAGCATCAACGGTAGACTCTATGTGTTCGATTATGTTTGCCACCTGAAAACACGTCAAGGGCTGAAGAGAGTTCGTTCAAGGAGGCGGGCCGTGCGAGGGATTGGGCGTTGTCCTCGAGGCCCTGCATTTTCTACGCCGACTTTCTCCTTTTGCAGGGGTGTTTGAAAGCCGGATTTGTGCGATAGTTCTAGTCTGAGGCAATAGTACTCGGTCATTATAATATCCGAAAATGTTCAAATCTGTCTGGACGCTGCCTTTAAGGGGTCTTGAGCTACTGGCAACTTACGATAATAGCGCCTCCTTACAAGCCAATGCCCAAGTCGCGGCGCAAAATGTTGCTTGGAAGCGAGAAAATCGCTGCAAATAGAGCAGAGGTTTCCTAGACCCTCCGTAATGCTCGCCTATCTGATCGCCGTTCTGGGGAACCGTCCCGCGGTTTCTCCGGAAGGGAGACTGCTGCGGTTTTCGCGAATTCTTGACTTCATATCCGGAATCAGGGACTGAAAGGGCCCCGGAACAAAACATGGAAGTCGAGAATCTGGTTGGGCTTTCAAGCTAGACATCTGCGAACGCCGCGCGAGGCTAGACTACGTGCAATACTCTTCGTTGGCGAGTAGTAGCTGCAGCGTCTTCTGCCATCAACATAAATACTTATCAAGTCAGTGAACGGGTATACATCTCAGGTTCAGGCGACGGCGGCTACGTTTTGATCACTTAGATTCGCTTATTTGGGAGGGAGGGGGTGGGAAAGCCACTATTTGTTAAAATTTTCGCCGAAGCGTTGCAACTATGTATTTTTCGGATTCTTGATTTGCTATATGAACGGAAATCTTATTCTCATGAAGCATCTTCATTGAAATCATTACTCAAACGCGATTTCAGGTTCATTCGTTGAAGTTACTGGCAGCTCACAAGATAGTTGACTGCAAATTATTTGATGATCTGCCAAATGATGCTTTCCGAGTGCCTGACGTGGAAAAGGTATGATTTGCAGTGCCGTCGTCAATGCTTTTTAGACTATGTTCAATTCATTCAGGTGGCTGCGGTGGCTAAAAGGGAAGCTGGTGTACGTGAAATGGCGTATTGTCAAGTTCCTGCGTTTCAACATGATCTTGAAAAAATAGTGGAAGAAATTAGAAATGGAGGCTATCCATTGACCGCTTTTGCTCCTTTAGCTCATCCGCCTTTAAAATCAACTGTGGTGAGGAATATTTTGTTATGTAAAAGTTGTTTTTCTCACACATGCTATTGCAGCCTTCTTCACGAGTACCTGTAACAGCTTCCACGGTTGAAGAACCTTCTACATCTTCGTTGACCAATACTCAGTCGCATGCTGCTGAGTCGTCAGATGCGGCAGCAGCTGCACCGGCTGCAGAGGAATCTGTGCAACACCGGGAAACGAGGACCATTCGTCACATGCGCGTCACAACCGCTAGAAAGTTCGTGATAATTGACTCAGTTCCTCTCCTTCATGGTTCTCATTATGTATATTTTAGTGAGCTTACGATATGGCTACAACTTGAAGATATGATGAATCGGCAGTTAACGACTGAGTTTTCAAACGATGAAGATCCTCTCGTAATTACTCATGATCTTGTCAAGCATGGATTCATTTGTGAGGTAAGATCGTACTCTTCTGTGCTACTGCAGTATCTTAGGGTGCCTTCATACCGCGCACCGGAAGCCGCCATTAGCCGCCTTTAGCCGCTTTTGCGCAATATTCCAGCGTTCGAAGGCCTTTACAAAATGCAAAGAGGTTATGGTACTCATATTTACCGTGTCGAATAATCCCACCAAGTTTGAGCAAGATATCGTCGATTCGTTGACTGTACGGACTGGACATGACCGCGGAGCACGCGCCGCGAGGTAAAACGCTTGCTCCAATGCAAACTCGCCATTGTTAAAATCGTGCTCTCGCAACATTTTAACCGCGCCGCGCATGGTCCGCAGCGGTTGAGCAGTCCGTGCGACCAACGAATCGACGATACATGGTTTTGATTTTGGGGCCGGATACTAGGGTTGTGCAAAAAAGCGGCTAGCGGTTGCCGGCGCAATATGAAAGCACCCTTACCCGACATATCTCACAATATCTGGGACAGCTGAAAAGGATAGTTCTGAATCATCGAGCAGAAATTCAATAGTTACCTTTATTAAGGTATCGAAGTGGCCGAGTACCACATGATGCACACCGCTATTAAGAACTAACGCTCATACCAAGATGTCCTTCCTTATCTGCATTAGGCCTAAGGCATACTTCCCGAGGTTCCGCGAAATCGCTACATTCACACTATTTGGCGATTTGCCAGATATTTAAGAAGTAATCGTGGGCAGGTTTCAAATGCATAGGCGCGTAGCTTCCGTAAGTTGTCGCAGACGCGTCAACCTTGACCTAAGCAAAGCACAGCTATGGTTATGAAGAGTCGCTGCAGTGCCAGATCGCGCAGCGACCGCATGAGGTATGCCTTAGCCTAATGCTTCTGGGAATCTGTAATGGTTTTTGAAATAGGAAAATAAATGCACGTACGAGATAGTACTGGTTGCTGAATCCTTTCTAGCGCTCAGAGGGACTAGTGAAGAGTGTCAGGACACGCTGTGCTATAGTAACTTATTACTCAATATTTACTATTGTTACATATGAGAGCTGGGAAGGCTGTAACTACTGATTTTGTGTTCTCAGTCTTAACTTTGAAAAGCGCTTCTTTGCTACTTCTGCTATACGCCAGGCATTTCATCAGGGTTCCGAGCTCTCCGCAATGGTATACAGCAGCCATTTGGACTTCATGGTCCTCCATTGTACGTTTTGCCATCATTAGTCAAGTAGGGTTACGTTTGAGTTTGAAAAAAGATAAGAACAGATACCCTTTAAGTGCAAAAGTTGCACATTCAGTCACTCCTTCATTTGCTCAAAAACTATGCACTTCCGACTTGCTTGGTTTCCGTCGATGCACCATGTGAAGCTTCCCGTTCTCCCGCTTTCATAGCAGTTTCCTTCCTCTACTTTTTCAAACTAATTTTTGTTCCCCTTGCGTCCTCGTAATCAACTTTGATTCACCCTAGTCCTACAGATCTAGTGTTTGCAAAGGCTAAAGAATTGGTGAAAATGTTGGAAGGAACTAAATAGGGTATTTAGAAGGTGACCTATGTGTCATTCGAAAGCAGAGTCTCAGCGCATTGAAGAAATGCGTCCGCTGCGATCATATCATGGTGTGGAGGTCGATTTGAAAAAATAGGGTTTGAAAAACGAAAAAATTGCTTTTTGTTGATCAGTGTACTTTGAATTGTTGGTCATACAGGGAAAAACGCCAACCAGTCAACCAATCATGGTACGCTTTACACATGCTTGCAAGTTTTCCATTTATTCAACCCAGCGTCGGTATTTCCCCTTTCATGGGTCTATGCAAACGGGAGAGCGTACGACCATGATGAATTTTTTTTCACTTCAAGAAAGGGTGTCTTAGCCCGTGATTGGACTAGCACCTTCCTTGTTTGATGTGCAGACTTGCGCGTATTTTGAATACCTTTGCTTGAGCAAAAAAGTTTGCTAAGGAAGTGGGATGAGTTAAGCTCAAGGAAGTCAACAGAAGATGGTAGACCTCTAAAAGGCTCAGCTGAAATCTAGAGAACTTTTTTTCATGTATTAGGTTGATGCATAGTCAATGCATGTTGCTTATCCTTGAGCGGCAGCAAAGCTATAGAAGTCTGTGAAACATGATATTTGATAGAACAAAGTAAGCACTACAAGATGGTTTTAAGTTTTGGAAGGAAAATTAGAGAGAAAAATCTAAAAATTTTCAAATTCCCAAAAATCGGATCTCCGTTCAGAAAACCCTACAAACCTCCAACTTGCTCACAAAGGTTAGTTGTTCCTCATCAACTGCATATGCGCACTTGCTATATTCTTCCATGGCTTGAGAATATAAAATGCTGCATCTAGAAAAATCAAAGCTGGTTTGTCCGATCATAGACAATTCCATACTACAATCCTATGGAAGTGTATCAATAATGTTTGATTTTTTCTCGAATTGTAGAATTGAAGTTGAGAAATATCAAAGACAACATTAAAAACTCCGAAAAAGGCAACATTTTCGAATTTTTGGCCTATTTATATCATTCATTTCTAAATTACTAGACATTATTGTATAGTATATGTTTGACCAAGTTCGGAGTTTGCAGGATTTTCAGACGGAAATCCTATTTTCAGGTATTTATTATTTGCAATATTCTTTAAGCAGACTTCACATAGATCAAACCTTTTGCGATTATTCGAATACTGTCTTGTAGATTTTTCTTTGCTCTATCGAATGATGTATTTTACACATTTTAATATCTTCTCTGCCGCTTTAGGATAAGGAACATGATTATTTTCGCATCAACCTAATATTCTGGTATTTGCAAGAATTATTTTTAAGTATATTATATACCACCTAACGAGCGCATGATACAAGTAGATGGTGTGTAGTGTTTTTCCTGCTCTTGATTATAGGATCATCACAAACGATGCCATTGAATAGCTGTGCTTTTAGGCTGATGAGGAGCGGTTAGGACCGGTGTTGGCGACAGCGCTGAAGGCAGCTGCGGACTTGGCACAGTCGACTGGTGACGACGTCACGACAGGCTCCACTATGTACGCAGTGACCGAGGATCCACACGTTGCGGACGCAGTACAGCCAGGTGTCGCCGGCTCGGCTTCGTGTCGCGCTGATCCGTTGAACGGCCGAGAGGCGGTACTGTCTAAGCTCGCGTTTGCGGAACCCCCGGTGGCCCCGTCGTCGTCGACCGTATAGAGCCCCGCCCTGCGATCACATTTGCTGCAATGGCGTGGTTACGTTTAGCCGCCTTACTAGCGCTTGCCTCTGCTGTGGCCAGTCAACATGGCACAGTAGGCCGTCCGTGTGAGGTATCCACCGATTGCGGAACTGGTAACTATTGTGCTGGCAACAAGCGATGCGCCTGCCTCACCACTTATGTTGAGATTGACTCGTACTGTTGGCGAAGTAAGTGTGCTTCTTACGTTCTTTCTCACTCGTAATTTGCATATATTAAATTGTAGAATGTTGTTTGAAAGTAGCAATTGTTCAGTATTGGTACTACTATGATGCTAGTCTCAGTATGTATCATGATTTCAAAGAATGTGTTGTTTCTGTTCGGGAACAACCTGTTATGCATCTGGTAGGCAAAAGTGTGGGAGTGTGCATCTTCACAATTATTAGTACCATATTGTGGACCTGTGATAAGCTTCTGCTCGGCAGTCGTCCTTGTATACGAAGTCGACGAACCGTCTTTGTATGTGTATAGGAACGAAAGTAGTTCTGCCAGGGTATGAACAGCTCGCTTTCCGTACAAGTCTCTGAGTCTTACTTGGAGTTTATTATTTTTGCTCCGGAGATCTTTGCAATAAACGAATCAACATATTAAATCACGGCTAAGTCACTTTCGCTTCCTAAGCGCACAGTCTCAAGTGAGGGTTTGATGCGGGTTGAGCAGAAGTTTATACCGGGTTATGGTTCGGCAGGCTTCGTATCGCCTTATTATGTATCACTATTGCGTTTCTTTTGTCGTAATCACATACGCAAAGTCCTACTACCCGGTTTCGGCTTTCGCACTCACCATAGGTTTTCACGGCGCGTTAGCCACATCTCTCTTTCCGGAGCCGATAGCTTGAGCTAGAAGCGCAATTGCTCCCTGTCCGCCCTACCACTTTCATCGCCTACTACTTGTTTTTGAGATGCTGATCATGCTACGTGTTGTCAGTTTGTTTTTGTACGACTTTTGTACATGCTCCAAGTGCTCTCCTGCTCTCATAGTGTTTTGCTTCGTACAACGACGGCATCGATTCCATGAAACATTCTCTTCTCTTTTCCCCGTTTCGCCTGTATTCCCCCCAAATAGCGAACTTTGTGTTCTATTTTTATATCTGTATGCTAAATTCTGTTCCATATTCTACAATGTTTTGAAGACGATGATTTAGCCGATCATGTTGTCGTCGTCGTTGCGAGGTTCTATTGCCACTTCTCTCTCTCTCTCTCTTAATACAGATATCTATCGTTTCGGGTTGGATGGACGAACACAATAAACAGACACACGTAACCCTTTTCTAAACACAAACACATACAAATACAAAAAACCACATACATATGCTTCTTCTTTACCCTTCTGTCTTTCTATGTCCATCCAGCCCTAGACCCCACCGTGCTACATATATTGTTGAGAAAAATACGATTGGTGTATCAAAGTTGTGCACTCTGATCAATGAACATGAAATTGCTAAAAATTATGTGTATGTATTGTGTTGCTTTTTTACATACAAGTTATACTTCGATAGTAAGTCTTCACTCACATCTTACTGGTGAACTAGACCACTACCATTACACGAAGTCAGAAAAGTTTTAGTCTGTCGGGTGTAAACTCATGGTTTCCCTTCTAAAAAAGCGAAATTCTAGAGTCATCCTAATTGACTTCGACAAAATTTTCAGTGTTCGATCTGGACAAAAGTGGTTTTGCCTTCGTTAGTTTTTAGTGTGTAAAGAATAAAGTCAAATGTGTTTTCTAAGATCAATACTGATGTTAATTTCCTTAGTTTGTACCTGAATTTACTTTTAGATCAGTTTTGTTCGTCTGTCAACTTTACAGTTAATCCGGCTCGAGCAAATGATCTTTGAAAAACTCAATGGAACTGTTTAAGTCGATACCTTAAACTTTGGAAAATTCGGCTTTTCTTTTGCGCATTCGAAATTAGCCTATAACGATAAGACGAGATTTTTTTTTTACAATGATTAGTAGGTTTAGTAGCCAATTTCATACTGCCCGTACTATTTTTGTTGTTTTTCTTGGCACTATTCTAAACTAAGCTTCTGCATGCTCTATCTTAAGCCAGCTAAAATGAAATTGTCACAAAGTAGTTTTTTTTTTCATTTACGGGTTTTTGAATTCTGAAATCTCAGTTTGGATATTTCACTCGCGATATTGATGATGCTATTTTGATTGTGACATTGAAAGATTGCTATGAACTACGCGTTGCAAAAATTCGCGCTTTGTGCTTGTGTTGCTCATGGAGTAGTAAGAAAAGTCCATGACTCAATTTATTTGTTCAAACGCATTCAGTCAACATTGCGATTAGAAAAGTGAAATTACTTTGTAAAACAGTTCTCTATTTTTTACATATATAAAGACTAGTGCAAACAAGTAAACATATGTTCATAAAAATTGTAAAGCTCTGAGAATTTGTGGTGTAGAAAAACAGATTCAGGTTAACAAGCTTACGAGCATAAAATTGATAATGTGTAATTTTTGAGGAAGTGATTACCACGTTCTTGACGTGAGACAATTGACGTGACAATTCAGAGATCAATCCGGGCGAATCAGGCTGTACACAGAATAGGCAATGTGAAGCGGTATGGCCCGGTGCATACTGTCGTTCAGGAGAATGTCGCTGTGCGAATAATCAACCTCCATTCAGGACGAGAGATGGACTGGTCAGCAACAAGAGATAACTTGCTCATAAGTTATTCAATAACTTTAGGTGTGCTTAAACTATGGATTTTGCCCGTTGAATGGTAATAATCCAAAATTCCGCATCGAAAACCAAGTGCAGCAATGTTATGGAGGTAAATTTTTCAAGAATGAGAAAATGCAAAAGAGTTAAAAAAATAAGAATTTTAGGAGCCGATGCCACATGCGAAGCCATCGGAGCTCTTGCCTACGATTGTATCTGTGATTCAGATGATTGCACAGTAAACAACCCAATCAGTTTTTGTTGCCCAAGTAGAGGTAAATCTTGAAAAAAAATTTGCCCCTCAGTTTTACTCAAAATATTCATAACAATTTTTTGAAAAAAAGTGTTCCTTCAAAAGTTCTTTATGTTATTTCTGTACGATTTGTAGGATATTCAAACACTATGTTGCTTCTTTCGAGACTAGTCAAAGCCCCCCCCCCTTCCTCTCAGAAGTCTTTTCTATGAATCTTTTTAGCCTTTGCTTGCATCCAACCACCAAATGAGGGTTACACTCCACCTGGCGGTGGCACTACCCTCAACCATTGGTACCATGACCCAATCACTGGCGAGTGTCGCGAGTTGAAATATCAGGGATACGGTAAGTGTATTGTATGACATTTACTTTGCGATCAGAAAGTGATCATTTATAGGTGGAAATGCGAACAATTTCCAGACGAAAGACCACTGTGAATCTTATTGTAAACAAAGTGAGTGAATTTCTTCCCGAGCTACTAGGACTAAAAGTACAAGTGAACTTTTCCAGCTTGCAACCGTGGTCTGCCACTATACAGAGATCGCACCACTGGCGTTAAGCAAGAGCCAGTCTATTGTCAAGGAAATGATAATGGCTGTAATAATCCTAATTATCAATGTACCACTATGGGCACACTGCAACAGTGTTGTCCTACTTATTGTACGTTCGAACCAGCTTAAAAACCTCGAAATTTCCTAAGAAGTTATTTTGAGTGTTTATCTGCTCGCGAAATGGAGGTATCCCGACCGAAGTGTACAACACAGCTGGCGGCTTGCCAACTGAGTACTTCGACGTGGGAATCCCTGATGGCTCCGGCACCACCTCACCTAGATTCTACTATGATTCGAGAGAAGGACGATGCATACAGTTCTCGGTTTGTTCATGCTGAAACGAAATTCCCAGCAAACGGGGGAAGAGATAAAACAAAAAGAATCAGTTTTTTTCAGCAAAGTAAATTGGTACTAAGTGTTTTGGTCACTATCAGAACTCGTGATTATCAAAACCTTTTACTTATGCCAATTTTGAAGCTTTATATCTTCCGTAACAATAAGTAAACTCAAAAAGGATTATGTCATTGTATACCCATATCTTGTTCCTTCTGAATTTTAATCACTTTCCGATTTTTGCCTCTCCAAATCTTCTTGTAAAAATAGTACATTTGGTGGCACCCACCAAGAATGTCTTTTTACAATTTTGCAAAAAAAATTTGCGACTAACTCATATGGGTTTTTTAGTATCTTGGACAAGGAGGAAACTTCAACAATTTCCTTTCTCAAGATCATTGCGAGAAGTTCTGCTCGAGAAGTAAGGCTTTTACCAGTCTCATAATCAAAATTTTTGTATCGCCACACTTTCAATCACAAAATATCTCTAAAATGATTTCTCTATTTTATTCCCATCCGCTTTGTTTTACAGTTCTTTGTTCTGCTGGTGAACCACTCAAAGACTCATCCGGTGAACGAAATATGGAATGCTCTCCCACCGGAAGTGGAGCCAACTCATGCCCATCAACTCATTCCTGCGAAAGTACCTCAGGTTCACAATTTGAAGTTGATTCTGCTGTACTCGTTATCAAGAAGTATGAAAAGAACTTTTTTTCTATCTAAATTGTATGAAACCAATCTGTCCCTTGACTGACGAGTACAGTGCGGAAAGAGCTTCAATTTTTTGTTACAAACGCAGAGATCATGAATTCGATGGCATCAGTCTTTAGGCTCGACCACCTTTGGTGGTGTTTGCTGTCCACGTCCGCAGTACGTGTGCAAACTTCCGCGTGAGCAGGTATGCGCGCGAGCGCCGCAACCACGCGCTGTTTGCGGGGCTTTTCTCCGGGGGTCACTATTGCAATGCACGCGAATTGCAGGGTAACTGTGGAACATACTCGAACCGCTGGTGGTTCAACGCAAAAACCGGAAACTGCGAAGAATTTATCTACTCGGGTTGTCAGGGAAATTCGAACAACTTTGAGACATACAAGGAATGTCAGGATTACTGTCGCGACGCGAGAAGTGCGCTTCTTCTTCACCACATGTTCAAGGGAAATCGTGAAAGAATTATTTTCAGGTGAACCTCAGTGCATCCAAGGCACTGCGCTCACGGATTCGAACGGTAACTTCATTATCTGTGGAGGTTCAACAGCTGCTTCCACAACTTGTCCTGCTAACCATTATTGTTACTATGATGGTACTACCTACGGATGCTGCCCTACTCAAGGTTTGGATTTTTTGCGGATTCAGTTGACATTGACTGGAGAGCTACCTTATGAGAAAATTTAGATAATCTTTTGATTAGATTATCCGTTTAGAAGATTTTTCTTCTAGTACTAAACCGCGAACTGATTTCGAATTTTTTGAAGCTCCCCGAATTTTCCCAGTACATATTTATGCTTTTTTTTTGGAATATGGAAGATTAGAGAGTCACCTTGTCGTTCTAATGGCAGCTATTCAAATTCAATAAATAAGGCAATATATAATTATCATTACCAAATTTCTTTCTGGAAGTATCTATCTTAACACTTTCAGCATAGAAATATCTTTTTAGTGGTACGAAAAGCTTTATTCACATAGGTAAGCAATAACTGTAGTAATTCCAATATTCGAATTTGACCGTAACGCAAACATATATGATAAAATCTCGAGAAAGTAAATCGATAAAAATAGGATTTCCAAATCCGAGCCACTTTATTCCAGCTTACACCTGCTCGCTGTCGTACAAGTCGGGTGCTTCTTGCGGACCAGCCGTTACTCGCTGGTACTACGACTCGACAACGAGAACCTGCCAGACCTATTCATTCAACGGCTGCGATGGAAATTCGAACAATTTCGCCACTCAACAAGATTGCAAGGACTACTGCCGTGTAGAGTCATGCCCAGACGGAGGAGAGGTGAGTATAGTCAAGGAGTTTTGCTAATTAATGTGTGCGAGTGCACATTACATGCATATTGCGCGTAGAATTTCGAATGTTGGCCGCGGAGGCAAATTTGCTATTATTCAAATAATATATTTCTCCATTGATTTATGTGTGTATCTTCTTCTTTTCACTTATTTCTCTCGACATAACATTCAACTACACTTTCTAATTTTTTACTAAAAATCTCTTTTGGAAGTTCTTGACGCTCAATGTGAATATCGTGTGCAGTAGCACACTTTGGATCACGGAATGTGACTCAATTGTATGTATTTGTTTTTTACTTCCTTGAAATGTGCTCAACACCATCGTCATCCACTAAATCAAGTGTGGGTGATTGAGCGTCTTCGTCGTAGGAGAGGGTCATGTTTGCCGTCGTACGTGCTTCGCCTGACCCGCAGCTAATCTGCGCTCTATTGACTAATGAGGAGTGAGAGCGAGTGAGAGAGCTTGTTTGTTCTTTTTTGTCGGTACCTTTCTGTACCTGGACTCGATCTACACACTCACACATCACTCTAATGCTCTCCCAGTAATCCTGAGTTTTGACGAAAAATTATCTTGTTGAGTACAAGAGAAGGGACAATAGCAAAGATAGCAGAGGGGATGAGATGAAATTTTGTAGGTCTGGAAGGAACAGAATGGTGCAGCTCGTGCCTGTACTACCAGCCGTCAATGCCCTTCCACCCATTACTGTACACCGGTTACCACATGGACTGGTAAGTTTTCTGTTTGTATGGAGTACAAGAAAAGAAATGCTCACAGGCAGTGTCCAGACAAATATGTGTATACTTGAACTTCTCACTTGAGACTGATCGGGATAACATGATTAGGTCATGGTCCAAGCAGCAACTCATGTATTCTATTCAGAGCTGAGTAATTCATTTTTAAACTCTCGCCCATTACCGTACCGAGAAGGCATTGGTCCGCTTGGGAAGGATTACGTTAGTGGGCGAGAGTTTTGAGTTGTATTCTTCCACGAACGAAGCATATGTGCTGCCATTTGAGCACTGGCTTAGCTTAGGTTCCAAAATCAGTCTTCACCTAGAAAGCTCACTTACTTGAATTTGGCTGAAAGTTGCCTCTAAAGTAGAACACACTGTTAAGGAAAAGGTTTTTTTTCTAGCTAAGTTAGGCAGCGTGTTGGAATTTTTAGGGGAACAGAAATTTAGCATACCCAATCCTTTTTTGGAAAATAGTAGTTGTTTCATAACCGCTATTCACTCTTGGCTTTGAGATGAATGTCTGTTTTCTCTTTGCGGACTGTGAATTCATTCAATTCTAGATGTTCATGCGCATATTGCAAAAAATCAAACTTCTGGCCTTCTTTGGATAGATTGTAAAATTCCTCGAAGACTTCTCACTCGATACAAAATTTACATTTTTATATGGGATAAAAGATTAAAAAGACACTCTTTGTCTGACGAAGTGGAGTTAATTCAAAGTCAAACAGAAAACACTTTTTCCGATTGTCAAGTACATGAACGCTCTTTTAGGCACGGTCTACCAAACAAAATCCTTGTGCTGTCCATCGAAGAACTTCGTTTGCTCACAGCCAAGAGATGTAGGCGTACGTTGTTCGAGTACACGGATCACTCGATGGTACTTCAACGCTGACACAAAAACTTGTCAGACATTCGAATACAATGGATGCGAAGGTGACCACTCGTTTGTTTTCACTCGCCTTTACCATTTCAAAAAAAATTCTGAGTTTACATACTGATGAGGTCGTGATATGGGATGTCCAAGATGAGAGGTCCAAAAACTGTTTTCACTTTCTGTTTCAAATTTTTTTTCCACTTACAAGGGAAGGATGGTCAGTCGAAGTGGCTTTTTACGACGATTTGTAAACCACGTTGGAGGACATAAACCGCTGATTCCAAATCTGTCTTCCTTATCCTTATGTTGGAGAAAAAAATTGAATGTGCAAATAATATTAAAAAAGTAGTAACATTATTCCTAGTGCTCAAATAGACCAGTGGTAAGCTTTCCAGCACTCTATAAAACAAATACTCTTAGGTGAGATATATCCGCACTCAGGCTGTCTCATTCGAGCCCTGGGAAAATTTTAAAAACTATTTTCATCCAGAAAAACACTCATTTTTTGCTCCTTCAAACCCTCATAACTCCTGGTCCAGGGACGCGCCGCATATAAGGAAGACAGATTTGGAGTCAGCGTTTTATGTCCTCCACCATTTTATACAGCCCTTCTCGAAAGGCCACTTCGAACAACATCCTTCCCTTGTTAGAAGCAATTCTAGGGTAATTTCAATCCATACCACTCACTCAGGCCCACTATCCCTCTAATTTCAGTGCATCGCTTGTTCATCGCACTATGATGCCCTACTAAGGTGTTTCGCACCGGAAAATTTTCTTGCTAGCTACCTTTTTCAACCAAGCAGTAAAAAAGTTGAAAAAAAAAGAGGAGAAAGAGTGCGAATGATTAGTGTGAGCAACAATTTGAAGGTATTTCATGCCGAAACTAATTTGATTGTTGCGAGAGGCATGATTTTCGATTCATTTTTGCCAAATGTTCATCATAGCAAATGTTCATTTCAAACATCCCAGATCTATCACGAACTCTTAAAATGACATGGAGGTATTTACATACACCGAAAATCAATGTAATTTTTTACAAATATAAGAAGTTACTTGCGCAATTTCATGATCTATGTGTTTCAAAAATTTCGCGACCCGTACTCCGGACGGGCGTGGAGGGGGGGGGGGCTGGTGTGGTACTGACCTGTGGTCGTATTCATCAACGAACCCCGAGGGTTAAACTAACCCTGGAGGGTTAATTTAACCCTGGAAAGCGTCTAACCCTTATTCATGAAACACAGGGTAGGCTTAACCCTGAGGGTTAAATCTAACCTTGAGGGTTAATTTTACCCCGAAAGCGATTAACCCGTATTCATCAACGAATCGTGAGGGTTAAACTAACCCTGGAGGGTTAAACTTACGTGATTCATCAGGGTTAATTTAACCCTAGCTCAGAGCAAGGTCAACTCTACCCTGACACTTCATACAAACATTTACTCGCATCTAATAGTTTTATGGAAAACGATCAAGTATTGTAGTATACAATATTAGTTGTTGTTATAGAATATTTCGGCTTCGTTTTATGTTCAAATTCGAAGTACATGAAACACTGTTCGCGAGAAAATGAATTCTAGCTTTGGTGACAAATGAATGCGACAAGGAAAAATGGTTGCGCATTCCAGTCTGACAAGTGCCAAAACAGAAGAACCCCTTTATGATAACACGCACTGACTCCTAAAAGAGTAGCACAAGCCCGGCATAAAACGAACCGCGCAAAAATAGAACTTATACGGCACAATTGCACACATGAAAATAAACTCACGCTTAAGATTAGATGCTGCACAAATATGCTAGGAATGTTTCATAAAAACTAGTGTTAGAAGCTTATTCATTGACTATACTACTATAATAGTGAAAGAATAGAAGTATAAAGTAAATTTAGCACATACTTAGGCATTCTGTGATGTGAGTTTGCACAGCGCACGCGTAACTGACGCCTTTATCCCCAAGGTTAGTTTAACCCTCAGGGTTCATTGGCCGTATTCATCAACCATAGGGTTCGTTGATGAATACGGCCACAGGTTCGTTGATCGATACGGGTGGATTGCGTTCGGTGGCAAACCCTACCCTATGTTGATGAATACGGCCAATGAACCCTGAGGGTTAAACTAACCCTGGGGGTAAAGTTAACCTTCAGGATCCGTTGATGAATACGGCCACTGAGGTTCAGAGTTGAGGATTTCCCCTCTTGACGCCTCCCTATTTGCCGTAACCGCAGCTGCAAAGGCAGAGGTTGTCTAGAAGACATTTTAAGCGTATATATTGGCTTTGAAGCTTTTTTTATCAGCTAAGCAACTCACAATGAAACATCTGTACATTTTCCCAAATACCCCAGATTTTGATACAATAACTGCGTCCATTTATGATGCATTCTGATGAATCCGGAGCTTTTTGTGCCAGTGATAGTTTCATTGAAAATTGCAGTTTAGGTAACCGCAATAACTTCGCCTCGCAGAAATCTTGCCAGAATTACTGCCTCTCGGAAGCTTGTCCTCCAGGAACAGTTGTTGCTAAGGATGGTGATGGCAGTCGCTTGGTGCAGTGTAGCAACCCAGGTTAGTACCTCCAAGATCCTCTGTCATCTGTGCTTATGATCTAGATACTGTGGACATGTCCTTTCAGGCGGTAACGGTCGCGTATCTGGTGGATGTCCGGAAGGCTACACATGTTATTCTTCTCCACTTCTGGATCAGAACGTGTGCTGTGGAGCTAGCACCGAATTGCAATGTAAGTTTGTTCCGGCACACTGCAGGCAGTCCATTTGCGCAGCTACAGTATGCTACTGTAACCCCCGTGTGGCTTTAAGAGCGGACATGTTTCGCCGAAATGCAACGCTATGAACGTATAAGGTTTTGTTAAACAATGAGCCACAAATTTTAGCATCCCAACAGATCTTCCGGGAGCGTGGGAATTATGGTTACTTGGATTACAGTACTGTGTGCAAAAGGAACCTGCAGTTGCACAATCACAACGGCACACTTTTCAGCACTTTGTCCCACTTCCTCGACTCCTTTCATCTCTGCCCTTTCTTTACAACCAATGCAATGCACGCCAAATGTTGATGGCGCTTGCCCTGGTAACTTCTTCTGCTGGTTCTCGACCACTGCCACTTCCGTCAACGCATTCTACTGCTGTCGTTCTCCTGATAGCGTCGATACTGGATGTGAGTTGATAAGCTGGCAGAGTGTAAGCTCGTTTTCTAACGATATGTTTCAGTCTGCCCGCCACAACTCGTCCCTGTACCAGGAGAAGGTGGCGCTCAGTACAAGTACTGCTCACCATCAGCACCATTGAACGATGCGATTCAAGGATGTGGAGCAAATAGGCATTGTCAATTCAGTACTAACTTGGAAAGGTAAGCTTGCACTGCGGCTTGGGACGCACGATACTGATGCTTTGCTCTTCAAGGTATATCTGCTGCGGGTTGGAATCTGATGTGCGATTGCCGAACGTGTGCCCTCCACAGCCAGCTAACCTCGTTCCAGTCGAACTGGCTGGCAATTATCGCACATGCAATCCGTGAGTAATTTTCAATAAAATCGTAGCAAATAATTTTCGAATTTCGAAGTTGATCTCCCTTATAGTGAAAAGGTTCGGAGCGTTTGAGAGGTGGGATAAATCGCGATAACAAATCGTAGAATCTAGCATGAATATAAGGTATGCATCGCAGAACTATCTCCAAAAAGCAACGTCAGAGCAAAACTCATAGGGATTTACAAAGTGAAAACTTTTTGGAAGGTCTAATTGTAAGTCAGCTCGAAGCATCCATCATCTGAGGTTGGCGAAATTAAGCAGTATAGCTTGGCCGGTGACTGGGTAATTGCCTAAGTTCCGCTGCAAAAGGTATATCCGAAGCAAGAGTCGCTCCGAAAGCTGGATGCTGCTGGATTTGCCGCGCCCATTAAAGGCAGTGTCCCGGCAGATTCGCGCCCTGATGATATTGCTATGGTGGGGTTCCTTGTCACATCACTGACCTCCAGGCGCAGTTCGGCTGGTTGATGTTCCCTCTGGGCCGAGAAAATAGCCCTTGAAGCGGGCAGCAGGGTCTTGTCAGGGTCTTCCCTTCCCACTGAAATTCTCTTCCGAGCTGGTATTTAGGAATTGGGTAAACGTCCCGTAATAGTGTTTTCACCCGTTTCAAAGCTCAAATTCGGGATCTACGGGTCAAAAAGGCATGCAAAAAGATGGAAATGCGAAATCTGCCGAGACACTGCCTTTAACGTGGATGGCAAGAAGCGTGAGCCCGAAATTAGACTCTAGAACACCAAAATGTCGAAAATGTCTTTCCACAATGACAGGCATGTTCGAAATTTCGAGAACTATTGTGTCTAATCTCGAGCTTAGTATTTTGAAGGCAATGGGCGCAACTTTGCTCGGTTGGAGTATAATTCTAGAGTAAGCTCTCGACCATGGAATAACATATTGGTAACTGGGCATGGCCTTAGTCAACTAAGGGCTTTTCGATCAATATCCACATAAGTAAGAAGACGGGTTTTGGATTTGCTGTACACTGCGGACACCACTATGATTCAGTGGATCCTGAGAGTTATCTTCTCTAGACTACGTGAAAATGATTGACAATGGTTTTTGTAACCTTGATTCGTATCACCCACTCTAGAATTTTTACTCATCATCTCATCTCCCAGATATGCTCGAGCCGGTACGCCACAAAGCTGCCCCGACAATTCGGCATGCTTATACACTGGCAATGACAACGGATTCATTTGCTGCCGGGTACAGTTGGGTGGAGGAAAGGCGTAGACGATGATGATGCCGAATTGCGAAGTGCCACATCTTACTGCAGATTGTCTATTGTTTTTGTTTTGTGTTGTTCAGTTTGCCCTCAGCATAAGTCTTATCTGACCATGTGCCTTTCTATCAAATGACACTGTATTGAATAACTATTGGTGCCAAATGCTGCTGGATGAAGATGTTTCTCGAATCTTTACTGTACAATGTCACTTAATCTATTACTTCGGTTCTTCATGTTCTTTACTCTTCACTAACTGGTTATGTGTGTCTCACTCAGTGCAGTTTCAATCCTAATAAAGGGATTTGATTTCTTTTAAATCCGTCCAAACCTTTTTCATCAAATACGTTGAAGAAGTCAAACTCACGCCTAGGCACTATGTCTCCGTCCGTGCATCTGCGTCATCCTTTACGTGCAGTTGAGATTAGCGGACATTTGGTCGGGTGTTTGCTGTTGTGATCATACCTATAAGAGCAAATGGATGGAAAAGAGTGACTATAATAGTCCCGAATATGAGAATGACAGATCCCAGACTGTCATAACGCAACACAAGAATGCGCTAAATAAGTTTGAAAGGGTTTGAAAGGATTACGAATCGTTAGAAACATACAGCAGTCCTTAACAAATTCCAGAAAAAGTCGGCGATAAGTTAAAGATAACCGCAAAAAAATCTACCACGTTTCATATCCAGTAAAATGCACTACAGAAAAGTGTTTCTTATGCGATTCATAATGAAGGCCATTTCAGTGGAAGTAGGAGCTGTAAGAAGCTCAGATGATTCCAAACAATGATGGCCTTTTTGTTACATCTCTGAGCTAAGCTAAAGGTTTCTCCTTTCAATCATAATTCTAGAATTGATCATACTAATGACTTTCTTACGATTTTATGTATAGGGTATTATATCCATGATAAAACTCTCATTTTATTTTTGATAAGTAATTGCCTTTCTCCCCATGGCCTTCATATATTAATCCTCTGAAAACTTCGAATTACTAAGTCCTCCAAGATGTTCAGTTGTCCATATAAAGAAACTGTTCGTTTTTTGGTTGTTGATTTTTGATTGATATGTAGTCCAGTATAGTCTGTCAGATAACAATATTGATGATCTACAAATTCAACACATTCACGACAATACGACCCACCGGTGGGTCGTACGTGTACTGCCGTTCCGGACGTACGACCTACCGCTGAGAGTTTGTACTACTAGGCAATGCAAATTTATGATCAGGGCTCGGCACAGCTGGCACCGGGTCAAACTGGATATCGTTTTTAGGGCGGAAAGCAAAGGGGATATCGTTTATTCGGGGTCCGCGGCGGAGAAGTGCCGCAAGAATGCCGCCGGCATGCCACCGGCATGCTGTCCATCAACAAACAAAGGCCTCGTTCTCAGGCAAAATGCAATAGTATGACACCAAATTTGGTGTGTGCATGCGCGTTGGTGACCGGAACTACAGCCCAAAAATTTATGAAAACTTATGTGAATGAAAGCTATGCCGAACTTTTTTCCGAATTAGCTGGCACCGTGCCAGCTGGGTGCCAGCTGAGCTGGCACCGACACTTTGCTCACATAAGTTTTCATACTTTTCTACATAAAATGTATCTATACTGTAAAAGTTTACATACAGAGAAGAAACATTTTCATAACGTTTTCTTTTCAGCGTTTTGTAGCAATTTTAAAATCACTCAGTCTGCTCCGCAGCCGAAAAATCGGCTTTTTCTGCTTCTCAGCATGTGATTCAACCACATAAAAAGCTCAGAAATCTGTGAAAAGTGGTTCCATGAAATAGCATGCATGAAAACCCTACTACATACTTTCACAGAATCCAAAAATAATGACTTGTTTTCAAAACTGGTCAAAGGGGACTTCGTACGAATTTTACAAGATCAAACGGGACTTCGTTTCGAAATCTCCCTGGTGCCAGCTCGTGCCGAGCCCTGTTTATGATGGAAGTATATAAGATGCCGGCACATGTTCGAAGACATTTAGGGGAAGCTCTAATTAGAAGACCACTTTTCGGACGACACCACACATCGGCGATTGAAAAAAAGACACGGGACACTTAATACCAGTGGGTCATATGTCCGAAACGGTAGAAATCGATAAAATCATGTCGTGTATGTTAATTTAGATTTCATAGATATATCAGTAAGCTAACCACATGACATTATAAAAGTTGAAAAGTTTTTTTGTTTCAAAATGCTAAAACTGGCAGCTCATCGACATCAAAAATATAATACCTAATGCCAAATACTGCACTATTCTTGATCTTTCACATTTACCTACCCTAATTTCACGCGTACAAGGCGCGGGGTGGTCCTAGCTTTCATCGACTAGCCCGAACACGGCAAAGGACTTCGCAACCAAAGGAACCCCATACCGTGCTGCGTTTTGCCTGACGAATCGTGCGGCATAAGGTTCGCTTCTTAAAACACGTTGGGGCGGCAGAGCAGCTCGATGAAAGCTAGGACCACCCCGCGCCTTGTACGCGTGAAATTAGGGTACTTACTTTTTATTAAATATTAGGTTTTGCAAAAATAATGCCCATTTTTTAGCTTACATTCCAAACAACTTTTTTCCTTCAAAATTTCTTTTTCGATATAGATTCTGCATACCACTGAAAAGCTTTTTTCATGTACTTTTTTAACGGTGGTAAAATCAAGCTTCTGTCTCATCTGTGAGAATTATTACCAGCATCTCGCACAGCCGCACTCAAAATCGAAAGTTCGTTGCCTTAATATTTTTGGCCACAGTTCAGGCACAGATGAACAATTTCTTTGAAAAGATAGCTACTGTATGAAATGAGTATTGTTTACCCATTGCATTAAAAAAATTTTTATATATCTGGGCTGAAAAATTGACGCATCAATATAGACCAGGGCCCGGCAGGAGGTGGCATTTCAGAATTTTGAAAACGATATCCCCTTTGAAGCCAAAATTTCTTACGACTTCCCCTTTGACCCTATTTTTGACCCCCGTAAGTCCCTGACAAACAGATATACACAAATAATAAGATGGGCGGCCTCAGCGCTTATTATAGTAGTACTACCTGGCTTTCCTGGTCCAGCCCGGGCCATCGTTTGAGGGGAGCAAAAACTACACTTTGTTCTTCTACCTTCCCGTCCTTTTGGGCCATATACTCCACCTTTTCTGCAGTGTCAATACTGCATTGCAGCCCTCCCTTTTACCCTCCTGCACGAGCTTACTTCAGAATGGCTTATTGGAGTGACTGCACCTTCTAATTTCAAAGTGGAAATGAACGTCACTGCATTGTTCACACCAAAATGTGCAAGCAGTTTGTTAGCGGCTGGTAAGTGTTCACCTTCCTTGCAAAAAATGTGCCAAAAATCATCAAATCGATAGAAGAATTCCACGAATTGCTTCGAAGGGTAGCTTAAAACCATCTACCGAGGCCGAAAACATATGTTTACAAGATTTCAGCTCAATGGGTTCATCCGCAAAGGAATCTATGAAAAAAACATAGAATCAAGATTTGCACAAACTTCGACGTTTATATATCTAAGATACTACTCATTTATTAGTCAGCTGCGAAACTTTACCATTTACAATAACAAAAACATAAACCTACACTATACAACTTCAATAACAAAAACAACTTCAACAATTTCATAACATTCATTTCATAACAACTTCAACAATTTCATTTCATAACACTATACCCTATTTTCCGGTTTATATGCCACACCTCATATGAGCCGCACCCGCCGCAGCAAACAATGGCGCGAAAGAGTTTTGGAAAAGAAAGTTTTAAATTTAACAAACTGAAGACTCGCTGCATTTTGTGACAGTTCTTTTGCACATGTTCAAGTCTCCAGGTATTTCCTTACTCCTTTCGATTCGGACGAGTTTGTACGTTGGAGTTTTATTTCATTCAATGAAGTGCTTTCTTTTGTTCTTGCTGATATTACCGATTTCAAAACTGTGATTTCGTTCGATTTCAGTGGTACTGCTAATGTTTGAACGGTGTTTCGAAGGCTTTCACAACAAATAGCGAAATCGGAAAGTTACACTCAGGCTACTAGGTAAAATAGGTAGTACCATCATCGCACATTAGCCTGCGCGCGATAAAAATAACTGCGGCTCACATGCCGAAAAACAAGGTATATGAAAAGAAAGAGTTCACCCTGTTTCCAGGTGTGCAAGCCGCACCCGTCACTCGAATTGGGTGCGGCTTGTACACCTGGAAACAGGGCTTAACTAATGCTTTAGTCCCCTGACGCGACGACGTCGACGACGGCGACGACGTGGAGAACGGCGACCGCTCTCCACGTCTTCGTGTCGTCGCCGGCGCGTCCTCGTCTTCCGGAGTCGCATAGCGACATAATCAGAGAAGTACTAACTGAAAGGCGGAAAAGTTTGTGTCGAGAGTTACCTTCACTCCTAGCTGTGCAGCTCCATACTCCGCAATTGGGATGAGGAATTCCAGGATCGTGTAGGTCTTGTCCTTATTCACGAGTCCGACTAGAAGAGATGTGATGTGTGCGATGACGTCGTTATCTTTCGGCTCGTCCTAAAATGCAGTTCATTACATTCAATGTGGTGAGATAAGAAAATACCATTTTGAATTTTTCTCCAAGTCTTCTAAGACCTTCAGAATAGTGGTGTGGTCTTTGCGGATTCTGTACTTGACTTCCTGGAGAAAGCTTTGTAAAACCTGGAGGAGAACTATACTTCCAATCCCCGACGAAGGCGGATGTTTGAAGGAAGTGGATCGGCAAAATCGAGGATTTGCCGAGCCACTGCCTTTAAGGCACCCGCCACTTAAGTTAATCTTTTCTTCAATGACTGGAAATAATATCTGCTTAAAGGCAGCGTACACCCAAAACAAATGCAACAGATGTTGCAACAGCAACTGCAACTGCAATTGCAGCTTACGCTGTTATGGATTCGTCCGGAGGAGGCGGAGCGAAAGAAAAGGGGCGGCATGAAAGAAAATTGAGGGGGTTTTCTCCGCTCAGAAGCAACATTGGGAGACCGGACCAACGCAGTTGGTCTTCCTCTGGGCCCAGTATATACACGGTGTAGAAAGACCTAGGAAATTCGGCAACTCAAATTTTGGGTGTACGCTGCCTTTAAGAGACTTAAGTATGGCGTGTGCTTTAGGCTGCTCGTCTCACCTTCGTCTGGAGTGAGCCTGATGTGTGAAACTCACACTTGTGTTCGTTTGATCCGGGTTAGTATATTGGCTTTGAGCCGGTTGGAAAATAATTAGCAAAAGCACTAGCAAAGGGCAAGTACACAAAAAACACTGGAATAGAGTCTGAAACAGCTGACATTCTTAGGGAGCTATCTTGCATATCACAAAGCTGACATACCCGAACCCAAAGTCTGAAACGCAGAGTTTTGATGAATTTTCGTCCTCCTGAGCGAGCTAAAGAAATGAAAACTTCTTTCTCCTCGTTTGAAGCAACCACGCTCTAAATGAAGAAGTCAAGCGAAGATTTCATGTAAACAAAATTTACCTTAAGCCCATCCAATTCAAATAGCACGGTGCACTCGTCGGTTCCGATGGCTACTTTTGTTCGCTGGGCTTGAATGGTCCAAATTCTACCATTATTGTACGATATTACAATATTTAAGGGACCAGGTACACCGCATGGCAGTCACACCTTCGTCAGTGCATCACCATGCAAAAGATTGAACTACTCCTGTTTATTCTCAAATCACTTGCTGAAGACATCCCACCACCCCCACGGAGGCAATCGGAGCAGTGGACCCAACAGCACCGAAGAAAATTTTCAGATTCCGCCGGCGGACATGAGGGCCATACGCCCATTTACCATCGTATACAAACTCTCGATCTTATTGGAGCTTCTATCAGAAAGGCCATTAGAGCAAATGGGACTGCGGTCCCTTTCCAAATAGTGTGGGCGGCTTTTCGAAGTTGCCACGGGTGCCTTCAATGGATCCTCCGGAGCCTACATTACCAAACACAGCGACTTCCGCATCACCACGGAAACAGTCAGCTCTTTCCGGTTCAGATGGTCCAATGAAGTGTGCCGTCCGTACACACTTTACTTGAGCACCACCTCAACAAGGGGGTAGTACTCAAGTACCCGGGGGCCCTTATCGGATTTCTCTCCAGAGGGGTCAACATCTACAGGGTGTCCCAAAAGTCTTTGAGCCTAGTATTTCCTCCGCTGAAATTGCATGAAGCAACATAGAAGCATGAAATTCAGCAGGGAATTTGCGAAGAGCCTACAAAACAACATGATACACTCAGATTTCTCAAAACCCTCCTTTGGCTTTTACACAGGCTCTCAGACACTTGCGGAATGCATGCACCATGGCAGCCAGGTAGTTGACATCGAGATTGTCTCACATCTTCTGAAGCAAGCAATCCAGACTGTCCAAAATTTAGCATGGAATAGAGCAAACCTTGTTTTCCATTACTGATCACAAAGGGTTGTTTCAGACTGCCGCACACTGCAGCAGACTGCAGCTGACTGCACTGACTGCAGCAGACTGCAGCAGACTGCAGCAGGCTGCAGCTGACCGCACTGACCGCACCGGTCGCAGCCTTTTTTTTTTAAAGAAAACAACCGCGTTTACCAAAACAGCGTGATTTAGGCATAAGAAGATCATAAATTCCGTCAGAATTCTTCTCAATCAAATTTTGGCGATAGTTTTCTTTGGTATGTTCGTATTTGTTTCAATTCCTCCTATCATTGCATATACCTGTTTTGTAACATCCTAACCGTGTTGTCTTTTGCTTTTACGTATATATTGTTGTTGTTTGTTTAAACCACAACTATTTATCCTCTCCGCCTGCATGCTACAGCCGCTGCGGTCGTTGCGGTCAGTGCGGTCAGCTGCAGTCTGCTGCAGTCTGCTGCAGTCTGCTGCAGTCAGTGCAGTCAGCTGCAGTCAGCTGCAGTCTGCTGCAGTCTGCTGCGGTCAGTGCAGACTGCTGCAGTCAGTGCAGCAGTATGAAACAACCCAAAGAAAAGTCAAGGGCCTCTTGACCCGGCTATTGAAGGCACGTAAATCTGAGAAGCATAACTGTGAGATTTGACAAAAGTGTCAAAATGTAGCATCCAAGTGTTTGAGAACACCAAGAAAACAGCCATCATGGTGTACCGGGAGTGACTTTAAAGTGGTATTTCAAGAAAATGCAGGGCTTACAGCTAGAATTAGTGACTGAAGCTGATTCGGTGCTGGACTTTCCAGCTTTTCCAGGTTTTTGTTTCCGAGAACTTTTCCTCCTCATTGGCACGGCACAACTTCAGTGTTTGTATCCTATTCCTACTCTAATGAACGAAGGCTATTGATTGATTTTGCACTGTAAATGTAGATTGAAGCTAGCTCTACAATATGCAGTTTGAAAGTCCATAAGAGCTCCAAAGGCAAAAGAGCTGTAAATATTTGAATAGAAGGTGCGTTTCCTTCGGCTTGTCTTCACGATTGTAGTATTGTTCGCTTCAAGAAGTATATCTCGAGAATGTACACTGTAAACGGTATGATTTTCTTGACGAATATTGGCAACTAGACGAAGAACTCAAAGGCAAAATTTGGCTGAAAAGCGAGGAATACTAACAAAGTTACTACGTTGAGAAGTTAGGCTTAAGGACTTTTGGGACACCCTGTACAGTTTTATCCATTGAACAGGTATGGGTGACGCTGCCGCGTCTTCCGGATGCCCTTCTGTACCCGAAAAAGGATTTTGGAGTCCAGGTGAACCTTGAAAGGAGAGATGGATATGATCAGGAGCAAGTTAGTTTTGCTAAAAATTATTTATTATCTATTCAACTGCATCAATAACATTTACCATATTTTCCTATTTTTAGTTTCTCAAAAGATCTTCTTAGGAACGACATCGCCGCCACCAATTGCCATTCTCATACGACTACAACGCACGGCCAAGACTGGAGTGGCGGCACTGAAAATATTTTGTATAATTATCATGAATAAAAACTTCGCATTATATTTTTGGAAAAAATGCAGTTCTAATACAAAAGTCCTATTCGATATGAGTACCAATTGAAAACATGGTCTAAATCTAGGAGTATGGCTATCAATTTCGCCGGGGCTCCGCCCCGGACCCCAAAATACGACTTCCCCTTTGCTTTTTTGGGCCAAAAACGATATCCAGCTTGTAAAAGCGCAACCCCCGCCGGGCCCTGATATAGACACTCGTTGCATGGCACTCTACGCGTCAAAACTTTTTCCTGATTAAAGCAATCGCCGAAGCTGCACTCATTTCTGTATGCTTGAAGTCAAGACGTCTTGCCTACATTTTTTGCAGAAAAACTTAGCTATGCAGTGGCAGTGTACGAAAAATTCCAAATTTTCAAAGTTTGGGACTATCTGACCTACCACAAATAGGCTCAAAAAGTGAACATTTGGATTTTTATCTTTTCTTTTCGCAGAACTCCTTCGCTGAAGTCTTTTCTATGCAAAAGTATACTACTGGCTGCGTCTACAAAATAAGCTGATTAGCAGCCATAGGAACAAAACTTAAAGGGAGCTGTAATCTCTCAGAGACGAGGTCTTCAAAAGAAAAACTTCTGGTTTTTTGACGCGGGATTTTCTTCCCGTTTGCGGTTTCCGTATATGCAGGTGTGCATTAGGTTACGGGAGGTTTACTACTTCTGATGGTCCCATTGCATTCAAAAATATGAAGACTGTGCAAAGTTATACCCTTTCAAAATTAACCTTTGTAAAACGGACATGCTTTTTGCAACAACCTAATACTTAGGGCCTGCCATGACGTTGCGAAAGGCGATAGTCAAACCTGCCTCTCGAAGATATTCACCTACACCTTTAACTTCTCTTTCTTGGGTTGTGATGGAACCTGCACCAAAATATGAAAAAAACGTTCTGAACTCGCATGAAGCACCATGTGCAGCACAGGTCCGCCACCTGTTGATGATATTGCAGACCTAACAACTCCGGATCCTCTATCCTCTCACAAAGAATCGTTAACTCAATTCAAAAATCAAGATTACTGATTCACTAGTCTCTACGACAAATAGCGGAGATGCAAGACCTCTCGAATCTTCGTTGACAAGAATGTTTCCCCTTCCAAGTGCAAACAAGGTAAGCAAATCACTTGTACAGCTACCGTTTCCACAAACAATCAGCAAACAGTAAGAAAACTCTTTAACTTATTAATTCACTCAAAAAGCACTATAAATATATACAACCTGTACAAATGACCAGACATTTCAATCAAAGTGAGCAACAATCTATAGGAACAGTATGGAACACTAGAATAAACCTCGTAAATGTGGACTTAAGTGAGTAAAGATCGATGCTAGTAAGTGGCAAGTTATGCATATCCCGTCACCAGTTTTGCGAGCGTATATAATATTTAGCAAGCAAGCAATGGTTCTCCTTACTTCCAAAGCGGAAATAAGGGTGGACACTTCAGGAGAACACTACTACGTTATCAACGTAAGAAAGGAGCAACTGCTTATCGTTGTTATTTTTACTGACGACAAGCAGATTCGCAAAACGCTCAGCCAATTTGCGAAACTTCTGTAATTCATTGAGCTGATAAAGTAAGTAATATAGTCCTGCGACGAAAGTGCGACCACATAGAGAATCCCGACGAGTTCCTGCAAAAAGCAAAGAAAAAAAATCACAAACGGCAATGAAACTATGGTATACTGACCATTCAATCTGTGTAAGCTAGCATGAAGAGCAAGCAGAAGACAGACGGAGGAGTTTGGAGAAGGAATCACATTACTTTTGTACAAGGTCAAAGTAGGCGTAGACAACCCGCAGTCGCGCAGCAAGTCAACTACTGGACCAACATCAGCTGGTACGGAGTCGGGGCGAGCCAGTAGATATCTTAATACTGGCAAATTTTTTCTTTCCGATTCTACAACTGTAGTAGTTACCTATCACAGGATGTTAGAGTGGAATAAAGAGGCGCAGCGTGTAACTGACAATGTCGCTTCTTTGACTGACAAAGCATGCTCAGCAACAATAAAATCTGGCCAACCTAAAAAAAACATATGAGGGTAAAGAGCAAGCAATTAGTAGTTCAAAAAAAGTCTACTTTGCCTATCAGCTGAGTGAGAGGGTGATTCCCTTGCAACTGGCGTGATAGCTGCTCGTACTGGGGAGAGGCTAAGAAAGTGTCATCGAAAGAGAAGCTTCCAATAGCACCCAAAAGAGTATTAATTTGCTTCAGTGAATCTGTAACAAAAGACGGATATACAAAGCATGAATAAGAATAAGATGTCACGATGTACGTACCTGTTATTGAGGTCATCATACTGTGGTTCAGAATCGATCGTAACGCATTTATCGCTGATGATGGAATCCATCTCTGAAATGTGGTTGAAGGACTGCTACAGGAAGCAAACATTGATCCAAAAGTTAAAAAAAAGACGCATACTGCCATTTGCTCCCGTTTAGTGAAGTGAAAATACAGTCAATTCAATCCAAACAATGCTTTGGAATCAGCATCCACTAACCGTAGATAGTTTAGCTTACGACTTGAATCAAAAGGAAATTTCTTGAAACCCACTATTGTCAAAGTAAATCGCAACAAGACTATGTAATATCAAGAGAAAACAGGAGCACATCATACCTCAATCGAGTCGAAAGTTCTTGCACAGAGTACATCCTTCTTAGATTTCACTTCACGCCATAACATGCTGTTCTCCAAATAACGATTAGCGCTAGATTTATCGATTACAGAGACTATCACAGTGTAAAACATATACTTACTGGGGATCAGAATATTTCATCAGAAGGTTATAGACGTGGGAAAGAGCCGGTACATTCGCACTACCTTTGCTGGGAGGCTGAAACGGTAACACTGGATCATAAGCGATAATCAGACATAAGTAACGGGAAGAGTACCGTATTCGGCGCATTCTTCTCTTTGAGCTCACTTGCAGTTCGTTGAACATGTGAGTCTAGTTCCTCCCGCCACATATCATGACCATTAATGTCCACGTGTTCACACATGTAAATGAAGGCACGACGAAATGACTCCAAAGTATCCGCCAGATGACACAATACATCTACAGACGACTGATATCAAATAACCATTCATGACCAAAACAAAAAAGAAAGGAAACTGCGGATAATGCACAAACAAACTCACCATCCAAGGGAGCTAGTTTGTCAACACAAATCAAAAGTGAGGGAAGTTCCGAAGCAAGCTCACGGCGAATACCTTCCTCAAGAAGTTCCTAAAAAACTGTTTGCATTCAAAAATCATGTATCCGTATAAGGAGATACGCTATATACAATATATGATTTAAAAAAATCTGAATGATAAGAAACACTCACTTTCGGGTTTATGCCCACGATACCCACTTTTTTGAGGGCCATCCTTGATACACCCAAACTGAGGTTAGATATTGTGTAGGTTGCCTCAGCTAAACTGAAGTTGTCCTCGAAATCTGCCATATCTCGCGCCTAAATGATTACAGTGACTCAAAATTAAGTGTAAAGGCAAAGAAGTTGCAAAAATGAGCACGCTGACCGCCGACTTGTCCAGTGTCGGCTCCCAATGTCGCTGTAATGATGGACATAATGTCGTTCTCAGGATTGAAAACAGCCTGTGGGGAATTGTCTGTAAAATAGCCCGAAGACGTCGTTCAAGATGAAAGGAGTAGGCGCGACCGATGAGTCTAAAGAGTGTAGTAGAGCGACGTTTTAACCTACTGATGAATGGACTAAAAGATTTGCAATAAACAATAAAGAACCTTCCATATTTTACATCATTGCGACTATTTTTGAACACTAAGTCTAGGTTCTCAATCAGTAGTGTAAAGCCTGAGTAAAAACTCAAAAAAGCAACAAAGGGCTAGTTTATGTAATGGACCTTTCATAGGTACTACTATCATAACTTTTTTGTTCAAAAAAGACCGTTCAATGAGCTCCACATAATAACTCACGTCTTCCTCTCTTCATTACGAAGCTGCTCACACAGCATGGTTATTGAAATAGAAAGCTTGAAGACGAGAGCTCGAATAGCATGAACATTCGATGATTCCAATATTCTTCGCTGAATGCGAGGAGTCCAGTCATCTAGAAGCAACATCAGTGATAGAAAACAAGCGAAGAGATAACCACTCACCCAAAATTGGCCAGATGTATGAAGGATCAGCATATCTTTGTACACGTTGCTCTTCTTCTTCTCTTACACTGTAAAGAGCAGACAATGTGTCCAACTGCGACTCCAGTTTGTGCAGATGTTGTGCAACACTGAGATTTCCGCCCAGGTCGAGCATCTCGCCAACCTGACGCGTGTAGAATATCATATATATTCCGAAAGCAGTTCATTTGCAATTCAATTTTGATTTACCTGTACAATTCTTCTTTTGACCTGGCTAACAAACTCTGCATTCTTTTTGTCATTCAACTCCAACTCTTCCAGAGTCTTTTTCATTAGCAAAAACCAATCGTGCAGTTTTGCTGAACAGTGGATTATAACACAAGCAAGCTATCGTAGCGCATATAACGAACAAACTTTTCTTATCCTTGTTCAAAGGACCAAAGTCTTGAGAAAAGAGTTGCGCCATCTCCGCTATGGTAGAGCAAGTTGCATCCGTAACTTTCTTGATATTGCTTTCTTTATTTTTCAACGCATCTCTATATGCCTAAAAAAGTCCTCTGTCCAACTCTTCCTCCAATAAACGTGTCTTACCGTGAAAAATTCCATCTCAAAGTTAGCTGCGCGAAGGAAAAGCACCAGAGATTGCGCGTCGAACTGTGGATATATGTCAATGGCTTGCACATAAGATGCTGCTTTCTTCGAAGTAGTCTTTGCTGCAAATAACTTATTCTCCGAGTTTGTTACGGGAAATATGTGGAAAATTATTACAGCATGAGGTAATAGTATGTTCCTGAGAGCTCAACTTCAGCCAAAACGGTAATGTAAAATAGTCTTATTCACTAGATGTCCAAGAAACCGAATGTGACCATACTCACAAGTATGTAAAATCAACCACCGCAACGAAGAGTTGTATTGCGAGATGAGACGGATGTGAGCATCAAAGTCGTTGGGGGAGATTTTGCCCTAGAAGTAAGAACGAAGCTCAATTTCCCAACTAAATTAATAGTGCATAGCGAGCTGGCGTTAAAGTCAACAGAAAAGCGCGTATAATGTGGAAGCGAAATAAGAACTATGGCAACATAGAAAGTCCAAAGTTAAAAATGTTTTATCACTCAAGAATGACTAATTGAGAAGCAAATTGAGATAGATGAACACATAACTATCACAGAAATTGTCGCAGATTCTTAATACCTGCGGAATGGTCAATTTTGACAGAGCATTGTAATGGTAAGTTGCCATGTCTTTAGCTTTGGCAACATCAACTTGACTGCTAATCGCCGATGAAGCCGCACGATAGGACTGCCATACGTCCAAAAGATTGACGTTCAAGCCTAACCCTAATTGGAGGACCTGAAAGAGACGTTGTTGATGGAATAAGCTTCATTTTTGAATCACTTACCCATTCATCGCGGAAATAGTACTCGGCAACTTGACGCATTTTGATGAAGTCAGACTTTAGAGCAGATGGTTTGAAAAGAAGACATACAAATACCCATTTGATCAAGGTCATTCTGTCAACATACGATTTTCCAACATCGTTGATTCCCTAGAAACAAAAGTCTGGCCATGCAGATCACTTATCTATCTATTAGAGTACACCCTTAGGAATACTAAAATAAGTGTAAACAAGTTGACAACATAGCAAGATCATCTTACCTCGCGATGTATGGTCTCACAACAAGAAAGGCACTTTTGCACAACGGATTCATTTATATTGAGGCGTCTATAAAGCATAATCAAAATCTTCAGTAGAGCAGCAGAAAAGGAACATACTCGAAGAGATAGAACGGATCCGAGGTAGATGACTGTACGCGAAGAAAATCAACAAGAAAATCGACATTTCGTCGTTCATCACTGAAAATAATCATGTGCAAATAACTTCAAGAATTATTATAGTTCAAAATGAAAATGGCTGACCTGTTTCGATATATAGCAACGTAAATCCTTTCGCGAACAAGTCCAGGCAAGTATTTTTCCAGATACAATAGAACTAAACCCATGTGGACAAGGATTTCAATATCAACAACGTCCAAGTATGAGATCCCGACACGTTCGTGGCCGATCTGCTGACAGTATCTGGGAAAGGAATATTGTTATACGGATAAAAATCGAAACAAATTCTAGCCTACTCTTTCAGACTGGAGATAAAGTTAGCGATCGTTTGAAACAGCGTAGAAAATCGAGAGAGCAAATCTCCATATGTGTTGTAGAAACTATCTTGCAGATCCTAGAAGTCGCTGAATTCAAAAGAAGAACTTCAAATCATGCACAAGAAACTTATACCTCATTCTCATCGATGATCTTCTCACAATACGCTGTTCGTGTGAAGTAACCAAAGTCTAGTACCAAAATTTTGTACTTGGATGAAAGCGGATCAGTAAAATCTTGTGTGAGAAACCCAGCAAGCCTGACAATTTCGGCGAGAATACAGTTGGCCTCTTCTTTAACATTCATCAAGAAGGACTCACTGGCCGTAGCCGTCATGTTGCTTAGGTTGTTCATACCTAAAATATTGATTCATGCATCTTTCACCCAAAAACCATGTGCAAGAAAGGTCGCAAGGGAGATGTGTGTTGAAAGACTGCGACTGCAGACAAAATGAAGATGTAGAAAAATTAAAACATGGCATATACTTGAGGGATCCCCAGACAAGTTATCTTTTGAAGAAAACCACAAGCTTAGTAATTGTAAGTACTATGTTTTGGGTGGCGGACTTTATGAACGATAGCGCGCGCTTAGGCAGGCATGTGTCAATAAGGTGCGCACCGTTAGCCCCGCCTGTCGCTAGATGGACGAGTTTCCTGCACTACAGCTTGGGCACTGGTTCATAGCCATTTCACTAGTCCACTAAAATCAGTCCTTGATATTAAGCCATAAGCTTGCTTCAAGCCGGAGAGAAGCTTGTTATATACAGAATCGTTTGTTTTCTTGTTGATTTTTTGCCCATTTGTGAGATGCTGATCTCTTGAATGTTTTGCTGATTCACCTCCGAATGACCGTGTGTCTTCGTAGCAAATTTGAAGTGTGAAATCAATCTAGAACACCTCAGGCGTGATTGTCTGGGTGACCTCATATCTTTAACTGTTCACACGCAACATCGAGCGAATCAGCAATCGATTTGATTTGAAAGCGCAGTTTCTGGAAGTAATGCACAATTATTTTTTGTCAAAGTAGATTCCGTGGAGAAATTATAAGTGACTACGGTTTTTCTAAATTCTTACGAATTTCGCTTTTCCAAATTCTTATGAATTTCGAGTTATAAGTGAATATTTGTTGACTGGTTTTCGGTCATTGAAACTGATGGGAGCAAAATGAAAGGATTTTGTTAATTGAAGCAGATTAGTTAATTGAAGCAGATTATCAAATGTAATGGTGTGTACCAGTTATTGAAATTAGTTTGCTTGAAACAAAATTTGCCTAAAATGCTTGTTTTGAATTCTCGCCATAATGAAATCTCTATTTAGCTATGAGTAAGGTTTTAAAACTTAGTTTTCTGATGAAGGAGATGATCGTGTTAGTCATCTCAGCAATGATAATAATATTTTTTGATAAGCTGACGTCTTCTTGAACTGAACTGGAGGGTGTACAATAAAGAATATTCGATTTAGTAACAGATGTGAATAAAGAGAATTGAAACACTTTTCCAAGCATTTTCGGAACATCTTCACAGTTGCTATGAAAAATCAGTTTGGACAAACCTACTAGGAACAAAAAACTGAAACACATCAAAAAAGAGCTTGCGAACTAATTTATGATGAAAAATGATTCTGAAAGCTGGTTTTCAATTCAATTGAAATTTTTGAATTCTATTCTATACCTAAATTGCAGCTAGCTGAAGGAGCATGAACGATATTAGAGTTTTCTGATAGTTGCAACGATTTCCTAACTAATTGACAAGGAGGCGGAGCGTTCAGCGCATCGCGTGCGGTACCCAGCAGGCGGCTGGCACATGCTATCGTTCATAAAGTCATACACCCCTATGTTTTCCTTCAAATGTTTTTCTTGAGGCAGTGCATAGCCTGACAGAGAAATTAATCTAAAGCAAACTCCAATGATGTTTGTTGCTATAAAAGAGGTAATTTGAACTGAACCAGAAGCTTGGTAAACTGCATGCAAAGTGATAAGATCATCGAAGCCGCTGAAAAACAAATGAAAGGATGCATCACCCTGGTGCGAGAATTATTGCGTGCTGTAGATGAGTTATTCTGCATTGAAAGCGTTACTTTATATCAGACGCTTCAACTTTTTAATTTCAAAAGCGATCTTTTTTTCGTAAGTTTGATATTTTTTTTGAGTCGTTTTTTCATCGCATTTATGGAGCTGCTAATCCTTGAAGTTTACATGTCTTATTCAATGGCATGATATCTAGAGGAAATAATGTCTCAATCATCTGCTTTTCCGAAAAATTCCAGAGCCTCGACTTTCAAATATCCAAAGTATCTTGGTTGTTGCTATTGTATGGATTCATCACTGGCAAAATCGCCATAACTTGCTCAAAAGTCCGTCTCAATTTTTTGGCGATTTTTTTTCGATTTCAACTTGTAGCAGCTTTCATCTGCATGACAATCTTTTTCTCTCACTCAAAAAGAAACCTGAAACATATTGTTGCTATGCGACGAAAGGTGTGAATGATAGCATTCTAGCGTACGCTTGCACGCTCTTTTGTATTATCAATTCTTCTTGGCTTTCTGTTGCTGCTTCCTGCAACCCTTATCTGGCCTCACGATAAGTTTGACTTGTGTCCATTTATAGTTAGTTGCAGAACATTTGAGTAAGTCTGTGTTTGATTGCAGTTTTTCATACTGATAAACAGAAATGAATATGAAGGTTGGGACTGGAGCTATGGTGTCCCCTTCGATTCAACTGGCTTGGCGGCTGAAAGGCGGGGCGTCGTGACTTAATTAAGGCTAGGTGTGATTAGAGAGTACGCGCGGGAGAGACGCAGACTGCATTGCGGGCGCAAGCAGACTTAATAATGTCACAAAGCCCCGCCTTCCAGCCGCCAAGCCTGTTGAATCAAAGGCTACTAGGTTTACTATCTATGGTCGCCTCTTAGATTCGCATAGATGCGAAGCATAGCGAACTTCTGATTATATAGATGAACTTGTTAAACCTCCACGTCACACCATTGCTTTTCTTACTCTTTCGCTTGGATAGACCGCCTTGCTCTTGCACGACTCCGCTTCTGTACAAGTCTCGAGCGTATGTATGATGATACCAATGAAATTCTGACAATAGTTCATTTTGCTGTGTATCTGTATGTGTACATACCTAAAAGGTTGGCATTGAACAGGAACTAGATGTTTACGAGGTCTTCACATGTGTCCAGTTTTGTTCGACACATGTGAATTGCCTCATAACATCTTGAAGGTTTTATAATGGCAGGTGATTTGATGTTTACACAAAACGTGCGGGAAAAATGGACTTTTGAAGAGTTATCACATAAATGTTTGGCAGTGAGGTAATGATTCAAAGGCCCTTTCACCCAAATTGAGGGTAGTAGGTTTCTTACGGTTAATAGCGGTTTCCCTAACTAATAAGTAAGCGCCCCAGTCTCTCCGCAGAGGATACCGGCGAAAGGTGCTCCTGAAGTTGAGAGCGCTCCGCCTTCGGGTATAGCGTTCTGCTTGATTGCGATGGTCGGGGTTTGTGGCCATTGCACGGGCATTGCTCTGTTAGTTATTTACCTTTCAAAAGGTTTTTTCCTCCGTTAGCTGCCAATTACCTGAAACGATTTCAAAAAGTACGAGATTGTGATTAGTTGGAGGCGTTGCATCCTGCGTGTGCAATAGCCACAAACTCAGCGACTGGCGATCACGCAGAGGCCTATAATTGGGCTTGATTGTGTCCAGGCCGATTTAGATTTTGTAAAGCTCTTAAAGTTATTACTCTTCCACAGTTGCAAATTCTGACTCATGTGAATTCTGCGACCTATTCTGAGGGGCTTGTGTGGACGCGACCGCCCCTTCTCTCTCGCCCACCACAGTTAAGACAGGGACCGTTAGAAACATTCATAATCTTCAGTTTTCTGTCATAAATTGTACAAAGTGCTGGATGTAATGATCCTAGTTCTGACTTGATGAACAGTTCTGTCTTTACTGTGTTTTGACTGAAAAGTCTTTCCCATGTTATAGCTACAGTGAATGGTCGTCATCTGCATCGTTAATCCATCACTGTGTAAAATCGATCTTTTCTTTTAATGTGCAGCACGAATTGTTTCATCCATCACCAATGCTGACGGCACGTACGCATTTGCTTAGCGTTTTTCACTAGAGCTTGGTTTCCCGTGCTTTGCACCCATAGTGTTTTTATTGCAATTATGCGGAAGCTTAAAACTCTCCTTGTTACTTACTGAGTATAATTGGCAGCGACGTGAAAATACCGGTTTTCGATGGGGCTCGAGATCGTCGACTAACATGGAGTACAGGCAGATACAGTTGTAGCGCTTCCTGTAGTGTCTCCCCCAAGACCAAGGTCGTTCCTAGAGAGATATGATGACATAGTTCCTTATAGCAACTTGATATCTTATTTATGGCTAAAGGAGAAGTAGCACTTAGGCGCAACTCTCTTTTTTTCTTTATATGAATGTTCATAATTTGAGAATTCCCTCTAACATATTTCAATCACATTGTTGATATAGTGGTTCAGGTCTTGCTTTTTTTCCAACTTTTTTGTGACCACCTCAACTCTCATTTGTTATCGCTGTAAGATTATCGACTTCTTTCCGTTGTCAGTTCACGTTCAAGGCACCTTCTCGTCAATATGAAGATATGTTTTTGTTGTATGTCCAATTATTACCTTTGCCATCGTAAACCTTTTTTAGAGGATGGAAAATCTGAAAGAGATTCCACTCTCAGAGGTGGAGCAGCATAATACCATTAATTCCTGCTGGATCGTCTTACATGACCAGGTAAGCAATTGTTTGGTATAGAGAGCGAATTACTTTACGTATGTGCTACCTTGTATCTTTCTAAATTGCCACCTCAAGGACTGATTGCTTTCTTTCCTGTTTTATTTATGGACGCACATTTGAGGCGTTCTCTGGCTTTGTCAACTATTCGATATTGATTTGATGCTTCTCGTCTTTTCTTCATGATGCATAATTTATCTTAGCTCTCTCCATGGTCAAGTTATCCCATTTTTTAGTAAGAAATAGTTCAAGGAATAAAAACAGGGCCAAGCTTCATTTGTTGAACAAGTCTGAGGACCAGATCTATTTATGAAAGGCCTTTTTCGTTCTTAGCTGGAGTGCTTGTATAACTTGATTGACCCGAAATCTCAAACCGTTGTTTGGTTCTGATTTGTTGATTATCCAGTTGAGTGAGTTTACCTTAGTTCTCTAGGATGGTGGAATCTTCACACCTATTCGCAACATTATAAACATTATAATGTAAATTTGTCCTTCGTTTATCCAACTATTTTTTGATACTCACAATGTATACTTTCATCAGCGCATTGCCGACATCAAATTGCAGTTTCTGCTCTTTTTTTTGTAATAGTTTTTGTTGCGTCTTTTCTTACGCTTTGGGTAATATGCTTGAGATTGACTTTTCTTAGTGCACGTAGCTCTGCGTGCATTGTAATGGTAAAAACACATACATTGCTCAGTGTTCTCTTCATCTTCTTGCTGGAAAGGCGATGAAAAAAATTTTGCTCTTTGCACCGTAGGCATCAACCATGGCAACAAGCTTGTTTCAGTGAATTTGTGTGTTGTTTATCTGTCAGAGAACTCGCAGAGGTATCCGGTACCGAGTATTTTGCTTAACAACTCGCCAATTATCGCTATTATGCAGCGCTGTAAAAAACTTGCTGCAACTGACAGTGAGTAGCACTGATCGTGCTGAAGTTAGGTTTCCTTGATATCTGAAATACTCGTTACTATATTTATTACAACCAAAGTTCAAAAATTATAAACTTCAAAAATGATACTCATTTTTCATGGTAGGGCGTTTTTCGGAAGGCTACGGCGGTGGCGGTCTCAGGATTTCCTTCCTCGGGGGGAAGGAGAGGGGAAGAGGGAAGGTCGCAGTGGCGCACCGAGGCGCTCCTCCCCCCCCCCCCCCTTCCCCCGAGAATGAGTCGCGAAATTTTTGAGAATTACTTACATGGGTTATAAAATTGTGCAAATGACTTGTTTATTTTTATAAATAACTAGCTGGCTTACCCGGCTCCGCCGTATCCGGACCAAACTTGGCACACATACACTTCGGGCCCCGGCGGGTGTCACAGTCCACTTTTCGTTATTGATCGATGTCGATTTTACCGATTTTTATCGATTTTTTTGCAGAGTTCACCTACAGGGCTAGGAGTTGGCACAGGGGGGGGGGGGGGAAGTGAGCATGGGGATTCAGAATACAATATTAGTTTTCAGAATTATCGATTACTTTTATTGATTTTATCGATTTTTTGTAAATTTTGACATGCGAGGCTGGGATTTTGCACAGGGGGGTAATCGAGCATGCTGATTACGAACACAATATTAGTCTTCAGGATCGTCCATTACTTTTATTGATTTTATCGATTTTTTTGTAAAGTTTGACCTGCGGGGCTGGGAGTTTGCACAGGGGGTAATCGAGCATGCAGATTACGAACACAATATTAGTCTTCAGGATCGTCCATTACTTTTATTGATTTTATCGATTTTTTTGCAAAGTTTGAGCTAGGGGCTGGGAGTTGGTACAGGGGGGTAATCGAGCATGCTGATCATTCCCCTTGGGGATGATCAGCATGCTCGATTACACCCCTGTGCCAAATTCCAGCCCCTAGCTCAAACTTTGCAAAAAAATCGATAAAATCGATAAAAGTAATCGATAATCCTGAAAACCAATATTGTATTCGGAATCCCCATGCTCGATTACCCCCCTGTGCTAACTCCCAGCCCCGTAGGTGAACTCAGCAAAAAAATCGATAAAAATCGATAGAATCGATATCGATCGATGACGAAAAGTAGCCTATGACACCCGCCGGGGCCCGAAGTGTATGTGTGCCAAGTTTGGTCCGGATCGGTTCAGAAATGGAATTTTCTATTCGGAACATACGTACATACAGACAGACAGACAGACAAACAGACATTCAGCTTTATATATAAGATTAAAATATTTTTAAAATTTTTTAAAAATTCAAATCAGCATTGTACCCCCTTTTTCCAGATTTTAGGGGTCTTAAGCCCAAAAAACTTTGAAGAAGTGCCCCAAAAATTTTTTCGGAGTGCGTGGCTAAAGCTATGCACTTTCACACTTTCATCTGAAAAAATTTCTTTCCGCCTCCCCCCCCCCCGGACGGAAATCCTGGGACCGCCACTGGAAGGTCGGTATAATTTTTTTCAAATGAAGGTGCTTGGCATCAGCCATGCACTCCGAAAAATATTTGGAGTGCTTCTCGAAATTTTTGCTGGTCCAACCCCTACCGGGAAAAGGGGGCCTGACGGCTGCCACACCACTTTCCCGCGAAAATTTCTCACAAGGCTAGTTTGAATTTTAAAAAAAAACTAGCTGGCTTACCCAGCTCCGCAGTATGTTCCGAATAGAAAAAACCATTTCTTAACCGATCCGGACCAAACTTGGCACACATACACTTCGGGCCCCGACGGGTGTCACAGTCCACTTTTCGTTATCAATCGATGTCGATTTTATCGATTTTTTGCAAAATTTGAGCTAGGGGGCTGGAATTTGGCAGAGGGGTGTAATCGAGCATGCTGATCACCCTCACGAGGGTGATCAGCATGCTCGATTACCCCCCTGTGCCAACTCCCAGCCCCGTAGCTCATATTTTGCAAAAAATCGATATCGATCGATAACGAAAAGTAGCCTATGACACCCGCCGGGGCCCGAAGTGTATGTTGCTAAGTTTGGTCCCGATCGGTTCAGAAATGGAATTTTCTATTCGGAACATACGTACACACATACAGACAGACAGACAGACGTACAAACAGACATTCAGCTTTATATATAAGATTAAAAATTTATTGCAATTGTTTACAGGAATAAACAAGTCACTTGCACATTTTTATAACCCAGTAACTAAATTCCACTCCCCCCTCCCATCCCCCCCCCCCCGATCCGCCTTTGGTTACGGTAAGTGTACAGAATGGGGTCAAAATCTCAGATATCGCTGAAACTTTGCCTAGAGGGGTTGCTCGACATCTGATTACGAACATCACACTTTTTTTCGCATGAAACGTTTACCTGCAAGGTTACGGTAGGTGCACGGTAGGGGGTCAAAATCCAGATTTGACTGAAATTGATCTGGAGGGGTTATTTAACATGCTGATGACGAATATCGTAGTCTTCTTGCGTTTGGCCTTTCTATCGAGTTACGGTAGGTATCGTCGATTCGCTGACCGCACCGACTGGACATCACTGCGGAGCACGCGCCGCGATGCAAAACGCTTGCCCTATTACAATTTCGCCATTGTACATGTCGTGTTCTCGCAACATTTCAGCCGCGCGTGGTCTTCAGCGTTTGAGCAGTCCGTGAGGTCAACGAATCCTTCTTATATCGTTGATATATGGTAAGGGTTCAAAACCGTAGATCTGCTTGAAACCTTGTGCAGGGGAGTCATCTGATGTCCTGAAAACGAATATCGCGCTCATTTAGCAGTAAGGCGTTTTCGTGAATTTTTGGGAGCTAATTTGCCTGAAAAGCGAGAAGGTCCATACTTATACGCTGCAATACCATAACTCCACAAGAAGGCGTTATTGCAGCGAGCAAGCATAGTTTTCGTTATCAGCATGCTTGAAAACCCCTCTAGGCAACTTTTTGAGAAAATTTGGAACTTCATCTACCTGTCATGTACTTATCGTAACCCGAGAAACTGGTGCTGCCTTAGGGAACGGCCATAGGTTGCCGGCAACGGTTGTCGAGGTTGTCGGAGTTGCCAAGGTTGTTAGCGTTGCCGGGGTCAAAGACAGCTTAGAGAGCGCGTGAAACGCGTGGAGGCTATTATGAGGTCCTAAAACCGGCAACCTCGGGCAACCTCAGCAACGCCGACAACCTCGGCAACCCCGACAACCGTTGCCGGCAACCTGTGGCCGTTCCCTTACGAATTCAATACGATAATCATATTCAGCGTGCTAAATAATCACCGTAGGCGAATTTGCAGGTGTGTGATTTTAACCCCTATCGCAAACCTATTCCCATGCAGGGAGACGTCTTCGTGCGGAAAAAGTATAACATCCTTCTATATAAAGCTGAATGTCTGTTTGTCTGTCTGTATGTATGTATGTCTGTACGTATGTTCCGAATAGAAAATTCCATTTCTGAACCGATCCGGACCAAACTTGGCACACATACACTACGGGCCCCGGCGGGTGTCATAGGCTACTTTTCGTCATCGATCGGTATCGATTTTATCGATTTTTATCGATTTTTTTGCTGAGTTCACCTACGGGGCTGGGAGTTGGCACAGGGGGGTAATCGAGCATGGGGATTCCGAATACAATATTGGTTTTCAGGATTATCGATTACTTTTATCGATTTTATCGATTTTTTGCAAAGTTTGAGCTAGGGGGCTGAGAGTTGGCACAGGGGGGTAATCGAGCATGCTGATCATCCCCAAGGGGGTGATCAGCATGCTCGATTACACCCCTGTGCCAAATTCCAGCCCCCTAGCTCAAATTTTCAAAAAATCGATAAAATCGATAAAAGTAATGGACGATCTTGAAAACTAATATTGTATTCGTAATCTGCATGCTCGATTACCCCCTGTGCAAACTCCCAGCCCCGCAGGTCAAACTTTACAAAAACATCGATAAAATCGATAAAAGTAATGGACGATCCTGAAAACTAATATTGTGTTCGTAATCAGCATGCTCGATTACGCCCCTGTGCAAAATCCCAGCCTCGCATGTCAAAATTTACAAAAAATCGATAAAATCAATATAAGTAATCGATAATTCTGAAAACTAATATTGTATTCGGAATCCCCATGCTCACTTCCCCCCTGTGCCAACTCCTAGCCCTGTAGGTGAACTCTGCAAAAAAATCGATAAAAATCGGTAAAATCAACATCGATCGATAACGAAAAGTGGACTGTGACACCCGCCGGGGCCCGAAGTGTATGTGTGCCAAGTTTGGTCCGGATACGGCGGAGCCGGGTAAGCCAGCTAGTTTGTAATAAAGAAGTCGAGCCCTTCATGCAAAATTCGAGTGGGATCTGAGACTTTGACCCCACAAATTTGCCTACCGTAATTCACCGAAAAAAGCCTTACCATGCGAAATGAATATCATTTTCGTGTTCAGCAGGTCGAGTAACCCCCTTAGGCGAGTTTCTAGCATGATCTGCGGTTTTGATTTGGGTGGTATCAAGTGGAATGGCGCCAGATGCTCTAATGAGATTGATGTTTTTTTCAACCAATGTTGCACTTTTCCGTGATTGTATTATCTATGCGAAAAACGGCAGCTTATGAAGCTTCGATCGGCTGCGTGGAAGTAGTCCAAGCCGTAGTGGCGCGGCAACTCGTAAAACTACTATCACGTGTATCTTCCAAAATACTTTACAATATTCAAAATACGGGATTTTTTTGGGTTACTGAAACTGCCGCTGCAATTGACACATTCTGTGCAAAAATGCCATTTATCAGACCTATCGCGCCGCGTTTGTGACGTTTGTGACCTTAATGCCAAACAGCGCGATTTTTTCAATTGAGCTTGTTAGTTTAATTTATGCATCCGGGACAGTACATTTTATTTGTGGAAAGACAACAACAAAAGATGATTTTGGTAGACTTCATGTTATCTATCAGTGGGAAACGGAACAGTCTACCTAGTTCGAGCTTTGTGCAAGTGTTGCAAGTGTTCTTCGTAAGCTGTAAAATTATGCTAGTAATTTAGCATTGTTTTCAAATGATTGGAATAGCTTTAGAAAATTTCATTGTAATTCTCACTATAAATCTTCTTTAGTCCGCTAAAAAGCTATGTAGCCCCCCCCCCCCGAAAATGGGTCGCGAAATTTTTTAAAATTATTGCATGGGTTATAAAATTGTGCAGATGACTTGTCTACACTTGTAAATAATTAAAATAATTTTCAAAACTTTCAAAAAATTCATTTTAGCCTTACAAAAATTTTTTTCGCATCTGGCTGGCGCCACGCCCCCCTTTTCTAAAATTTCGGGGTTCTGAGCCGCGAAAATTTTAGGGAGCATACCAAAAAAATTTTCGGAGTGCGTGGCTGACGCCACGCACCTTCATTAGAAAATTTTTTTTGTCGCCCCTTCCCTCCCCCCCCCCCCGAGCTGAAATCCTCGGTACGCCACTGAGAGATGCGAGTGAGGGTTGGCATACTTCCTTCTTTTTTAAGCTTGCTTCACATCAAGAATGGATAACTAATCTGAAAAGCGGGGACTAAATGTCCTTGTGGACCGAAATTCTTGTTCAATACTTTTACAAATCAGGCTCTATAAAGAATAATGCAAGCACCGAGCTCTTAGCTTCAACTACTCATTCTTTTCAAGATATTTACAAGAGGTACTTTATTTTTCCGTAACGTCTGAGTGCTTTAGATCTATGACGTCAGCAAATTTCTTGACGAGCATCCTGGCGGTTTGGAAGTGATTGCGGAATTGGCTGGAAAGGTATTACATTTTCTGTATGCTTCCAATATGATTGAATCCTTTTTAGGACGCCACCAATTCATTTGAAGACGTAGGTCATTCGAAAGATGCTAGGGATATGGCGAAAGAGTACTGTATAGGTATGTCACAATTTTGATGATTTTTCGATACATAAAGAAGTTCTTTTTTAGGCAAGGTCCAAGCAGGGAGTGGCCATGCTGCACAGTCTCCTCCAGCTGCCGAGAAGAAAAGCCCTGCGACCACTTGGAACTGGAAGGAGATCATATGTTCACCTACGTGGTCGAACTTCTTGATTCCTACCACTATTGGAATTATTGTGTTCGTTCTCTACAAAGGGGTAGTAAAAGTCTTTGCATAAATCTAACTTATGACGGTCAAAACTTACACATTATTATTGGTTGAGATTTTTGATACTTCGACACATCTAATTTTCCCTTTGTTCATCCGATGCTGAATACCGAAACCCGTGTTGTCATGGACACCCGATTTATTTCTGGTGATGCCGTAGCATCTCACATATGAAGTATGTATGTACTTGTTAGGTTGAATTTCATTCATTTTATCACATGCATTGTTATGGCGAGGGGCTTATAGACCCCTCACTGGTCATGTCACACCGATTGTGATTAGGCGCACAAAAACGTAAATGTAGCTATAGGGCATTTGAAAAATCGTGACGATAGCGCGACCGCACGCTACACGCACGCCACTTCTGGAAACCGCATTCTCTTAATTTCATTTCTAGTCGAATGGTTTCTTCGTATGATAATATTTGGACACTGGAAGTGACTGAGCTGGAAGTTGAGGTGATATCTTTTTGTATGAGCAGTGATGGGCTATATGCTCCGCAGTCTACGAGTGTTAATGAACGTGGTTTCAAAAATTCATGTGATTGCTTTTCCAAAGCTTATACTTGTATTTGTTTGATTGCCACGGTTAAATGAGATTGTTACCTTGTTTGCAATAAATTTGAGGTTAGTTGTCTTTGGTCTGAAGTAGCGGATTTATCCCAAAGTATTTTCAGATGTACTAACTTGCTATCTTTTGTAATGAAAGTTCAGTTCCTTCAGAGTCTTTTCTATAAGACACTTGAGTTTCTATAGCTCACATCGGAAACTACAATGTGCTTCAAAAGGGTTGACGTAGACAGAAGTGTTGCCATAAAATACTGTAGCTGTGAAAAAGGTCTGCTTGCGCTTATTGGTGCAATTGCACGACGACCCGGCGTATTCAGAGGACCGAAAATCCACACTGTAGAGCGCGAGAACGGCGAAAAAGGGCTGTTATGCAGAAGGTAACTGGCGGGGGGCAGGGGTTATCTGTGAAGGTTCAGAGCTTCCGAAGGGATCTTCCTATTTCCGCTAACCGCCCTAACATTGCCATCGGTCAAGCGCGAACGCGTGACTTCGAAGCGGAATCGAAAAGATCGCTGCGGAAGTTAGGATGATACAGAGTGAAAGACCCCGTCCACCTGCTGATTCCCATTTTGTTATACCCCTTTTTCGCTTTCGCGCTTTACAGTGTGGATTTTCGATTGCTTAGCGAAGATAGACAACGAATAAACATTAGAGTCGACCAGATATGGAAAAAACCTCAGAATCGAATTTCTGCCGCAAACTGCCTTAAAGTTGTGAGATTGTACAAGTTGCTGCGCGCTAAGTCCTGGTTTGGCATTTATAGTACTGGAGGTGAATGTACAGTCTGCCCCAATCGGGATCAGGCCGAACCGTCGGCTGAATTCGCGCGCTCGCAGCGCTAGGGGATTGCGCTGCATACGCGCGCTGTCGCAGAGAGTGAAGAGATCGAGGAGAGAGCAGACTAGCTAGCCGCAGACGTGGCGCGAAACCCTCGCGGCGCGGCCCGCCATGCCGATTTCGGCCTGGTTAGGATTGGGGCAGACTGTATCTGTATAAACGCCTGAACAGAATATCCATTTGAGAAGGCATTAAAAGGCACTTGCCTGGAAGATTTGCGCCCGCATGACCAGCTGTCTACCCTCCTTTTACGTGCTTTAGGCAGCGTTCATACTTCATGCGATTTCAGTTGCGATGCGGTTTGGCAAGGTTCAATTATTTATAAGTCATCGTAAGTGCATTCTGAGTGTACAGAAATATGGAGCATTCTATCGATCTAAGGAGGTTATGTATGTACATTATGCAGTTAGTCTGCGAGTATCGGATTCAGTTGAAGACATCTCACATCGGCAGATCGCGTGGCAACTGAAATCGCGTGAAGTAGTGCGGTGTCTTATAGTTAGTCCTCAACCAAAAGGCAAGATGAAGATCGCTACACGACAATGTGTGGAGTGCGTGAACATCAGTCCAATGCTGTACATGCATTCATGAGAACCTTGAAGCCTGAAAAGCGGCAGTTTTGACATGGGCAGAGTAGTCGCCAAACTTTAAAAAAGTACTGCAGCGTTGTGCTTTGCATGCGTGTGGCAATAAAAGATAAGCTCGTTACTGATAATGGCGCTGGAGCGATTGAAAGCTTGCACTGTTTTCGTTTTTGAATAAGGCAGAGGCAAATTAATTGACATTGATGCATAAATATTCTTTTCCATTTTGCTAAAAGTGACGCAGCTCACTGCTATCGATGTATTTAGCAACGTCCTGTCAGCTTTATCACTTTTGCTACGATTTAGTTTATGGAACGTGTTGCAAAGTATTGCTTAGCATTGCGAAAAATCTACGAACAGGAAGGTATCAACTCTTCACATTCTGGATCTCTACGAAAGAAGTAGGTTTGTTTTTTTCTACCTTAGTTTACCATCTTGTTCTTATATTCAAGCATTCAATTACTTTTCTTTTGAATTTCGGTTCTTATAAATTGTTTTTGATAGCTTGCTGTCAGTATTCGCAGTTTCACCATTGTTGCCGGGTTGTGTTGCACTGAACTTAGAGGCGTCTATGACTTTTATAGTCTTGACTTCTTACTGGCAGGAATCTATTTCAGACTGAGACGCATACTTTCGGAATTGGACGATTCCGATGAAAATGCTCAGGCACTCGAATTGTACTGGAAGACAGCTTATTATGAACCCCTTACGAAACTTCGGAAGCAGAAGGTGTGTCACTTACCTTACTTGACCGACCTATATCACCTTTTTATTAGATCCTCGATGCTGACTGGTTTAACGTCATGGTATCGGTATTTTGTGGTGAATTGCAAAGCATGCTTGCGGAGAGCCCAAGACATGCAGCGATGTACAATCTCTACTTGGGAGATTTGCACAGGTGAGCATGTGTTACTGCAATTTTAGAAGCGTTCATCACGCATGCTTTAGTAATCAGATTCCATCGTTTCACAGTTTTTGATACTCGTTGACATCTAGGTATCTTACAAATAGTGACCAGTCGTCCTTGTCGACGCTGTACTATCGTCGAGCTGTGGAGATGGACGCAGATGTCGGACAAGCGTTCAATCAACTTGCCATCAACGAAACACCGGTGAATTCCGTAAGGTAAGGTTGCTCACCTTGAAGTTTGGACATCAAGTAGTATGAAAGATTTTTATTAGTAACCCTTCCCAGGTTGTTCTTACTTGCACTATTGGCTCGGCGGCCATTCCAGAAAGCTTGGGATAACCTGAAGAAGACGTTTGAACAGAAAGTAGAGGGTCAGATTTCGTACTTTGCCATATCTCTGCCATACATCATCTTGGTTTCATACAGGTCTTTTGGTTTCCACTTTACCTTAAAATTCATATTGTGCACTGTATGTGTACACGAAAGTCTGATTTTGCAGTAGAACTACCTTGGACAGCGAAGGAATCCGTTTGGTGGAGGCGATTAAGTCACTCAACGACCCATTGCATGATCAACAGCTTTCTTCATTACTTCTAATACTTTCGCTCAGTACCAGACTGGCTATGGAGGGTGGAAATGGTAAACGTTTGATTCTGAAAAATGTTATGAAGAGTCATAATGCATGTAGACATGTGATATATTTAGTTATCGATACATTGCTCAAATTTTACCTTTTAAAAACTTCACTCTTTGTCTGGACTCAAAAGTGTTTGGGAAAGTGGTCAAGCTGTGTGTAAGGAGGGTTATAAGGGATCGTTCAGACCACGCACAAAGGCGCACGAAAGCGCACGAAGGCGCATGAAGGCGCACAAAGGCGGACAAAGGCGCACGAAGGCGCGTGTGAGTGAGTGTGCGTGTCGAGATAAACGAGACGAGACAAAACGCGCCACCGTGCGCCTTTGTGCGCGGTCTGAACGACCCCTAAGATTGCAACGGACAAATGATAGTTTTTTTTAATTTTTTTTTTGCAGAAGATGCGTTCATCGGCTGTGTCACTCTTCTGTGTAGCTGTTACTTACAACTCATCGATAAAGTCGTTATCACTCAGCCACCAGAGGCAACCGATGACGATGAGGCTAGTCACCTATAAATGTTTTACCTAGGAAATTTCAAGCTGAATCATCCAGGTTATCCATATTCGGCGCCGTAGAGTTAAAAGTGACTCTGATTGCGACGATGAAGATTCTAGAAGCAGAGACAGCAGCTCGTCTATCGAAGAGTCGGTAGCCGAAACGGTCAAAGTACCGCAGGAACAGGAGGTAAGCTAGGCTTGTGAAGATCCGTTAGATCCCTAAAGACATGTAGTGCCGTTCATGCATTATTCGAGTGTGCTCAATTGAGGCAATATTTTTGTAGGTTGACATTGAAGGTGGCTGGATTTTGGCGGCAATTTGTGAATGGTTATGCTACATCAGTCCTCAGCTCCATAGCCTCAAAAATCGGAAGACAACTCCAATTCCAGCGGCTCTTTTGAACGTGAGTTTTACAGTTTCAAGCGTAGTTTGTAGTCCATTTCGATTTTCTCTGTCTTTTGCCAATTAATCAAGTTCTTTCCAACCCTTAAAGACTAGAGTCCACTGTAAGGAAAAATCCTCTCACCGTTACGGCCTGCCCGTGCTGAATATTGCACCAAAGCCGTTCCGTTTTCTGCGATTGTGGGTTATTGTATGACTATTATAGTCGCGTTCTGCGCCTCCTGAAGATGGAATTTGTAATCAGAAATCATACACTATAAAGAAAGTTTTAGCTAGAATCTGGATATGTTTCGCATAAGGGGTGGAAGACGTTATGTCCTCCACCCCTTACGCTAAGGGAATCCGCCTGCATGGGCATTCGGTACGGGTTGTAATAAAGAAATGCATGGTCTGTCGCAACCAAGCGGGCAGAGGCTTAGGGCCGACATAATCTCCAGCGATCTACAGAAAGCGAACCAAATAGAAGTTCTTTATAAATTGCCCGAGATGAATTGTTATGATATAGGTTACTAAAAAAGAGAGTCGTAGACTAGACTTTTACCATTGATCTACATTTCATCGGATGTGTTAGCTCTGTTCCACAGTATGCCAAGGGGTCAGTTTGCGGAGTCAAGGTTTAGGGGGTATGGGAACATTCTCCAGTCAAACTCCCATAGCTTTCATGGAAACAAATTTCTCGATGTTTTGGCTGGAAATGAGATTGACTCAAACTTCGAATTTTTTGGAAATGATCTGTAGTGCTAAACTCCCAGTAGGCTATACATTTTCTTTTCGAGATGTGTTCCACAACTCCATCTTTCAGGTTTTTCATTCACTTGTGGACAAACTTATACATCAGCTCAATCAGTCTACAAAAGCTATGCGCACAGTAGAAGATGCGGACGAAGAAATACGTTGGCTTCTATACGGCGCAAGTATAGAGGAGTGAGTAGACATAAATGAATTTGTCCATTTTCGTCTAGCTGCATCCTACTTTAGCAAAGTGCGCGCTGTACGACAGGCAGCTCATTGGGCCTTCAAACTCTGCGCTGTTGAAACGTCTCCAATTGAGTTTGCTGGATACTTCCGAAGAAGAGGCCCGGCTTCAGAAACTGTGGAGTTGCAAAGGAAAATGGCACAGTTACGTACTGAAACAGTTCGAAAAGAGGTGAGGCTCCTTCTTGAGATATCTGCACTGGGTAATGGCAGACCGAAATGGGTCACGAAAAGTTTGAATGGCCTCAGTTCCGAAATCATGCAATTTGCTTGTTTTCATGAATAATACGAACATTTCTGAATTTTTAAAAACTCGAATCTACCTCAAAAAATTTTTTGGGGCCAAGGCCAAGGCCGCCACACGTCCTTTCTCCAAAACAGGGTGGTAAGCCCGAAAAAATGGGAATTCCCAAATATTTTTTGAGAGCGAGGCTAGCGCCACGCCCCTTCGATTGGAAAAATGCTTAGTTTTCTCCTCCATGAAAAATTCTTGTACCGCCTGACAATGAGGTTTAATTTTCTAACTGAGAAACGATGAGGTTTTACGGTGAAGGCAGCAAGCTTGGTAGAATTCTTCTCTTTTTTCACGCCTTCTCAGCGTCTTCAATAGACAAGTGTTGATGGTCTGCAAATTTAGATAGGAGGAGTAGGGCTAATGTGTGGAACGATTTCTCTTTTTTCATCTTTTTTCGTCGAAGGCAATCGTCGTTGACGTCTTGTTTCTAATTTTTCAGGCAAAATCCATATTCTCTTCCAATCAGTTTTATGCCAGTAGTTCATCAGCATTAGCCTTTTGAAATTGCCATCAGTTGAGACATTGATTTCGAAGACTTCTTGAAAAAGGATTGATAATCAGGATAGGACAAGCATTTTGCGAGTTAATGCATTTTTCAAACTTCTACGGTTTCTGTCTGAAGTGGCCAGCAATCGTATGGCAAATCGTAAAACAATTTGGGACAAATCGATGTTACCCTCCCTCTCTGAAAGTTTTTTTTGCGATGAATGCTGACTTTGTAGACAAATTTGCCATATTTCTTTATTTAACGAGCCCGCTCTGTTGCACTAAGTTCCGGAATCTCATTTTTCTTAAAATTCTAATCGCTCATTTACCATGAAAGGTCAGCTTTAGCAGTAAGCAAGTTTTAGAAAATTGAATCCTGGAACTTTCTGGGTATTTGGCGGAGTAATGAATGGCATTAAAGAATCAAAAAATCACTCTAATAAGTCTAGCTAACTGGAAAGATGCGAAAGAAGGCGTTGTACCATAAAAAGCTTCGCTTTATTTGCAGCTTATCGAAGCTTTCTCAATGTTCTAAAATAAAAATTTGAAAATTATTGTAGAGGTAAAAATGATGGGATCGAATCTCCTCAGTTTATGTCAGCGGTCATCGCAAGGTTTACTTCTAAAACTCAGGTGTCGGAATGACGAACCATCAAAAAGTGCTTTTGCACATTTTATGCAAGAAATTCCAATAAAAAAAACGACACAAACTTTTGCACCGACCCTTTTACACAGCAAAAACTATTACGCATATCAGTATAGACCATGCTTTGTATAACAGTTTCGTAAGAAGATCTTCCTGTGCGCATTGATGTGCCTTCTTTGGCAAAACTCCAGCGTTTCGCCACCAAAATGACCCTTTTTCAATTTTTCTTGCTCTCAGTTTTCGGGTTTTTATCATAATTTGCGCGACGTAATCATTTAGTTGGCACCAGTTAATGTCCACACTAATTTATTTGTAATGAGATATCTTGCATTAACTTACATAAGTTATCTATCTGATGTAGGATTTCATGACTTTCGTACTAAAGTTGGGAGTGAGTGCTAAATTTGTCTTAAATCTACCAACGGTATGAAAATTTGAACGTAAGAGGTAAACTGGAACTTCAAGAAAGATTGTATGTTATTAGATAAGTTTTTCTTTACAACTTTGGTTTTAAAAAAGTCCTTTCTGTAACAACAGCACTCCCCTTCCTTTCATCTTCTCCCTAATGTTTTGTTGGTTCGCCTAGTGTAAGGCAGAGTCAATTTGAATCTAAATGAATTGGCTCCACTGGCCCGATGCTTCTCTCTTCGTTAGCAATTTCATCAACGCGTGTTCGTTTTTCACGGGGAAGAAATTAGCGTGCGTGTTAATTAGTATCTTGAGATGGACAAATAAACATCGAACACATGTATGGATGAAACTACTTTACGAGCTTTGTTTACACCATTTGTTCACGAAGAAAATGTCACTTGTAACGAAATGAATCCAAATAGAATCTTGAAGATGCCAGATTTGTTATTCCATAGAAATTATGGCTTATTATAATGCCGTTATTTGACTTTTTTACGGGAGAAATTAGAGAACGTAATTCAATATTATAACAATTTCATAATCCTTATCTTGTTGTTTTGTTTCTATAATGTTTTACTACATTTTCCGCCAAAAATGCTTATATTCAGATCAATCCTGTTAGTGCAGAGAACAAATATCTTTCTGTTTATAAGCGTAAAATGGGTTTGCGGCAATGTAGCTCGATATTTTCAAAAAGTGAGATCACTGAAAGTAGAATTGGGAGTCTTTATGTAAAAAAAAATTTCAGCTTTTATGCGAATGATAAGAATGTTTCTTGCAAATCTGTTAAGCAAGATAAACCAGCAATTCTCCTCATTCTATATCTGTACAAATAAAGCTGAATGTCTGTTTGTCTGTCCATATGTTTGACTGTGCGTATGTTTCGGAGAGAAATTTTTATTTCCAAACCGATCTGGACCAAATTTTGCATACTTACACTTCGGGACGGAGAGCGTGTCGTAGGCTACTTTTCATTATCGACTGATATCGATTTTATCTATTTTTGCAGAGTATGAGCTACGAGGCCCAGAGATTGCATGGGGGGGGGGATTGACAGGGCGGAGCGAAGCCGGGTTTGCCAGCTGTAGGTCAGTAATCTTGAATAGTAGGTAAATTTTCAAACAATAAAAGAGTATGACAATTTAGCAGTAGCGGACCAAGGCACCTCTTCTACTCTGAGGGTGGATGGCGATCTTTTTTTTTTGCCTATATGAGCTACGAAACGCGCTAGCGATTTATTTTTACATGTGGTCCGAAAATTTAGCCTAGGCTCGTAGAGCCACCGCCGCTCCTCCTTTTCCTAGAGTTTGTGAAATATAGGTCCGCTAAAATTTTGGAAGGCGTGGGTTTAAACAAACAATTTAATAATAATAATTTGATAATAAAAATTTGAATATAATTTCATTCGGAATTTATGGCTCACGCTGCGCCTCTTTGAACAGAAACTCCCCCCCCCCCCCTTCTCCCCGCCAAAGAGAATTTCTTGGATCGCCATTGCTACCCCATACGAAGTAGTTGCAGTCACTAACTTCTATGAATTAGTGACTATTCTTAAAGTTGATTTTGATTCTTCTCATGAAATAAAATCGATCACAAATGATCATGATGCGAATTAACACAATACAGCTTTTGCTGAAAAGTTTATTTAATTTATAGGCTTTCCCCTAGTATATTATGGTGAAGTTGATTGGGTGTCATCTTTCCCTCATATCTATGGTCAACAAGTATTTCTTCCTCCTACATCTTGTCTTCTTCCGTCGTCGAGCGTACGACTGAATATCTAGTCTCAATTTAAGCGTTATCCAAATGCGCTTTGAAAGTTCTTGATTAGTGGGAGTGCTGGGGTGCTGGGGCGAAGACGACGACTTGCTCGCAGGCGGCATCGTTAGATGAAGTGGGTGGATGTCGCAGAGACGCGTGCGCGCACACACACGGTTCAGGCTGCGCCTCATTTACATAGCTCCCGCTAATCGAGGCCGCACGGACGCGCAATTACGCCATTCTCTCCGAGAGCGCTACATATCGTACGCCATAAATCGCCGCACACCATATCTCATGCACGAGATTGCCTTGTCCCTGGTTTTTGCGGCGCGGATATGAGCATATGCCCGCCGAGGCCACGACGAGGCGCTGATGACTCCACCGCGTCGCCGCGCGCTGCAAGTGATTGACCTGCGCACATCGTGTGAAATACGACTGCTTAGCTGTTTCGCATAATGAAACGGCGCTGTTTACCGAAATTGACAATTAATCACATTTGCATTATTGGGAAGCATAGGAAACATGGGATAGGTTTGCGACAGAAGAAATTTTTGCAACTGGTTGGATTATAGGACAGAAGTGTCGGAGCGTTTTGCTACCCACGTGGGCAAAAGCGAACTATGGAGATAACCTTATGTTAAAGCAGTGGCGGAAAATTGTGGCCGCGAGCTTTCCATACCTACTTGGTCTTTGGATGAGCTGAGTCTAGCACTATGCTTAAAATCTCATTGTCAAAGAAGTGCTTTTTATGGCGCCTTGGAGATTGCTGAACGGGTGGACCAGTGAGTCCCGCCAATTGCGATTGGCTGCCTACGCTAATCAGCCAATTGTCGTCAAGATGGGGAAAGTGGCTCTACCAATACAGTCTCCTGCGGCCACTCGCTTTTTGGCGACATTCTCCGGTCCAGCCCCTTCAGCAGTTTTGAGGCTGGAAAATGCTATAAAAAGCACTTTTCCGACAACTTTAGCAGATTTCATGCATAGTTGTGGACGCTGCGCATTCAAGAATCAAGATGAGAGAGTAGAAGTAAGATACTGCTTACGCTCTTTGAGTAATCAGAGGCACTGGATTTCTGCTAGCGTCCGGTAAAGGATATAGCAGATAGCCAGTTAAGTGAGATCGGAGCCAGTTAAATAAGATCGGAGTGTGCTACCGTGCCATCGTCGTCTAGCTCTGTGATCTTGTTTTTCTTTAAAGATCGAACGACATTAAACGGCAGCATTAAAATCCTCTGCAACGACGCTGGCACTGAAAACTCTGCACAATTTTTGACTTCGATCTAAAGCTCGTCCCTCCCCAGCCTTCTTACATCCTATTCCGCATTCCATGCCTTCTCAGACAAACGACCGGAACTTCCGCAGAGCGCTTGCGGAAGTTCCGTAAACGTGCTGCGGAAGTTCCAAAGAATGCCAACCACAACAGCAAAAGAGAAAAGCGAGATTTGAACCTCACTCTATTAATAGTGATACCCACCTACTATCCTCCACACTACGGCTGACACGTTCGATAATGCATTCTAGTTGTTGGCGAGGCAATATCATACGAGACAACATATTCAAAGTCCTGCAGAAGTTCTGGCAGGCCAAAGTGCTGCGGAACCTCTGGCATTTTTCGGAATTTCCGCAGGTTTTTGAAGAAGGTTCTGCGGAAGTTCCGGTTTTCAACCAGTTTGGCATGAAAACCCCGCGGAAGTTCTGATTTTCAACCTTTTCATTTTTGCAATAGTGAACAAAACTTCTGCAAGTCTGGCTCGTCCTGTGGAAGTTCCAGTGATTTGTCTGAGTAGAAGCGATCCGGCATTTTCACAAGCTTTGAAGCAAAGTTTTGGGAGCAGCTCTGAAACTGTGCTACAGAGCTAGTAAAATATTGTAGCTTGCTATGATGTGAGATGTGCTGAATAGGTGGAATGTTATGTCGAGAATTTGTCCGGGCGCTGCCTCTAATCGAGTGATTACGTAATGTATGGACAGTTGCCGGCGTCCGTATAGACGAACTGTAGTGTGTAAGTACAGAGTACATAGACAGATCAAGTAATTGCTTCCCATACAAATTACGATATAGAAGAGTGTGAGCGTGCCACAATCCGGTAGTTTGTAAAAAAGTGAAACTTAGCAAGTCGTTTGACGTATTCGTTAACATTGCATCGGCTTTCCATAAGGTAATCGCGCCGTGGTTGATTTGTTCTGAGTTTTTGTCTATTCGAGAAAAGTGCATAACCGCTGAGTATCAGAAAAGGAAAAGGGCATGTGCATAGACTCGTCTAGCCCATTGTCATTAGTTATGTGAATTGGAAAGTTATTAATGTTGTCTATTAGGAAATTGAAGAAAAAAGTATGTAATTTTAGAAAAGGCGGTCGCCAGAAGACATGCAAGCAGGCGAGTAAAAAATTCGCCCTTTGAAAAGTTCAAAATTGTCGTTGACTTCTTTAACATTTTGACAAATAGTAAGCTATATTTCTGTGCTTGTTTGAAGACAATTAAGCCTCCTCTACCCATTAATGGAGTTAAAAAGCAAGTTCTATATCCGTTTTCCTATACCCTCCCCCACCTATCCTATTTTGCTTTCAAAAGTGCTTGCAAATTTCGCTAAATTTTTTCGTATTATATACTTCTGAACACCGAATCAAGCCAGTGAAGAGCAGTTATCGCATTACAAATACCCTTCACTGCCCACAAGTCAAATTATCTTCCCCCTATTTCATAAATTTGTTGGAATTTCCGAGATATTTGCTTTGAATTGGCAGGTGAGAGAATATAGCACAATTTATTTGATTCGCAGCTGACAAAGCAACTTCATGTGGTGGCAATCAGACGCCATATGCACCGCATGAATTGTGCTTCGTTGTCACAGATGTCAGTGTGTCATCGATGGCAACCAGTTTTGGTTGAAAGTATTTAAAATGATATTAATAAGTCGCATTTGTTCAACGAGGTGCGTTATATATGTGGTTATTATCCATTAGACCAATTGAAGGCGGCGCGCCCATCAAAGGTGATGTCTGGGCATTATGAGGTTTAGTGTGGACCCCGGTCAGTTTCCCATAGGTACCCACCCGCAGCGCGCGCCCTCCTTAATGCTTCTCACCACATGTAGGAGGAACTGAAAACTGAAAACTTTTAGGTTCACTTCGAAAGAAGCCTATGCAAGAATAAAACATCCGCAGCCTTCATTTGTACCTCAAATTCAATCAATGGATGCAAATTTCGATCTTGCGTTGATAAATAAAAGGATAAAGGATCCGGTGTCTTTTCTGCAGGCATGCGCCGAACGCACACTACTTCATAGTCGAAGAGGCAATTGTATGCGTGCGAGCCTATTACAGTGACTTGCGGGGGCCAGCCGTTTACCAAGTCAGTACTTTTATCCTCCCAGATTACTCTGGTACCAATTTACCGGCCCCGGAGGGTGGAGGGCTTAGTTGGCCCAGGGGCGGTGATCGAACCTGTGTCCGATCTGGTCATAGCGGCGCCTCATACCACTACGCCACTCGTCCCCAGCGTTGATGAATGAGTGGTAATAAGTACACGTAGAGCAGAAAGAGAACAACAGCATCCTCAAAACGTTTCTCTTTGTAGACGTAGATACATAGTAGTATGGTAAAAAGTCTCAAAAAAGTGGGCATCTGTAAACAAATTCCTACCGGCTTCTCGAAAAGCTTAATTTTGACTTAGGCACTGTCTAGAGTTTACAAATCAAGCCGAAAGGGACTCTTACTTCGTACAAAAAGTTTTTGAAGATTATTCCCTTAGAATTCACTCAAATCTCAATCTCTCAGAAAAAAAGGAAAGACACAAAGCTACTACTCAAGAGTGAAGCTATTGGTAGTATTAGAGCACCTAAAATCTCGTCACCGAAGATTGCGGATTGCTTATACTTGATAGAGGGAATACAATAGAACAAAACTAGAAAATGAGAGAAGCGAAAAATTCTGTTAGAAGGTAGGGCGGGCGCACTAAGACGTGCGTTGCGGGTGCGTCGCGCAGGTGACTATGGGAAGCTGGTCGAGGTCCACACTATAACCTGCCTTCTTGTTTGGAAAAATGATTGGGAGATCCTAACTAAATCACTAAGTCATTGCCCAAGCGGTGGCTCATATGATTTATTAAAGGCTGAGAAACTCAACGCTAAACTCCCGTCCACTACCGTAATTCGGGGACGGTGTTCGCCGGAGTGCGATATGGGCGGGAGTTGGGAGATGAGTTTTCCAATTAAATCTACATCATGAGCTGTCGCTGAGGCGATGACTTAGTTGATTCCTCTCAAATAGGTTTTCAAATGCGAAATCCAAAGACCCAGATTTGCCTAAACACTGTCTTTGAGATATGTGTCTATCCTGAGTTAGCCCATCATAGTCTTTCTCATAGTGCCCTCAATGTGGAATTAACAGCTGTACGTGTCGTTGCTAGAGAAGAGATGAACTGCATGAATTTTTCATTTGTGTAGAAGTGGCAGCAAAGTGCATTTCAAGCTATACATATGCAGAGAGAAATATCATGTGTTCTTCTTTAGCTGAAACGCAATTCAGCGTATGACAGGCGGATAATGGATTGCTTCAGCGCGCTTCTCACGATTAATAGCTTACTGAGATGAATCAAAAGACATAGCCGGTGCTGTAGTATTTACAGCAGTGGCTAGGATGAAACTGGTTCTTCATATGAAAAGCTTTTCGAATATTAAGACAACTTGGTGTTGCGATATGTGCAAGTTTATAAATTTTGCTAATTGCACGTGTCCAGTGGACAAATAAGGATTTTTTTTGTGAATCTAAAATTTTGAGCCGACAAATAGCATTAACTGACTTTTTCGAATATCATTCCACTCATAAGTGTTCAGCTCTGAAAATCACCTACATGTATTATAATTACGTGCAAGCGACTTGTCGTTTTTGGAATAATTTATAGAATTGTTCAAAAAATTTGAATTAGCTTTGCAAAATTTTTTTCGGTGAATTTTTGAAGGTATAAGCCCACAAAAAAGTTGGGAGCACTTTGAGTATCTGATTGGGCAGGCCTAACTATGTAATTGGCTACAGCGAAAATGCATTTGTTACCAAGTATTCAGTAGCTCTGGACTCTCGTCCGCTACCGTAACCTTTTCAAGCAGACCAGCCAAGGTCCCCTCTGGGTACTGTACTGGGTGAAGGGAGTTTTTCTTCTCGACAGTAAATAGGTCTGCGTTGCTATCTGGAACAATAGCTTCGTAAGGGCCCCATTAAACAAGCTTGGAAATAAAGTTTGATGTCCAAATTTGCTAGGATTTTGAATTACTCCTCCCCCCCCCCCCCACCTCCTTTCCTCTTTTCCAGGAAGAATTTGTGTTTCGAATTCGTACGTCCTCTAGCGTCCATCAAGCTTTCCTTTCACTGAATGACTATCTGCCCAAACAATAATTATTGCTCTGATTATAGGCGCTAAATTCACAATGGATGCCTGTCTACATCGTGCTCGACTACGATGTGCTCATACAACGTCTAAAAACTGTCTGTCCCCTGGTCAATTCGCCTTCACTAATCGCAGTGATACCGTCGTTTGTTTTGCGGAAATTAGACGCGAATAAGGTGAGTCAATTAGTTTGCGGCGCGCATGAACGTCGCATCCACTAGGGGATTAGCGGCGCAAAAGCTATTTTCTTGCAGAATTTGTGCGCAGAAGCTCGGCCAGCGATTAGAATGTGCGAAATGTGGCAGACACGAGGTCGCATTCGCGTTGTGACAGCGTCGACACATGCCGAATGCTGTACAAGCCTGGCCGAATCGGTTGCCGCAGCTGGTGATGTCGGAGCCGAATCGCCCTCACATGCGTTGGTGGCCGTGCTGGTGGAAGATTTGGAGAGTTTCCAGGATTTACAAATTCCTTGTAGGTTTTTCCGTATGGAATGCTAGAAATTGGGTGGAGAGATTGTTTTGAATGGGAAGAGGTCAGCTAAGCTTTCAGTGACGACCAGCGGATGCGACACAGATAAGCTAAGTCCAAACTTGACGCGATGCTTCTCGTCAAGCGATCTGGCACTGCGCCAGGTGTTTATACTGAGCCGTTCCGCGCATTCTGCTCAGGCACACGGGAACCTCCGCAGGACAGCAAGATCTGCAGCAGTTCCACAGATTTTGTTTACTATCATAGACATGCGAGCGTCTAAAATGGGAACTTCCGCAGGAAGATGACCCCAGACTAGTCATAAAAAAACTTCCGCTGCACTTTTCACAAAGGGCTGCGGGAAATTCGTTCCCTGAGTGTCCAGCGGAACTTCCGGTCAGTTGTCTGAGTCGAAGATATGGCAGCGGCTCTATTGGAGGACATGGGGAAGCGTTTCATGTATATGTAATGCGCCCGGTGTAAACATCTGGCGGAACGCCAAAACGCGCTGAGACTGAAAACGTGCGAGGTTTATATTGCGCATTAATGCTTTACCACGTAATCATTGTGCGATGTACTGTAACTCTCTCAGTGAATATAACAATTTTGTAGAATATTGATTATTTAATTACTAAATGCTACTCTGTTACCTAGCGCCATTACAGCGTCAACTGAGTCGGTTTTGAATCCGCAAACATCTGCGCATTTCGTCTTCGGTTTCCTATCGACTACACAAATTTCGCGCTCCATTTAAGCGAACATCTGGTGGTGCTTAGCTCTGCGACTAAACCTTCCGTTAAAGACGTATCTTTTCGAAATTTGAGATTTTGAGGGGACTTTGGTGCTGCTTGCTAGGGTTGTAAGAAAGTAATGGGTGAAATATGAGTCTTGCTCAAAAAATTCTTACATTCTTTTGAAATGCTCAGGCAACCTTTTCGGCGTACATAATATCTGTGACGTAATATGTATGTGATGTTTGATCACATATGTTGAATTTCAATATTTTGCACAAAATAAATTCGGTGAAAAAAAAACGCTAATGCTTTATCCAATTTTCCTACATGCTTAAACAAGACTTTTTCTTACAATCTGTGCGCAGTGTCCCCCCCCCCCCCTCTCCTCTCCTTTACTCTCCCCTAAAATTTGTAAAATAGAATTTTCAATAGCACGAATTGGTGTCTCAACGATGGTCAATGTAGCCCACCACCTCTCATCACCCGCTTAGTCAATGTTTGCGCGCGTATTCAATTACAAGAGTCGTTATGCACTTGCGGACCTAAGGCGATGGTTGGAGATGAATAGGCGGTGGTATCGAATGTCAAAAGTGATCCTCTGACGCTTAGAATGTTGTTCGAGTGATTGAGATGTATAGTTCATATATCTTGAGAAAATGTTAGTCTAATAGCCGGTTGTTCAACCCGTTCACTGCGCTGCGCTCTTTCACATAACTTTTTAACGGAAACTCTCTGTGTAATGTAACAGAGCGGTAAAGTACCATAAAGGCGGCAATAACGAGCGAAAGCGTTGTTTGAGTTTTTGCTGAGACATTCTCTGGGTAATTGGATAGAATGCGGAATATCATGGGAGTTATATGCGCTCGTTGGAAGTAAGCTTTTCGGAATATGTAAGTAAGCTCTTTGGGCAAGTAATGAAACGTAATGCATATGACTTTCGAGGTTTGATTGAGGAACTTCTGCTCGCCCTCCCACTTCTCTGTTTCTGAAACATAAAATTTATCTCTCAAGCAATGTCGTCAACTGATTACTACTAAGCAAAAAGGCGAAAAAATTTATTTACTAAAAATTCCTAATGTGCGCCATCCGTGCGAATTTTTCCAAAAAAATGGTTCTGCCTTGTTTTTCAAGCGTCTACTGTTTTTTGCAGTAGGGAAAAGAAAAATTAAAATACGAAGTCTTTGACGTTATCCCATAGCGATAAGAAAACCAAGCAGCTTCTTTGAATTTCTTGCATTTCCTGTTTAGCAACATACTTGGTAACGGCAGATGGAGGACGGGTGAAGGGGGGGGGGGGTCGCGTACATCCTCAATTGGTCTACGTGATTCATAAAAATCATGAAGTAAATTGTATAGGGGAATATTACTCCAGATTTCGTAAGGCACTAGGATCACTGGGGTAAATCACTTTTTCAAAATTCCGTAGTTATAAACCGATGAAGTCGTAAATTTTTGAAACAGGCTAACTCACACTTGCCATTCTTGAAAAATTTTGGCGACGCCTTCTCCCCTCCCCCATTTTCTCCCCCACCCCTCTCAACAAAAAACTGCTGGGACCGTGCTGGACATGGCTACAAAAAATCTTTCTATAAAATTATATCTGGAATGTAGACATCATGGTTTGAAGGGAAAATGTAGGCTGTAGCTTTTTTCACTAGAAAAAGCTTTTGATTTCGTACTTGTCCATCACCACATGAATTTTGAAATTGACTTCTGCAAACGCTTTCCAGCATATATGTCCTAAAAACAAATTATCCACTATGTGGAGTTATTAGCGCCGTCGCTTGTCAATTTAGGGCGCAATGCGTCGTCGTCGTCGTCAGTCAGCGGCGGTGGCGGCGCATCTGAGGAGGTCCATTTTTCTCAGTGGGCGGCGTCGATGGGCAAATGACAGCAAGATAGCGGTTTCAGCCTCGACACCGGGGCTGAGATGTCCATTGTCGGGGGGGGGGGGAGCGGCACACGTTCACCGCGCGCGCCCACCCGTCCGCGTTCGCTTGGCCCATTTCCGGATGAGATTTAATGCATGTTTGTGATGAGGGAATGCATTGGCTCAAATCTGGAGAGTACTTAGAGCGTGAAGCAATCTAAACCGTTGTCGATGCAAATTTTTTGTCGTATTCGTGGTGAAAGGGTTGCAAGAGGTGAGGGGGCGGGGAGGGAGAAGGATGAGGAACTCAATGGTTAATATAATACCTTCGTGGATGTAATTTGAGGGGTATGAAGGAGATTTGTTTCTGGTAGTTTCTAAGAGGTACCGGAACGAATTATTACGCTAGAATGCATAGGCCATCTAGACAAGGTCAATGTCGCCATCCTTTTACGGTACCGTAATTTCGTTGTGTTGAGAGACGAAACTAGCAAATGTTAGGGTTTGAAACTTTTCGGAACCCTCAAGATAGTACTTGTGCAACTTCTGATTCACTGTTCGGAACTTCCGACTAATCAAAACTTCCACTCTTAATTAAGCACTTCCGATCTATCAGATTTCATTGCAAATGATATATACATGTTTAAAATTACGAATTTACATGTTTCAAATTCACAATATTTCGATTGAGATAAATTGCAGATATTTTCTCCAGAAGTTATTGCAGGTGTATCTCGTCCTACTTTCCTGCAAGTCTGTCTTTTTTTCTGAGAGCGTCACGTGGTCGCTGCCTTTTTTCCTTTTTTTCCAGTTTAGTGTTGCTTTGAAGAAAAAAGAACCTTCAAAATGTACAAGTTTTGAGTGTCACGTAAACTGAGATCTTATGAAAACACTTTTCGACTTTGGCTGTCATATGTCATCTTCTTGTCAAATGTGTCCATTACGACGTGACATCCAAGATCAGTGACATTTTGCACTGACGAGTTTGTGTAACTACTGGAAATGGGTGCCGCACACCTGTTGTTTGGTAAAGAAGAAACAGTGACAATATTTTAGAGGATTTTTGAGCAATTGTAGGCATATTTGGAGTCTCTGGGGTTGATAGATAGATTGATTTTTGGTTAGTAAAAAGTTATTTTTTTTGGTATCCCCGCTAAAAGCCGATGCGAGTTTGTTGAGAATTACACAAATTAATCAAATGACTCCTTCTCCTTCCCCCCCCCCCTTCCCCTCCCTCCCAGGGAAAATATAATAAATATATCTCGCTGAAATGAATTTCGCAAAAAATCAAGAATTGGATTTCTATAATAGTAACCCAAGTTGGAGACGGAAAGCTGGTCTCATTACTAAGATTCATTGACCTACTAGTACGTTTTTCTATGTCCCACTTATTTTCTCGCTTTCGGAGATGTCAAATCTCTCAAGAACAATAGGATACTATAAAGTGCATTTTGACAACTGCTCCAAATCACACTCACTGTCCTTAATCATGTGAGTGGGATGTGTGCTTATAAATTGAAATGTAATCGCTTATCAAATACTTGGCTTAGAGTACTTAACTAGTCAAAGAAGGTGTGGTTCGCACCCCTGCGCCCTGTTGTCGTCTATTGTCGATGATTAGACGGGGCGCGTTAAGAGAGTGAACAGAAGAGGCGAGAAGGTGGTGGTTTGAGTGAAAAAGAATCGTAGTTCCACTGTGTCGCATTATTCATGCTATTCATAAGAGAGAGCTTGTTTTGCGTGTACGCGCGCACGCGGGCGCTGGTACAACACGCCCGAGTGGTGTCAGCGTCAGCGTGAGCGCGTCAGCATCAGCAGCAGCAGCTAGCAACTAAGTGTGCGTTCTTGCAGCGGTCGCCATCTACCACATAGAGAGTTTTTTCGAGCGTTGGAACAAAGGATCGCCGTCGTCGGCGGCGGCGGCGACGGCTACGTCTGCTGCGACTCGCCGAACGCGCTAGCGGCACGGGCAGCGTGCGTCGCGCGACTCCGCGACGCGGCCGTGCTCTCAGCGACGCGACACGTCGACGATCTCCATCGCCAACACACGCTCTCCACCGACCCGCATCGCGCTGCGTCTCCATCGCGGGTGTACACCTTCACCTCATCGCCGCGACGCCGCCGCTCACCGCCATCGCCGCAGCCGCCACTGCGGCGGGCGAAAGAAAACAGCTCAATTGTTATTGTTGGCCGGTGGGGCGGTCTCTCTCTCTTCTGTTTCTGCGTGTCCATCCGCAGTTTGTCTGGCACCCTCTCGCTCTCCGCGTCCCTCAAACCTGCTAACTGCCCTCGTACTGCGCGCGTACGACGACGACTTCTGTGTGTGCCAGACGAGAGGGCGAGAGAGGTGCCAGAGTGAGAAGTGGACGATAGGTGTGTTCTGTTACTGAATTCATTCGATCGATACCCCCGTGTTGTTCTTCTACCGTTTTCTTATCTGCTACTACTCCTCCATTTTTATTACCGTGAGAATTTAGAAGTTATTGCCCCGCTCCTTGCTCTTCTCGTTGTGATATCTGAACTCTTGACATTGTTTGCTCGTGAGTTTTATTTGCTAGTCCTTCGGTTAGCTCATATCTGCCACCTCGAATGCGATGTGTTCGTCGTCTTTGTGTGTGTTGCTCTCGTATGTTTGATTTGCTTTCGGTCGTCTTAACAGATAAAGGTTTTTATCGTTATCTTTTACTCCTTCTTTGCATCGAGTCCTAAGCAGTCTGTCAGTATTTCCCTTCGTAATATGGTTTGATCGCTTGTTTTTCTTTTCCATTTCACACCAAATTATTACTTTCAAACACTAAATAACATTGAAATGTCTGATAATCTTTTCTGACGGTATTTTAATCAACAATATGCCTAAAAGATTCTCTGCTTGGTACCAATGATAATCCCTGTTACTCCAGAGTCTTTCACCTGCTCCACCAAACCCTTGATCATTCAGTAGATTTTCCAGGGTTTTTAGCACTTGCTGGCTACGGTAGAATTTGTAACACATCTGAGATAATTTTGTTCTAATTTTGTTTTTTGGCTCGTCTCCAAAAGATCGAATCTCGACAACGTCGCAAGCAGTTGTCGTGAAATTTGCAGAAAAGAACCTCTAAGATCGGACGTAGAAATGCCAGTATTGACAAAGAATTTCTTCCGTTCACGTCATTGTATGTCCTAAATGTTATACGACGACGAGACGAGGAGCGAGACGAGCTTGAGACGTCTATGTTCACTCGGGCTCGGAAATTAGCGCTCACTCAAGGATGTGAGTGAGTGGAGAGGGGGGGGGGGGGTAAGAGTTGCATTGTTTGCCCAATAGGGCGAAGAGAGGAGCATTTGTGCGATGGTCGGCTCACGGCTCACCCCGCATCCCCCCGCATCCCCCTCCCCGTCTCAACGCTATCCACCCCGGTCCTTATTGACTTTGGCTCTTCCTGCCCTACCACCTCCTTTTACACGAAGTGAAGTGTGTGCGCAGTGTTTGTTGCCAACAATGAGTATCAAGCACTCGCGCAGACTCACACAACGTCGCAGCCTCTTGTGCATCAAATAGGGGCGTTTTTTTAGTGCTCGAATTGTAAAGAGTTTCGTTTTGTTGCGTGAAAACGAGAGCCGCGAAATCAAAAGTGGGGAGATCAGGCCCCCTATTGCAATGTGAGGGAGGAGGAGAAAAGATCAGGAACTAAAAGCAAGGTCTTTATTTTCAAAACCATGTAGAATAATGCCACCCTCGCAAAGCTTATAATTTACTTAAACTCGTGTAAAGTTCTTCTCAAGGTTAAATGTTTCACTGACACAATTAGTTTGGGTGTCACATGTTTGAGAACAGCCTATTAAGCTTAAGTACAACAATTGAACCTTCTTTTATCGTTCATAACAAGTGAGTTCTTATCTCAGGCAGACTTCCTCAGCTATTTTTATTTTGGGTTCGAACTTTCGATGGTTTTGGTCGTTTTTTTTTCGCGGGGAAAAATAAGAAGAGCGATGAATATAACTTCTATATTGTGCTGGAATGGTAGGTGACAGTTTGAAGCTTGAAATTTTCCGTCTCCAAATCTCGTCATCTTTTGATTTCCGCCATGTTTTTTTCTTGTTGTAATTTCTAAAAGATCACATCTTGTGCAGAGAGATTACAGATTACATCTTGTGCTTTGCTTTGTTATGTATATCTTGGTCAGAAGGAATTCTACAGCACATTATGATGAAATTTGAGACCGTCAAATTCACCGCCAACATGCGATTTTCTTCAATACGAAATAAAATATCAGAGTATATCGAATTAACCCGGGAAAGTATCTTGCACTACAACATTATGATTATTAAAAAAGTTGCTTTTTTCTCTGGATTTAAAACACAATTTGTGCATTTGGCACCTCTTGGGTATTTCTTGTTGTTGAGTAAGTCTCTCAAGACAGCTTGTTTTGATGTATTTGATAGCTCTACTTGAAAAGTTTGTTTATAGCCAGTGGTTGCATTGCTATTGGCCCATTTGCTAGCCAAATATCCCGCAGAACTTTTGTTTAGACATATATCGAATCTCAAGGCCGACAACGTGAGCTAAATGCAATTTTCTGATTTTAGTGTTTTTGCGCTAAACGTAAACAAGGCATAGGCATTTGTTCAATAGGCGAGTTTTTTGCCCAGAAGTTCGCAGCGCTACACAAAAGTTGCAAAGTTGTTAATACGAGGTTTTCTCACCTCTGACGCGCGGTTTGCGTTTGCGGCAGAGAGATCGACTGCCCGAGCGAACTCATCCGCGTCGGCTCGGAGCGATTGTCTTTTTTGTGCAGCATCTGCATAGAGAGACGATTGTGATAGCGGCGGCATGTATATACCGCGAATAGCCAAATATTTGGCGACTAAATGGAGTGAACCCCACAGGAGGAGAGGCATGTGGGGAACTCGAGAGGGCCGGGGAGGCGAGAGATCGATGCCAGCATGTGAGCGGGTGTGTGTGAGTGTATGTGTGTGTGTGTGTGTGCACGGGAGTAATTCGGTACTTCTCCTTCGAGCAGCAAAAGATGTTGGCAAGCCCCGCACCCCGGAATCAATCCCCCTGGCCAGCCAGCCGACGAGCACCACCACCGCGCCCATGTGGACGCCGTCGCCGACGGCGTCGCCACCGCCTGCGCGGTGTCTTCCCCTGCTTCTGCCGTGGTGGCGAACCTGTTGGCCGGTTATTTCTGACGCCAAACACCTGATTATGTGCTCAATTCCCCGCTGTTATGACGCTGTACCCAGTATTTACCTTCGCACTCTAATCCACCCTACGACGATCGCTGTATTCGAGCTTGGAGTAGCCATAAATGATCACATTATTTAAGTGACCTTTCACCAACAGAATCTAGCCACACATTTATGAATCACTTACACGTCTTTCTTTGGCCTTATCAGTACGTTTCGATTATCGGATTCCTTTGCTGAAAAAGTCCTTCTTATGAGGTCTAGTCTTTCTAGAAAAATATTCCAAGAAAATATGCAACGTCCAATTTCCACAACAAATCTCGCCAAATTTCTACTAAGTCGCAAGTTTGTATCCTTGCAAATCTTTTCTGGGAGTCAATGCATCATATGCAGGATTCTTATCTTTTCGATTCTTGGAAGAACATCCGAAATTTATGACGGAACGCCTGTCCTAAGCTGTTTATTTTCTTAATACCTTCGGCCTTTCCAATTGATTTGTAGGGGTAGGGTTTGAAAGCGAAAAGTTCTGCTCCGAAAGTCTCTGTCTGGGAATGTGCTTGTCTTCTTGATTGTTCGAGAAATGGGTAATTACTTTTATTACTGTCTTTCGCGTGCATCTGTGGTTTGACGCTCATTATTATGCAAATGTTTGGTTTTCTGAATTTTACTGCTATTCTCTCTCTGTCTCTTGATTTTTATTGCTCAGAACCAAAAATCGAGAACCATCTTTTTTCTGGAATTTAGGTAGACACGATTTTACAAAGATATGTTATTTTTGGAGCTTCAGCATGTTTCTAATTTTTATTGATATCTTATCTATCTATTCACTTTCACATTATTTCTAAGCAAGGTAAAAATCATTGATGATTGAATTTTTATTTTTTTGGAACTCGTTTTTGCTGGCTGATTTTGTCCCACAGTAACTCTGGCAGAGGTGAAATTGAAATTTGACAAAAAATTGTGGAAATTAAAATTTGACCTACGCTCAAAAGTTAAGACTTGGAATCAAAATGGGTTAGAAATGGTTAAAAAATAAAGAAAAACTTTTCCAACTTCACTATAAAACCCTGAAAGTTTACGGATTATAGTGCGCTGGTCTTTTTTTTTCAAATCATGAAGAGCCATCAATTTCCTATTTTTGTGAGCCAAAAGCCGTAATGTACTTTTGCGCTAGATTACTAATGCAGATTTGATTTTTTTTCAAAAAAAAAATCTAGCGGTGTTATGTTTCACTTTTATTTTTTGTCGTAGAAACCCAATGTGGTTAATTCGTGTAGGGAAAAATCGTGGTGGGATAGTCTTTTATCGAATCACGTGTACCTATCTAGATCTAGACCAACCCCCTCTTCCTCTTCCCCCACCTTCTCCTTCTCAACCCATGTAATTTATTCGCTAAAGAGCACTACATCTGACGCGCAAATCGCGCGCGCACGCGCGCGTTGCGCCTCGTCGTCGTTGAATGACCAAGAGGTTGTTATTAGGTCTTCAATTAGTAGATGGATAATCACAGCCCGCTCGCGCATGAGATTAGCTCTCTACGCCAACTGTTATTTTCATCTTCACACACACGCAGCGTCTCGCTCGTTCATCCGCTCTCTCCGATTATTCAGCATCATGTGGAATTAGGGCTTGTGCTTTTGAAATAGTAAGGGGGTGTATAATCATGCTACAAAAGTTGAAATAAAATCATAAATCACAATATCAATGTAAGATTTTTCTTGAAATGGGATATTTTGTTGCTATTTTTTATATTTGCAGAAGTCAGCATGGTTTGAGGAAATTTCCAGTTCCACCTCACTGGTATATATCTGGCTTTCTTCACTATTTGTGATGGCTGTGTTTGGTTCATTTTTATTTATTCTGTTCAATTCTTCTTCGATTTTTCTCTAAAACATCTCTCTCGATTTAATTGTGGATGAAGCAGTGCGAAAGTACAGCTAATGATTAGCAGTCTCCTTCAAGTAAAATTGAATACAAAAAGTCTAGATAATATATCATGAGTCATTGCCATCGCAAGCTAAATTTAGTTTTGTTTTGTGATTGATCTGTTTTCAAGAATTTGATAAGTGCTTGGCTTACAAAGAGAAAAGCAACTTTTTTCATTTCCCACTTTTTGTGACAGCGCTTAGCGAATTTTTTATTTACCTATGATATATGTAAATATGTGAACGGCATATCATAGAGCAAAAAAAAAACTGTGAAACAAGACGAAAGATATTTGAAAATAATTTTTGAAGGAGATCTTGGTATACATCTTGCACTGGCGAGCAGGAGCGGAGAGATGGAAGGGGTCTAAATTGATCTAGAAAATTGATCTGACGGAACAATGCTCACACTATTCCATGTTTGCAATCTATTGAAATAGTTTTGTGAATTTTTTAATCCTAATCTAGCTCGAAAATTTCAAAAAAAAATTGTCGCCACTTTCCTTCCTTTCTCTCTCCCCCCCCCCATACTCGAGAAGTTCTTGGACTACACTGGAATATCATCATATCGTCTGTTATGAAAGTAAGAGATCGAAACCGCTTTGCACCCATTGTCTAACATGATTGAACATGTTCTTAACTTGTTCCAAGTGCGTGATAAGATAGATGACAAGTGTGAACTTGTTACCATGCGTTCAGGCTTGTTTAGACAATGTGTGCAAAGCTGTTTCGAGTCGTTTATCCTCGCAGTTCCTTTCTCAATGCATTCAACTCCTTTGTTATTTCATCAAGAATTTTTAGAGCTGATTGGGGCTAGGTAAATTCTAGAAAGAGTTAGCTTTGAGTTGTATTTTTGTCCTTATTTTTACTTCCTTCCCCATCACTTCCTAATTTTTTGCCATTCAATCAATTCCGTCAAATTTATCGATGTTTGGGAAGATGAGAATGCAGGCATGCATGTCGTAGCATCTGTTTAATGCATCTCTCTATCTGCTTTGTCTCGCCGATTTGAGTGCCGATATCAGCTCTTCCCCCATTTATGGAGAGGCAATTCCATCGGGATTCTCGTTCGAATGATGGACATGTCATCTCTCCTGCCCGGCTCGCTCTCTCCTCCTCTCTATCGCTTCGCTTCCCACGTTTGCCTCTAGATTGCTTCATTAGAAATATTGTCGAGAAAAATTGCACTCAAGCGCTAAAGCACTTCTTACTGTGTATGCGTTGTGTGTCATTTTGTTCAATTGCTTCAGCGAGTGCAATTATACCCCGCATTCGCATGCGCTAAAAATTACGCGCTCTACTCGGAATATTAGTTGACGCTCCCTTTAATTTTAGCCGCGTGCATCTCTCGTTTTATTCATTTGTTAAGTCTTTTCTATCCCTTTTCTGTTTTGGTCGTTCTTTTTGCTTTGTACTAAATTATTGCCATGTATAAACCATTTATCTAGCAAAAATAGCCTTTTCGTGATTTATTCTCTCGACCGGGTTTTGAGCGCTATACGATGTTTCTGCACTTTGCCAAATAGCTTTGGGATATACGAATCGGTGCATTTGTCCTTCCCTTCATGTGGTGTTTGATGCATCTGATCTTTCTCCTCTGATTTAGCAGTTGACATCTTAGTTGTTTACATATATCACCATTTTTTTCATATACACTGTTGTCATATGAGTTTTATTTACTAAATCCAGCAGTCCTCCTTTTCTGAATGTTAATCCTGAGTTTCTTGAGCGACTGAATCATTCGATGTAAGCCAGAATTCAGTGGCATTTTTATAGAATGATTAGCTATATTATACGTGCACTCAAATTTGGACAGGAAATGTCAGTCTGGATTTAATCCATTTTTTTCTGGAAAAGAAAACGCTTCGATTTTGCTGTAACTAATGATGTAACTAACTCTCTAATGTTAGTGAGAACGTATAAAGCAATACAAAATCTTCATGGATGTGAGCAACCATTCTTTGTTCGAGCCCAAAATTTTGGACCGGAACCTTTGATTTTTCCTGAAGTTACCTACCGTACACTAGACTCCCTTCTGTCATCTGTACTCTGCTAGCATACGGCTATCGTGTCGACTTCGGATCGATTAGAGAGTGATCCCAGTGGGAATGGCGGTAATTATACGCTTGGTCAGCGATGGCATCGTCATCAGGCATTTTTGGGTTAGTACATGCGAGAAGATGAGCAGATTGCGCTTCTATTTTTCAAGCTGTTCAACTTACTCGAGACTTTCCCTTTAAGGAAATATGGCTTGTGAAGGCACATAAATTCATTTGTAATGAAGTCGGCAAGAAAATGGTGGTGGATTATGTTTGTGCATGCTGCGCGCGCGTTCAGAATGGCGTGCTAGATTAGCTTGCAATTCATTAGGTGCTCGGCCAGCAGCTGAATTTTTTCTCCTATCATAACATCGTTCGTGCGAGGCTTTCCGTCTGCTGCAATTCGGCTTCGCTCATATAGGACAGTGGGAAAATCCTCTCTGGAATTTCGGCAATGACTGAGTGTCGAATGCGTTCTTATCTGTGATTGGAATTCCTGACATTGGGGAAATAGAGCAATTTATGATAACCAATAGGCTTTTTATAAGACCTGTCAGAAGTCCTGAGTGCGATCGTCGACATGTATATTTGCTTTGTAATTTTCAGGCTTAAATGGTTTTTCTTCTCTTGGATTTGTTAAGTACTTACTTTTCTATTTGTGTTAATAGTGCATGATGCATTATGTAATATTGATGTTATCATTTTGTTCGTATGCACTCCTGCTTGATTTCATTAGCTTTCTCACGCTATACACAAAGCTGGACTGGTGTACCATCTCTGATATATGTGCATTATGGACTCACCCTCGTTTTAGTTTGCTCAATTTTTTCTCTAACGGGTTTCATCATGTCTACTTCGCTTTTTTTGCATTGAAGATACTTGCTTTTTCTTCTAAAAATACATCCATCTTTTATATTTTTGATATGTCCAACGTTACATCCATCGTATCAAGGCTGTTTGAGTTAACTATGCTTTTTCAGAGAGATTATTACATTCTTTCTTCTTTTATCTTTCAGCATTCTGATATCAATGCGATTAGCTTCATACAGCTGCCACTGTTTCTTAATGCATTTTTACCATGAAGAATCTACGTTCCTCTCTTATAACGCAACGAAACTGCAGTGAAGCATCTGTCCATGCTTTTTTGCATCTTTCTCTATATTTTTGATATGTCCAATGTTACATCCATCGTATCAAGGCTATTTGAGTTAACTATGCTTTTTCAGAGAGAAAGCAGGAGGTATTGGATCAAGTGTGCCACCAATGAAGGTCTCCTCTTTCATGGAGCACATTGATCGCCTCAAGGAAGAGTTTACTTTTATGCATAATCAACTACAGCAACAACGAGTGAGTTGCTTGTTTTCAAGAATGTGCAAACGTTCAAGATTTTTCGAGTTTGATTCAGAATGAATTGGAAAAACTTAACGCCGAGAAAGAGAATATGCAGCGTCATTATATGCTATATTACGAGTTTCAATGTGGAATGAATATGGAAATCCAAAAGCAAAGTGAATTGTGTAAACGATATACCGCCATCATCACGCAGGTATGGATAGTGTTTTCCTTTTGTCTATGCTTCTCACATATTTTTATCATGCAGTGATTGTTTATATGTTCGCAAATTGAATGTTTATCCAATATCAGCTTTCTTAGCTTCTTCCCTTTCTTCCGCCCGAACACGCTCAACAAGCTGTAACAGCAATGGAGCGAGCAAAACAGGTAAAGGAAAAATCCATATCCGTCTTTCTTCGATGACAAGATGTTGATTACGTGTTGTTTCTGCTCAATTCTCCAAAAATCCCTCCAATTTTAAGATTCTGCAGATTTCCGCCCAAGAAGTTGGTCAGTTAATGCAGTCAAATGCTCACTCACAACAAATGGCAGCAATGATGCCCGCTATGGCCGGATTACCCGGTGCATTGGGTATGCCTCCTGTGGGCTTCCAACAAGCACTTGCAGCTGCTGCTATGGGTGCTGCACATCGTGTACCTGAAGCTAGTTCTTCGACGGCTCCTCCTGACCGGCATGATCAGCCAAGCAGGCAGTCCAGGTCTGTTTTTGCAACTTTGATTACTTTCTCGCATTGCTTCAGAAGTAAAAATCTTCTTTCCACATCGTATTGGGAATTACCCATCGAAAATTCTATAGATGGACATGCACTTAAGACGACGATGTTTTAGTTCACGTCCACGCTCTATTTCTCCTAACGGTTCGACATCAAAACGGATGAAGGTTGATGAAGATGCAGATGGTGAAGGGGAACTGGAAATTGATGTTCAAAATGATGACGCCGGTGCTGCTGGTCATTCGAATGGCACCAGCAGTGCTCCTCCTTCATCCATAAAAGTGAGTTCACTACTTGTTTCACAAAATTTAGTCTGTGGTAATCTAATCGCTATTACGACTGTTGTAGGCCCCCAAAGCAGACGGCCGAGATTCTACAAATAGTGTTGCATCAAGTGGTGCTAGTACGCCAGGACCGAAGGCTCGAAATCCATTGGAACAAATGGGACTGCCTGGTGGAGTTTTCGGTCGGTTCCAGGGTTTCGCTCTTGTAAGGGATTCTTCATGAATGGTTTTTACAGGGAATCTAGGTATGAATATGAATCCGCTTGCAGCAGCGTTTAGTCGCGGTGGTTTACCTCCTATCTTCGACCAGCATGCTCAGGTTAGCGGCATTCCAAACACTTCTTTATCACTGTATTAGCTTCCAACTTCTCGAATATTTCAAGGCACGGATGGCTGCTGGTATGGGATTAGGAGGCCCTGCTGGAGGGCTCTTGAATGGCAAACCAGCTTATTCGTTTCGTACTGTTGATGGCGGTGTATTGCAACCAACCGTATTTCCCAGTGATGCCTTCAACGCTCCCGGTATACCTAAAAGCGTGAATCGGAAGTTTGAGCTTCCTCACGGCGAGGTGCGTTATTGTGATTTGCTGAGAGGAGTTTGCTAAAATTTTGAAACAATTTTTTTCTAGCGGTAAAACTTCTCACTTACTTGAGATTGATCATGTAGAATTTGTTTCGTTTGCTTAGGAGCCGCAACACATATAATTAGCAAACGGGGAATGTGGTTGGGTGTTTCATCTTTTTTACATCTTGATTTTGTGAAGTGTACAACAAAAGCGTCTTTTGATGCGTTTTTGATCTAGACCAATTCCGGCAGTTCAACATTTTTTTGCATTCCTTTCACTTTTATGTCATTTGAAATAATTTCAGGTCGTCTGCGCTGTTACAATAGCTAAAGATAACAGAAGCGTTTACACGGGCGGTAAAGGTTGTGTGAAGGCAAGTCTAACTTCCTCACTATTTGTTTCGTCATTTTCTACGTTTGCTCTTCAGATATGGGATATAACTCGTACTCCCGAAAATTTGCGAACGCCCGTTTCTACGTTGGAATGCTTGCAAGGGAATTATATTCGGTCGTGCAAATTATCAGCTGATAGCTCTAGTCTCATTGTTGGTGGAGAAGCAAATATAATCACGATATGGGATTTGCAGGTGCTTTATTTTTTTTTTATTCTGCAATTTTCTTTGTTAATTCCAGTCTGTTACATCTTACTTTTACTTTCGAAGAACAGCAATTCTGTCTCACTTCTGTGGACAAGTTCTGTGATTAGCGAGACGCTCAGAAACATTGTGTAGTTAGTAGAATATAAAAACATGCCCCTGTTTTTGTGGTTACGGTGACAGAATGTAGGCCTTGCGCTTATCATGACCATAAATTGTGCGCTAGCAGAGTAGTCAGTCAGCATTGTGAATTTCTTCGCACGTCACACGGCGCGCGAATAGAAAATTTTCCGACATACAAGTTGTGATTAATGTGGGAGGAACATCAACGGGCCAGTTCCAAGGCCGTACCTCTGCACATCTTTCTTAGAAATTGCGGCTATTAACTAGGTTTCGCGTTTCGCACGGGGCCTACTTATAATGTACGTGTGACTTGCGGAACTATCATCTTATTTGTACTAGTGGGGGTGACTATGGAGTTGTTGTAAATGTTTGGTATAGAGATTAGTTTGATATTAATGAGGTCTGTGATGTGATACCCGCTGAGTTGGTGCGAATAGAAGAGGAGATATCAAAGAAGGAATTAAATTTAGCTTAAGTTCCTCATTTCGGAACATTGTTAAAAAAGAGGTTAGGTTTTTCTTGCAATTATGAAAATCTCAGTCCGCCACGAAGTTTTTGACTAGTCTGCGCGCACTTGTATTTTGGGTGTATTTTGTAATGTTGGAAACTAATATGACAATTTATGCGATATTTGTCCTTTGACCATTATTGGTCAACTTCCGAACTTTCCAGTTTTTGATGAAGATCGGTTAGCCTTAGCAGTAAATAATCACATTTCTCTTTTTTGGACGAAGCATGCTTGACAAACATTGATCAAGTTTATCTGCTTGCCCCCTACGTTTTTTTAGAGACCTTTTTTGAAAGGAACTTCACACTGCTGCTTTGCACCAGAACCATGTTTTTTTTGCATGTTCATACATGACGCGAAATTTCGTAAATACTTTTTATGATTATTTGCTTATGTTACTTTCCATCGCTGAACAGTAAATGGACTAAGATAATGGACCGGTGGGTAATAATAATAGTTTTCTAGGTAAGAACAAGCGCAGCGAATGATTGCTATGCCTACAGTTGAAGATGTGATAGTTCCCAGTACATGGTTTCTAATTTTCCAGACAGGCACAATTCGAGCAGAGCTTGACAGCGAGTCACAGGCTTGCTACGCATTGGCTCTCTCTCATGATCATAAGTTGCTGTTTGCATGCTGTGCTGATGGAAATATCGTTGTGTGGGATATCGAGTCGCGAACCAAGGTGATCCACTTTATCTACACCATCGTCTGTATCTTCTAAATTCATGATTCTAGGTCACTTCACTACCGGGACATCAAGAAGGAGCCTCATGCATTGATCTCTCTTCCGATGGAAGCCGACTTTGGACCGGTGGTCTGGATAACACTGTCAGGACGTGGGATCTCCGAGAACGACGGCAACTTAATGTAAGTCGAGTTTCTATCTCATATTGAAGATAATGTAATGATTTATTTGCAGCAATTCGACTTCCCAAGCCAAATCTTTAGTCTTGGATGCTGCCCTACAGAAGATTGGGTCGCAGTGGGAATGGAAAATAACAATGTTGAAGTGCGTTTTTCACCAAACTTATCTTGAATTCACTTGTCTATCTAATGTACACTATTTTAGGTCTTGAATACTACTCGCTCAGAGAAATATCAGCTGCATCAGCACGAATCATGCGTTTTGTCGTTGAAATTTGCCCATTCTGGACGGTGGTTCGTCTCAACGGGGAAGGTATGTCTTCTTGAACAACCTCTATCATCTGATTTGAATTATTGCATTTACTTCGGTTTGAGTTGTGCCGTACTCTGACCTTAATCGTTTTTTCTATCTTCATCAGTGTCATTTCTTGCAGGATAACGTGCTGAATGCATGGAGGACTCCTTATGGTGCATCTCTGCTTCAAGCAAAGGAGTCGTCATCAGTGCTGTCATGTGACATTGCCAGCGATGACTCGCTCATCGTGACGGGTTCAGGCGAGAAGAAGGCGACTGTCTACGAAGTTACCACTTACAGCTAAGTTAAAAGAACTCGGTTACATTTGCAACCAGGAGTTCGCAGATTCCGCTGCGTCTTCCTTTCCCCTTGTATCAATTCCTGTCATTCATGCTCGAGCCTCGTTGTTGATTGTTTGTGCGAGTACTACCTGTGGTGTCAGAATTGATTCATTGTATGTCACCCAATTAAACTCTTACCCTTCCCTTTTTTGGAAGTACTATATTTGTACATCTAATTTTATTTGCAGTAAGTTCTATATTGATATTGCTGTTTATGTAATTTTTGATTGTACTGATTTCTCTGTTCGTAGCATTCTTTGATAGTATTTTGGCTTCCTACGTTTGCAGAGGCGTTTCACATTTTTTACCCTTTCTTTCCATGAAATTGAGTCGTAATCAAGGTTTAACCGATTGTTTCAATCGATACTGTTGCGGGCGCACTCTCCACGTGCTTATGATGATTTTATCGATTTATCCCTGTGCCGCATTCTCACTTTCGTTGTATCTCATTCCTTTTCGTTCATCTTCGCAAACAGCCCGAATCACTGGAGTCATCTCTCCCACTCTCTCACTCTTGACTAATTGTGTTCGGCCGATCGGTGGCGGTTTACCAGCGACGGCTGCCCTTCGGATCATTATGGCCATAGTGATGGAGTGGAATATTTATTTCAAAATGTCTTGCTATGTCGATGGTCACGAGATAAATCTAGCTGGTGCACGTTGTTCTCGGTAGTTTTGTTGTGAATTACGCACTGATCTATGATGCATCTCAGATGATTGTCTCAAAACATTCATTCTGATGTTAATAAAACTTGAAAACATTTTTTACAACAGATTCATGTACAGGGTTCATGTTTTTTCAACAGAAAAGCGCGGGTGCTACAACTGCTCGAAGAAGCTATTCGCCTCGCGGCAGCTGTCATTGTTATATTTTGTGGTCGATCATGCTGTGATTTGTTTGTCGAAGGGGCAAGAGATGGGATCAAGAGTAACAAGAACATAACTCAAGTCTGAATTACAACAAGTTCCGCTCTCACACATGCTATTGCAAAACAACAAGATCTAGTGATTGATGTACTCATTGCGGGTTCTTGTCTGTCTCACAAGTGAAAAATTGTCAGATGATGCGCTTGAAGATGTGCAAAGGCTATGATTGGAAAAGTTTGACATTTCGTCATCTCTTAGGCAGGTGCTATCCTTATCCAGTTCAAGCGCTTCATCCGCTTCACCCATTCGCTATTGGTCAATCCAGTGATCTGAACAATAGCGAATTGGAATACCGGATCAATCAGTCGAAATTAGCCGCTTGGACTGGATAAATATGGCGCTTACCTTAGATCCGAGGGTAAAGTGAATGCAGAATACCAAGGAAAATGTAGATCCAGTGGCAACTAGTGGGTTTTTCAACTTGAGTCGTTCTGAGATTCCACAGATTTGAGTGGTGTATATCAGGCAAATTTTGTATGAACTAAAAATCTTGTTGGGAGCATATAGGCTAGTAAATTTGACTGTTGGCACAATTTCATTAGATTGCCAACATTTTCCCGTAGAAAATGGCTATTGGCGCAAACTTCAGGGCAGGCATTGTTGGTTTTATAGGCATAGCACTTCCTTCTTTTGCGCGAATGCTGTCGGCCAGGGGCATTATATCAGCGTCAGATTTTCTTACTATGATGAAGAACTATAATATGCGGGCTGTCCTAATATGTGTAAGCCATTCATAAAATCGTGACGACGGATTTGACCGCGGTCTTTGCACCCAAAGGAGCAGAAAATACTCGTACAAAACATCACCTCAGCTCTCAGCTTAATCGCTCCGGTGTCTAAATGCTATCATATGTAAGCAGAAAAACCATTCTAACAGAGATGTAGCGATTGCCGGGCTTCCGTGCGTGTCACGCGTGGTCGGCCATCGTCACGATTTTTCAGATGCCCTGTACACCCTCTTTGATCGCCAATATCTTGCTTACCACAATGTACCATTTATGAAAAATTGCTTAACTTATTAATTCAAGTTGCAAATGGCCGATCGCTCTTCATAGTCAGGATCGGCACAGATGGTCTGGAAGCAGGCCGGACTTCATTTTTGCATCACATAGCAAAGGTGATATCGTTTTTACGGAGTTCGGGGCGGAGCCCCGAAAAAAATTGTGTACATGCATTGCTAGCGAAATTTCTGGAGGAAATTGTACACACAGTGTGCAAAACAAATCAACACAATCGCTGTAGTACCAAAAGCGACCAGTGCGTCAAGCACAAGCTTTGAAGACAAGCGGCTATTACATGATGGACGTGCTCCTTGTGCTCCTTCTCGTGCCTTGTGAAAAGAGCGCGCGATTTGAAACTAAAGCCAAAATTTAAAAATTGCTTGTTCACAGCGTACAAACAAGCATATGGCACCAAATTTGAAGTGTGGGCATAGAATATTATTTACAGAAGAATTATGTGAAGAGTTTCGAAAACTTTTGTGAAGTAATACCTAACTACCGAAAATCAGCTGTTAGTCTATTCATTTTTACCCAAATGAATAGTGGCATTCCCTACTGTCACTCACCTGCTAAGGGTTTCGCAAGGGACCGGGCGCAGAAGATGAACTGGGACTCACTTTCTTTCCACTTATTTGACATTTATAGCAGTATACTGTGGGTTAGGTCGTACTAACAAGTGCGCGTTGGATTGATCTAACATGTTTCGTTTGTAATCTGATTTTTTTTCTTTGGCACACCTTCGAGTGTATGAATAAATAAATGAATAAATAAATAAATAAATAATACATTACCAAATCAGTCCTTTTCCAGACGATCTCAGATCATTTGGAGCATATATTTTGTAAGTTCACATATTCGAATTTTTCTATCACGGACGAATTCCTCGGTCAAAAAATCTATCCCTGAGCATGAAGACATTTTCATATCGTTGCCTTTTCTTTGTTTTTTGCTTTATTTTCTTCATAAATCGTTTTGTTAATTGCGCTACAATCCCAAACTCTTGTGCATGCGTAGTATTCAGCTCCACGTAGGATTTTTACTCTTATCTCACGTTTATCTTTCAGATAGTAACTTTTCGTTGTTTTCATCTTCTCTTAAGTCGGTACGTCAAAGGGGACTTCGTAAGACTTCCAAAAGTCAGAGGAGACATGTTTTCAGAAACCCTAGAAACCGACTCGTGCCGGGCCTGTTCATAGTGTAAAATTATAGGAATTATCATCATAAGCGCCATTGTGAATTTGCTGCTTCACTCCCTCCTCTCCTCCTCCTAAAGAACACAAATAGCTGTGAATGCTGTGCAGTAAAGTTCACACGCTACTTTACTTTTACGACTGTTCAACTTTGTAATTGTTCAATCATTCTCTACAAGTAAATCGATAAACGAGTGATACGGAATAGCCGGCAGTAATTATAAACGGAGCATTATAAAGCACAGATCCTATGATTAAGTCAGCAACTCACATTAGTCTAATCAATTCTTTAATTCTTCAAATATTCTTACGTAACCCTATGTTAATAAGGAGCGATTAGTAATTAGCTCCATACTGTAAATATATTTGTAAGCTGAAACCAGCTTTGCAAAATGGAACCTAAGAATTGGCAGGCATTGGAGCAGGAGAGATGTCAGCAATCAAAAGTGTGTACAGTGTGCAAGTTTGAGACAATACGAGTTTGTCTTTATCAGCTAGGTACAGTCTGTCTCAGTCGGGATCAGGCTGAATTGCTGGTGTAAATTTACGCATTCGCAGCGCTAAGGGATTGCGCTGCCTATGCGCGCTGTTGTAGAAAGCGAGGAGATTGAAGGGGGAGCAGACAAGCAGAGCGTAGGGGGGACGCAAACTCCTAGCAACGCGACTCCCCCCATGCTAATTTTGGCCTGATTGGGTTGGGACAGACTATAATCCAACGTGAGTGTCGTGCATGGGTCATCGCAGCTGCCGCGCTCGGGTGTTGCGCCGCGTTCGCGGGCGTCTCGTCTCCGCCGTTTCCTCACTCGTTCTCTTTCCATTGATCATATTTTCGTAATTTTTTTTTGATGTTTCGCTTCTTATCCCATAGGTTAGCTCATTTAGGATTGGGTCTAGTACTAACCCTGCCTGGATAAGCAGCTTTCATTTGACTGACTGACCGAATGGAGTGGCAGGCATATGCGTTGCAGCCATTAAGAGAGGAAACGAATTTTGCTTTTGCCATTTTCGCTCTTCCTGCCATCTACGTAACTACAAACACTTTCAATCAAACGGAGACATGCATACTAGGGTGGATGACAGGTGTCACTATGATGGATCATATCACCAACGATACCATAAGAGCCACAATGAAAGTCACTCCAGTTGTCAAGAAATTACAAGAGAAGCGACTGCATTGGTACGAACATGTGAGAAGAAAGAGGAACGATCACGTCGCTGGATTGGCAATGTCTGGAAGTCCTCGGAGAAAGACCAAGAGGAAGACCGAAGCTAAGATGGATGGATAAAGTTAACACAGACTTAGGAGCACTTGAATTAACTGAAAATCAAGCTGACGATCTCGAAAGATGGAGGAGACTTACAAGAGTAGAAGAGTAGATGAGTATATGATTAAATATTGTCACAGTTTTGTGTTATGTATAATGTGTATTTAAGTTTTTATCGTTCCTTCAAACATAAATTTCGTAAACGTAACGAAATTAAGAACAAAGTGTAGCAAACCCCGTAAGGGAACATTGCAAGGATAAAAAAAATTAATGTCGGTAGGCTAGTGCAGTAGACGTAGAAGGTTCAGAATTTTACATGAGCTTTTGTTGAGAGGACATACACAAGCATGATGTTCCTCTAGCTATAGATTTTACAACGAATTATCAAATGTACTGAATATTGCATTACTCTGAAATGTGCTCTGCTTCCGTACATACTTGGACCCTCTCTAAATACGTCTTTCCCTGCTTTCAACCTGAAAAGACTCATCCCTGAACGTTGGTAAAAAGATACTTATCTCTGAACGTTGGTAAAAAGCGACAAGCTAGAAGCTAGAAGTGATTTTATGAGGGATAACAGTGCCATGCAAGCATTTGGCCTCTCTGTGCGCTTGCTTGAGCTCAGAGTGGTTTGTAGATGAGAGTATTTTTGGAAAGTAACCTCTCGCGACCGGCCCATCCATGTCTTTTCACCTTGGGTCCTCGAAATGATTGATCCGACCGAACCCAGCATGAGAGTCCTAAACTGCGGCGTAGTAGGAGGAACCAAAGGCATTGTCGCCATATCCGCAGGAGATAATTAAGGGTGCGAGCACTGCGGAGAAGATTTGGCAATGATCCAAAACTATTTGGCGAAAAACTTATGAACTTGTACTAACAAGTCCCCATTTGTCTATGAAAATGTTCGAGAAATAATGGGAACAGTTTTGGATTCCGCTTTTCAAGACCTTCACTAGTATAAAAATAAGAACAAAATTCAAAAACTGATAGTTTCAAAAAGAATTCTTTTACTTGGAAAATCGCTGGAAATTTGGAAGGCAAACTGGCCAACTGGCAAGGCTTGCAACTGAAAAGCAGGGATACGCCTGGGCAAGCGAAAAGATGTTTATTACAGTTGCTCGAGAATTCGGATATAAAATATCAGAAGTAGCCCCAGAAATTCTGAGATTCGATCTGATAGCTTACGGAAATACGATCTGGCAAGGCCCAGCAATTTCAGCTATTTTTGAAATTGTGCTTCTACCATGGTAAGGCAAAAATTGAGGTCATATTCAAATTTTTTATATCAGTGTAAGATTTTCTTAGGAGTTCCAAATCCGCCAAAACTTCCAAACGATGTGCTCGACGTTTGAAATTTGAACATCTGTTAAACATAAACCATTCGATTCCTACGCTGCGTGCACGTAGAACATAAGAAATCTTGTTGGAACTTGCGATTTACTATTGCATGTCAAAGTTTTGAAATTATTTTGGCCTTAAGAAAAGTGCAAAATAATCTTAATTTATTTCCAAAGTGATATGCTATCATAGCCCTTTAGTAGCCCTTTAGTTGCGCGACGATGCGGGTACTTGGTTCTATTGATATCCAATGGTTAATCAAAATCGGTTTTCAAACATTCAAGAACTCTTGATCGACATTCTAGAACTTGAGCAAGAGGCGTTTCTTCAAAGTAAGTTTTCTGGGAAAGTTCTTGGGAATTTGAAATATAATCTTTTTGATTAAGAACTAACATTATTCAGCATCCGTTTACCTCCTAAATGAATGCAAGATGAAACGCCGATTTCAAAGGCTAATCAAAATTGTCTCACTTTCTTTTGAACATTTTCCCAAGCAAAGTTACAAGGGTTTACTTTCTTAGGCTTTTCTCTTGGTTTCTTTACCAAGTTCTCTTGGAACCTTGCCAAATCTTTTCCCAGTGCTCGCGCTCTTAGTTATCTTGCGGACACAGGCGGCTGGGCATTTGATTCCTCTTGCGCGTCCTCCATCCTAAACTATATAGCCAAGTTGGACTCCCTTTTGTGGCGCGCTGAGAAGATATGCAAGCGCTCACCGTGATCCCACCAAAAATCAAATAACAAACTGCAGCGGTGCATAAATATCTGAAACTGCGTTAGCTGTGTAAGGGCCTTCATACCGCGCCGGCAGCCGCCGCTAGCAGCCCGTAGCAGCCCGTAGCAGCCCCCTAATCGCCACTGGCCGCTTTTGTTATAATAGGAGCGCAAAATCATCAGCTTTCATTACGCCGCTGCATCCGCTTTTCACCTTCCACGCTTTTTCCTTCCTATTGCCGCCAGTATGCAGTTTGATCTCGTATGTCATACTTATGCCCACTTATGTTGTCATTATCTTGTTGCCGTACAGGGTGCGCCACAATCATTTGCGCTTGTATTATTAAGCGCCATACGAACATAAGACCGGCTTAGCCAGCGGTCAAGCTTGATAGTGTTTTGTTGGTTCTAAAACATTGCGTCCTAGTTAAAAAAGTAAAATTGCTTGTTTTGCTTTTCGGTAAAAATTCATAATATTTCCCTGACTTTGTCGCGTGTTGCACGCGGGTAGAGGCCCACAAATTTAGTTAGTATGTATCTTTTTAGTGATCGCTTCTCTTAGTTGAAGATTTCGCCATAAAATAGATCTAATCATTGACTTTAAGATCACCAAGGTTCGGAATCTCTAGGAGCATTCCAAACAAAAATTTTGACTATTTAGTAATTTGCGTCACTTGCGTTTTTTCTGTTACGAACATTGCTTTTTGCAATTCTTACTTCTCTAGATAAAGACCGATTCAGGATCTTGGTAGTGTTTTTTGTAGAGTATGCTTACGGCATTCTGTGACATTAAATCCACACCAAATTTCTCATTGCCATTGTTGTGGCATTACTTTGAATATTTTGGCGCAAATAATTTTGGCGCACCCTGTACATAGCATATCGGTGCTCTCTCACTTTTGCAGTCTCTCCTGTCTAACCGACTGTGAGTACGATTATAAACAAGGCAATAAGTAAAATATTGAAGCACGACCATTCTCAAAAAGTAAACAAATAGCACAACTACAGAAACTGAACATATCCAAAGTCAGAGAGAATCACACCATGAAACTTTGACGAACTATGATTCAACTGCAATAAGAGAATTGAGCACCAATAGGATAAACAATTGGCAAGATAGTGACAACAAACGACACAAGTAGGGAACTGCGTACTGGCGGCAGCAGGAAGGAAAAATGGTGGAAGATGAAAAGCGTGGGCAGGTGCACTTTTAAGTGCACACCCAAGGTCTAAGTTACCCAATTCTCTATACCATCTATATCTAGGGCCCAGAAGAAGACCAACTGCGTTGGTCCGGTCTCCCAATGTTGCTTCTAAGCGGAGAAAATCCGCCTGATTTTTCTTTCATTCCGCCCCTTCTCTTTCAGTCCTCGTCCTTCGTAGGAAATCCACGTCGGCGTAAGCTGTAGTTGCCGCTGCAGTTGCTGTTGCAACTGCAACTGCAGTTGCTTTTTGGGGTTCGCCTCCTTCAGACGACGAATCCACGACAGCATACGCTGCAGTTGCAGTTGCAACTACAGGCTGTCATGCAGTTGCAGCTGCTCGCTGGCGTGCCGACGGGATCGAGCAATTCGAAACTCGTCCTCCTTTTGAAGAGGGGGTTCCCGGGAATTGGGGTTTTTTGGGACTTTTGGAGATTTTAATGTCATAACTGTAATCAAGGACACGGAAAGGTACCAGAATGACAAAAACATCGAAGGCTAAATTTTGGGTGTACGCTGCCTTCAAAGTAGCTAGATTTTGATGACTTTGCGCTCTCATGGTAACAAAAGCGGCCAGCGGCGTCTACGGGCTGTTGGCGGCTGCTACGGGTTGCCACGGGCTGCTGGCAGCGGTCGCCAGCGCGGTATGAAGGCAGTCTAACATCAAGAAACTCTTAGGTTGCAGGGATGAAGCGTTAACATCTACTCCTCTGGCCGCTCACGGGTGCAAATTCTTTGGATGAACAATCACAAGTAAACTGCCCTTTACCTAACTACGCTTGTGTGACCTAGCTTTCTACTAATAGTCGTTCCCATATGCAATCAGTAGCCACTTCGCTCCTGCATCAATTGTCATCGGCTTAATTTAATGAGAGTGCTAAAGGCTGTCAGCTGGGCAATACTCGAACCTAAGTCTTGACACTTTGCTCACTCTGTTGTGGAGACGTGAAATAATGTTTTTGGTGCTGTCACTATGTATATGACTTGAAATGATCGTAATCACCGTTAACGTCTTCGGCTGGACTTTTCCAGTAGTACGCAACAATATATCATGCTAGTACATGGAAACCGTTGTTGCAACGATGATATTAAAATTTGAGGGGCCATATCTGCCTTCAAAATTACATCCAACTTTAGTGAGCAGCAAACTTCGCGCACTTTCCACATTATCCATTACTCAAAAAGTAGGTGCGAGAATGACAACGAAGTCACTTTCCGAAGGTTCCGCATTTCCGCGTCTACATCTTCCTACCAAATTTACGGACTTCTCTCAGACGTGGAAACTTATCTAACGAGGGAAGCATACATGGCTACCGTAGTCCTTTCTATGAGACCATGTTACGAGATGTGTCTTGGGTCGCTGATTTACAGTCTGCTTCCTCTTCTAAGCGGAGGTCTGAAATGATTTATGCACGTTTTCTAACAGAAATTGCACTCCACTAAAATTATGGACATCGCTCAAGTCCCTTAATTCGCTTCAATTTTTCAATTTGCAGCAACAATCGCAATTACTTTTGCTTAGGTAACCCGTCTCAGTCGCGTTCACCCTCGAAATTCACATATCCATGATTCAGATTATGCTTTACTTCACAAAAGGTTTGCCGAAACAAGCTCATAACTCGCTTCAGACATCTTAGCAATATCGATGGCAGATTTATAACGATTTATAATCAGCGTTTTAAAACGCCTTTAGATGAGTATACGAACTTCCCGTTCGTATCGTACTTTGCGCTCAAGGATTCATGTGATTCACGGCGATCAAAGCTGTGCGTTTTCTCACAGACAAAGTACTTTGATGGCTTATCGATGATTTTCTCATGCTTGCTTTTAGTATGTTTATATTTGCTCATATATATAAGTGGCTAACACAGTTTAGCGAGCATTGGTTATGTTTTTATGTTTTACATCTCATCAATTGATTAATGCTTTATTGTTTCTTATTTTGGTTACCTCATGTATTATCAATTGTATCTTTCCCACACTTGCCTTACTACCTCACGGAGTCCACAGTTTAGTCAATATCCTTTCACGGACCCCTCACAGCAGTCACGGGATAACATATCGTCTATGCTTGTAGGTTATGCATGGTTACGTAGCCGCTTTATAGTTGTTAGCTGTATTTTTATAATAAAAGTTTAATTGCCAAGTTTGAGGTGTACTCGCTGTGCGTAAGTCCCGCGTGGCAGCCAATCAATCACAGTCCACACACCGCATACACACTGACTCACCGACCGTACAATGAGTGTCTCATACAAATGGTCATGCATTAAGTATCCTTCCCTTGTAAACTATCCTACGCGTTACAAAGTGGGGTTCGGTGCGGAGACTTGATGCAGATTCTATGGTTATTGGACTCAAACAGCATCTTTTAACAACGTGTATTCTTCGAATTATAAACTGTAGTGGTTAGTAGAAAAATTGCAATTGAAAAAGTAAATCATGAGTACTGCAATTGTTAAAAAAACAGTCTGTGGCAAGCTAATCATTGCTGACATATTCTGTGCTCTCTTGTATACTTGCGAAGTTCATGGTAAAAGCGATGTTCGAGATCGATGTCTTCGGAAAACTGCAGCACATCGACGAGCCTCGTTGTTCTGAAAGAAATACCCCTATCACTAAAAGAAACATTTTTGAACAACGAGATCCTTTGAACTTGCGCTATCGATAGCACCTTGATGCTTCCGAATCGCATTTCTTTCTTACTGAACGGTGTTGAGAAGAAGAGTCGCCACTCTTTTTACCCCTGAAGTGCTAAAGTTCCAAAATGCGAGTATAGACACATTTTGCCTGTGTTATCACTTCCATAGAGAATGTTCTTCAGTTTCACCCACAATAGTTTTTTTAGCTGCGTTCAAGAAAGGCTGTCCATCAAAAATTTGAATGTCTCTCGCAAACAACACTCAATGTCATACATCAAAAGCAACTGTTCCCCAATGATGCATTATCCATGATTGATGACGATGTTTGCTGATGTTCTCACATTTTGTTTTACATGACAATAGTGCATTGACAGCGCATAATAAGTGACGATGGGGTAGACAGCAATGCACACGCGCTTTTTTCTTGCACGATACCGGTAGATGTAATAGTGGCCCTCATTTCAACAATCACCTTTTGTAATTACCACAGAAATTTTTCATCAGCATTTCTACAGGCCGAAAAGACTGAAAGCCGGCCTACTAAAATGTAACGTTAAATAAATTCTAAAGGAACATCTTGATTATTATTCGTTCTGCACTGTGATTGCTATTGAACGAGCTTTTGTCCGTAACATGCTCATAACAGCAGCAAACTTGTACACAGGAGCGAAAGAATGCAAGAATCTCAGGGAAGAGCGCTGGGCGTTGCTTCAACGAAAACTACACGCCCAGAAAGGAAGCAGTAAACCACCCATCTCTATTTATAGCCATCAGCACGAACAGAAACTACCTGCCTGTCTTCGTTTCTGACGCAAATTTTGTTGCAGATGCGTTGACATGTGAATTTGAGAGATAATGCCATTTTAGTCGTTATTACATATGACAACATCAGGAAGGGCTAGTAAGTAACACAGGATAATTCGTCTCCGGTAGAGTTTGCTGCTGCATTGAGATCGGTGCGATTCATGAAATCAAATGTATGGAGTGCAATGTGAACAGACAGGGAGACTATGAGTAAGGAAAAAGAAGCCAGCAAGAGTTGGAAATTTACCAAGCGCCTTCGGTAGATTCTTTGCTTAATATAGTGTGCTCATCAAAAAACCCAATGGATTCCGGAGCCCAATGGGTACGCTTAGCCCACAAGATTGATATTCACGAAGCTAGTGGGTTCGCGAACCTCGCAGTGCCTTTTGCGAATATCGATCCAACCCAGTAGCACTGTTTTCGCTTACCCACTGGGTATCGGAACCCACTGGGTTTGTTGATGAATAGGCCACAGGAGTAGGCCTAGTAAGTCTGCTCTTGTAAGGGAAAATCTATCACTACTCCGTCAATTAGAAGATTTGAAAAGAGTCCTGTACATCGGATCTTGCCTGCGGCGCCAGGTTGTAGCAAAAACGATGTCAGGGTCCTCAGGGCGCCTTTTGGATTGGACAAAAACGACACTTCTGCCGGACGACACGCCATGGAGACTGCCTCATGCTCTGCTTATGACGCCAGGACAGTCTCCACAAACGCCGACCTCCACGCTCTTCTCGACGTTGCAGAGCACATCAAGTACCACATCATCGCCCTGAAATAAAGTCCAGGAAGAAGGATGTGCGACAGAGGAGTGATGGGACCCTCATCATTCGCTGTGAAAAGGTTACATCACGAAACGTTAGAGGCTTTGACTTTTTCGTTCACCCATTTATCATCCATCTTGTCATTCGCATGAGATCTCATCACCTCGACTAGCCATCCTATAACTAGATCCACATTAGAAGACCATCGGCATCATGAACCGCTACACACCAACATCAGCAGTTGACGATTCAAAACTAGATGCTTTTTACGAAGACGTGGAGGAGGTCCGCAACGAGAAGTCTTTTTACAAGTTTGTTGTGGGCTTCAACGCGAAAACCGGGATGCCACTAGAAATGGAATATAGGATCGGGAAGTTTGGATGTAGACCGGGATGAAAACCGTCTCGTTGGGCTTCTTTCCACCGCACAACTCTTCCATGGAAATTCCAACTTAGCATCGCCGGTGGACATGGGGATTGCCCAACGGAATGACTCACGCGGAGATCGACCACATTCTCACCAACCAAAGGTGGAGCTTGCTCGATGTCTCAGTAGTTCCATCCTTCTGCAATGGCTCCGATCACAGCCTCCTTCAAGCGAAGATACGATTGAAAGCTGGAAAAGAAAGTCTGTCACAGTACCGCAAGATGCAAGGAATTGTTTGTGACGGTAACGGGCTGGAGGAGCTCCAAGTTGTGACTGGCCCATCGAGGAGGACCCAGCGTACTACGACTGGCTTCTGGAAGGATTGCGAGCCTGCGGAAAGTGCGCCTCAGTGACTTCTGAGAGGAACTCGGAACGTATTTCGAAGACCACCAAAGAACTGCTCGAAGGAAGAAGATTTTTGAGGCAGGATCCGAATGCAACCCATCTCGAGCGACTGATAGCCAACGCCAGTTGCAGTACAGCTTTGCAGGAAGATCCCAAGAAATACAGGCACTCCAAGATACTGAAAGCAGTCGAAGGAAGACAAAGTTTCAAGAAGTGTTGAAGTGACCTTTGTGAATATCACGTGCTGACTGCACTATCAAACGAGGACGAGACTCCTACTTTTCCCGATTGGAATCTATCGCAAAGAACTTCTATACCAACCTATTTCGCTCATCAACGCCCGTGTCGATGACCGTTGTTCCCACTGGAGAAGTACCACCACGAATTCTATCTGCCGAAGTGCGCACGGCGATTCAGACCATGAGGACGTCCACGGCCCCAAGACCAGACCATCTTTCCGTCGAATTTCTGCGAGCCGGAGGACAACGTCTACACGAGATTCTCGCGTCGCACCTGACATCTTGCCGTCAGAAGGAGAGCATTCCCGACCAGTGGAGAACGTCAAGAACCGTCTTTCAACCGTTTCCTTTAAGAAGGTGAAGGGGAGGCTCTTCGGAACTTCCGTCACATATGCCCGCTGAGTGTGCTGTACAAGCTTTTTACAAAAATTATCTTCGTTTGCATGTTTAGGACACTGGATGAAGCCCAATCCCAAGAACAAACTGGATTTCGCAAAGGATTCAGCTGCATGGACCCACATCCAGACGGGACGGTTATAGAAGTCTGCCGGGAGTACCGACTGCCTCTTGTCTTAATCTTCGTCGACTACGAGAAAGCCATTGACAGCGTCGAAACCAACGCCATCCTGTCAGCGCTAGTCGATCAAGGAGTGGACCCAGCTTACGTGAGTACGTTAGCCGACTGCTACAAGGACTGTACTACGACGATGCAGCTGTTCCATCGCCCCCTTACCATTCTATTTGGGAAGGGGGTCCGACAAGGCGACACAATCTCGCCGAAGCTGTTCACCGCGGCCTTGCAGTGGGTGATGGAGTCACTGGACTGAGACGAGCGAGGCATACGAGATGATAGGAGACTCCTGTCGGACCTTCGTTTTGCGGACGACATCGTTCTCTTCTCGAGCAGTATTCCTGAAGCGGAAACGATGCTGAAGGAACTGAACGAAGTAGGGAAGAAGATTGGATTGCGAATAAATCAGAAAACGTAGTTCATGAAGAAGCCCTTTGCGATGATGCAAAAATGGAATTGGCCCATAGAGCGCTCGAGCGCAGTCTTCTGAAGATGACCCGACGCAAGCAACATTTAGTCGGACTTCGCAGTACAGATATGAGAAGAATGTCCCGTCTTCGTGACCCGGCGAAAGTGAAACATCGATGGGCCGGTCACATCATGAGAAGAACAGACGATAGATGGACACTAAGAGCATCTGGGTGGATTCTTCGCGAAGTCAGACGTCCCCGAGGAGTCCACCGACGAGATGGACAAGCGTGTTCGTGGGACGGATGGACCAGCTGGGAAATCAGCTGGATATGATTTCTGCATCTGTAACTCGTGGACGCAGCCACCGACATCAACCAAGAAGATCTTGGATGTCCGAAGCGAGAGACATGGGTCGATGGAAACTTTTGTGCTGAGGCCCGCACGCCACGTAAAGACGGGCCATCTAATAATAAGTATCTAAGTAAGTAATTTTATGTTTTATACGTGATCAAAAAGCCGCGGTTTTTCTCAGATAAATAATTATTACGGACTTGATAAACGTGCCCTATGTAAGCTAAACAGGTACAATATAGCCAAAGGTTTACTCCATAAGTTACCAGCGCTCTTTAGAAATGCAGGATAAAAGTTTTCAAAATTCAATAAAAGTTTGGCGTTTCTTTTCAGCTGCTCAAAAAACCATGGCAACATCGCAAAAACAGGGTAGGTTAGAGAGCAAATATAGCTGTAAGAAAGAGGATAAAACCTCAATCAAATGGTACGTAAACCGTCCATTGATTGATGTCCTGTGAGTTTCAGTGAGCGATGAAAGGAAGCGACAAAACTTTCGGGACAACCTAATATATAAACCTAAATGCCATGTTCCGTTCACAGATTCCCTCAATGAATGATGGAGAAAATATCATGAAGTGTTAGTTTGTATTGATGCACTAGGCACTGCATTCCTTCCTCTTGATTTTTCAGGGATTTCGCGAAGTAAAGCTAGCTACTTTATTCACACTCTTAATACAAAGACTACGTCCTACTTTGAGCATTGAAAACGCTGTTGACAGATTAGCTTTCTTTATTTTGTTCTGATGTGTACAGTGCTACTAAATATATCATGAAAATAGGTAATCAATACTTTAGGTTGATGCATAATTCTTGCACCAGAATTCTCAGAATTCCGGTACCTCGAGCTTCAAAATTTTTTGATTGAATACACAGTAGAGAAAAAAAGCTTGCGCTTTCCGCAGGTGCTTATGTCAAAATTTCTCGTTGGAAACGGCAACAATACAATCTGTTCAAAAGAAATACTTAAAAAGTGAATTTCAAATTCCCTGAAAGTGCTAAAACGTCTACCAAGATTTGATTCCATTTTTGAACTATGTGATCTATTCTTTTCAACTCATAAAATTGGAAGTGATTAGATGTTTCTGTAAAAAACTATGAATTTCCATTTTATTAATTTTGGCTCATTGATTTAATTTAAACTTGATTTTTCAAAATAAGATACTACCTTTGATGTACATAACAAAGAGCATGCTGCGTAAATGAAATAGTTTGTTCGAACATTCTCAAACAAAAATTTCTGTTTTTGGTGCAGGATTTGTGCATCAACCTAATTCAGGCTGAACTGAAAGTTCTATCGCACCACATTGAAAAAATCGTAACTTCCTCCTGTCACTACTTGAATGAAATGCATATTGGAAAGAGGAGTCATGTACTTTCTACAGTATCTTGGATACTCTTGAATAAGCTTTGCTCGCGGATAAAATTGGAAAAAGACATTACCACTTTTCCGGTGTTTGAGGCAAGCCGTTTAAAAATGGAAAACTCTGCCATAAAATGCGAAAAGTCAGCGTCTTGAGTTTTTTGACTCTCTTTTTAAGTGAGCAAAGTTTGTGCTGATGGATCTTCTTTGAAAAAATATGATACTTGAGAAAGAAATGCCAAAAAATCAATGTTCCTAAAAGATTCTTTTGGCAGTTTCTTCTAAAATCATAACTTTTCAAAGAAAAGGTTGACCAGCACAAACTTTGCTCAGTCAGAAAGAGGAAGTCAGAAAACTTATTACGCCGACTTTTTCGAATCTTACAGCAGGGTTTTTCTATTTTTAAACGGCTTTCCTCAAATCCGAAACTCGGGAATGTCCTTTTTCCAATTTTATCTGCGCGAAAAGGTTATTCAAGAGTATTCAGAGTACTGTAGAAAGTACATAAGTTTCTTGCAATTGAAATCAACTTCACGCGAGTCGCTTGACGTGAGGAGCTTACGATTTCTCAAAAATGGTGTCACGGAACTTTTATTTCAACCTAATATATCCTCTCTTCTTTAATACAACTAAGTTCATTTTCGGCCATCTTTAGGCTGTTAATATTTCAAAGACACCCACCTGACCACGTTCTTCTCAATGAGTGGGACCTCTTCCAATCTACTTGCACTCCTGTCCTCAAGATCTTGTTCGTCGGCAAATTTTAGGATCTCCATGGTTTGTGGTTGGAAAGCAATCGTATCACGGCGTTCTGCTATGACTACAGGTTTGGGAGCTTCCTCGTTCATGTACTAAATAGTAAAGTTTTTTCAAAAGATTGGCTGAACCGTTGTGTTGCTCGATTTTAGTCATTAAATAAAGATGGGAACTATTTCGATTTTTTAATGCAATTTTCATTGCTTCTTTATCATTTTCTAGCTCCGGTAAATTTTAGGAAAAACGAACAGCAGAAATAAGCCTTCATTCACCTGTAATATATCCAGAGAAGTGATGCGTTCTTTTTCGGGGTAACGTCGCCGTATTTCTTCGATGATCTTGAGCAGCTCTTTGACTTCAACCTTAAATTTCAAGGATCAAAAATTACTCAAATTCAAAAGTATAAAAATTAACCTCCATCTGTTCCTTTTTGTGTCTACGTTTGAATTTGATTTTGCGTCCGAAGTAGTGGATCTTGAGGAAGATGTCCTTCAGCTCAAGTGCGGCTAGCTCGGCACACATTGACAGTACAGCAACTCCTTAAGAAGTACCACCACGATAGTTCCACAGTTTGCCTTGACTTATTATTCAAAAATTTGTATTTTAAAAGTTTTTGTGGCTTCTTTTACTACTTGTATACCATTGCATAAGCCTTGCCGGAGCAAGAAATATGGATCATTATTACCCACACCGAAATTTTTCCGAGTGACCAATCACAGTCTATTAATACGGTAGAAGGTAGGCTTGGGCTAAATTTGGGATGAGTTTCTTGCCTACATATAGACCATAAGAGGCTGCTACTTGGGCAATGACGGAGTCTCCAGCTTCCATTACTTTTAAAATTACAGGTGCCCAGGTATCGCAACGTACTACATTCTGATTTTCCAAGCATCTTTGATTTGCGTGATTATTTATTTTTGTACACTATTCTAAGTAAAAAACTCATGCATAAACGCTCGGTTGAAAGTCCTAACAAATCTTATATATAAAGCTGAATGTCTGTTTGTATGTATGTCTGTATGTCTGTATGTATGTCTGTATGTCCGCATGTACGTATGTTCCGAATAGAAATTTTTATTTCTGAACCGATCCGGACCAAACTTGGCACACATACACTTCGGGCCCCGGCGGGTGTCACAGTCCGAGAACTACTGTTTAAAACCTTTGTTTCTATTGAGGGAATTTTTTTATAAATTACTTACCGAACGTGACGAAAACAAAGATGTAGATCAGTGTAAGCACATGGTTCAGATCGCTTGGCATTTCGCTCATAGTAAGATTGGCAACCAAGTTGAAAGTGACAAAGAATGCTTCCAGGAACGTTGCTTTACCACCTAAAGAAGAAAAATTTTATATGGGATTCGATAATTTTAGCTCTCAACAGAATGTTGAACTTACCTGCAGCGATGTATGTGACTCCACCCATCATGCAGAATACTAAAAGAATGCTTGCATTTATGCTAAGCGGCAAACGCTTGGCATTTGGTGGTTTCTCTTCTATTGACTCTTCCTCTGCACCTTCAACTCTGTCTTCCATTTCGTGTTCTTCCACTGATGGAGGTTTCGACCTTTGCCGACTTGAGAAAAAATTAAAATCGTCAGATGTTTATATTAGGTTGGTCCGAAAGTTCTTGCGCATCATTTTCAAAAATTCATAACTTCCTTGACACTCGATGGATTTCGTTGGGATTAAATGTAATCGAAAGAGGAATCCATGCTCTTTACAGCCGTACCTCTATCATGAATTACTCTGAAAAACTTCAAGAGTTAGAAGCAGTTGAATAAAATCATTCAAGATTGGCATTTTTCGAGCTGGGTCACGAAAAATTCTGAAAGTATCTTTATTTGATAGAGAAAATTATGCTCATTACAATGGTACCTTTTTCATGAATTAAAACGAAAAAGATCGAGAGTTAGGAGCAAATAAACAAAATTTTTTCAGTTTTGCAATTTTTGAGCATGCTCAAAAAAGCCTTAAAACGTCACAGAAAAGGCGGGAAAGTCATGAATATGGGTTTTGTGACATTCTCTTTCTAGATGAGCAAAAATCGTGCCAATCAGGAGCAATTTTGTTTTTCGTGCTTTTTTCGGATTTTCGTGCCTGCGTTTTTCACGAAAATCAAAATTGCTCTCGATTAGCACGATTTTCACTCAGCTAGAAAGAGAAGGTCATAAAACCCATGTTCATGACTTTCCCGCCTTTTCTGTGACGTTTTTAGGCTTTTTTGAGCATGCTCAAAAACTGCAAAACTGAAGAAATTCTGTTTATTTGCTCCTAACTCTCGATCTTTTTCGTTTTAATTCATGAAAAAGGTACCATTGTAATGAGCATAATTTTCTCTATCAAATAAAAATACTTTCAGAATTTTTCGTGACCCAGCTCGAAAAATGCCAATCTTGAATGATTTTATTCAACTGCTTCTAACTCTTGAAGTTTTTCAGAGTAATTCATGATGGAGGTACGGCTGTAAAGAGCATAGATTCCTCTTTCGATTACATGTAATCCCAACGAAATCCATCGAGTGTCAAGGAAGTTATGAATTTTTGAAAATGATGCGCAAGAACTTTCGGACCAACCTAATAAATTTGAGTTTGCGTTGACTCACGATTTCTTCTTCTTCAGTACCGTAGCCGTTCTGGCGGAAATCTTCGTGCGACATTTCAGTGATGAAAGCATGGCTTGATACTGTATAATTTTGATTGTCATTCCTAGTACTTTGTTAAAACTTGCTTTTGTTACCCTACCTTGGAGTACAGTTCAAGCACAATGTGAGAAAGGAATCGCCCAATGTCCACTGCAGCCAACACCATAATAGGAATTCCTATCAATCCGTAGATAATAGCGAGAAGTTGGCCGAACGGAGTTACAGGTACCGCGTAAGCATAGCCGGTGGTTGTCTGAAGAAAAATACATCTTTGTAAAATCTGCATTTCACCTGAGAAGCTTCCATTCAGTATTTGGCCAGCACTTCTTTGGAAATAGCTTCTACAGTGAATTGCTAAAAAAGCATGGTTTTGGGTTTCGCTCGAAAATTACTGCGACGCAGACTCCACCAAATGGTCGACATTCCCATTCTAATGGGCGGCGCTTAAATGGGAGAGGGGGAGGAGGAAAGGGGTGGGGGAGACTCTTTTTCATACTCTTCGCCGCTTCCATACATATAAGCATTTTGCTAATCATCTACCTACTTTTTTCGGGTAAGTTACTAGACTGCTGAAAAGCTGTAGGACTAAGGGTATACGTGAATCTCGATTACTTGCATATTATTTTGCTAAATATAGCAATGTAAGGAGTCGTTGCAGTTAGAAAATTTAGTAAGAGTTTGCTCAAAGCTCTGCATTGACAGGTTTTCCCTTGAGTAGATTGTATTGTATATCATCGGCTTCCAGATTCGTGTGGAGGTGGAGTCTTGCCAACTCACTGCGTGACGGTTTTGCTAGCGAGAGAGTACGGAAAGCAATGCTATGACGTGGAGGTTTAGTAAGTTTACTTGTGTTATTAGGGTGTTATCACCTCCATACGAATCTGGGAGCCGATCATAACTTATAGATTCGTTCAGTCAAGAATATTTATATTTTCCAGCAGCCCAGGAAATTTGATTTCGGCAGGGCAGGTGAGAAGGACGGACAAAACGGACATTTTAAATGTAGGGGAGCGGCGTGAGCCACATTCTACAAGAAGAATCCACATAAATTTCAGATACAATACCGCTCACGTTTTTTGCTGAGACGTTGTTTCATAAATTTTATCATTCATTCTAAAACTAGGAGACGCGAGGCCGTTTTGCACACATCGTCTAAACAAGCTTATCTCGTACTTAGCAGGTTTATACTTGTCATTTACCTCGTCCACGTTTATTCACTCTTTGGAAACAGGGAAGAACAAACTCAAACATGTTATGACAATGTCCGCAATGCGGTCACGCGTCTCCTAGTCGTAGAATAGATGATACTTGCTTTTATTCACAATTAGAACAAATCATGTGCACAAGTTTGTAAAGTGCATTTTTGAAAATTATTGCGATCTATGATTCAAAAGGGGTTGAAGGGGGGGGGGGGGAAGCACACTGCAGTACAAAATCTGCCGTTTGCATTATCTGCGTGGTATTTGCATCAAAATGTTATACTTTCATCGAATCGAAGGTTGGTCATATGTATTGTGATTCTAATCTAATTTTAGTGTTATGTTTTAATCAATCAGAAATTGTGAGACAAGTGCAGCAGAAAATCTCAAAGGGAGATTGTTCTGATATATTGATCAGCGTGCGCATTTACTCCATAAATAGCAATGAATCTCATTGAGAAGAAATAGATTTCAAATGGTTATTCCTAAATCCCCATGCTATGTTTGTATCTTCTTTGCATACGTTTAGAATGTCTCATCGTCTACAATGACGAGATTCTAGCACCTACAAGCGCAAGGTTGCAATATCCTACGGCCGAATGGTCTAGTGGTATGATTCTCGCTTTGGGTGCGAGAGGTCCCGGTTTCGATCACCGGCTCGGCCCTATCTTTTGCATCGCTCAACAAGAATAAAGAAGAAGGAAGAAAACTTACCAAAATGCTGAGAGCATAGAGGAAAGCACTGCTTCTACTCCAGCGTGGAGGCAAAGATTCTTCGGAAGGCATACCGTCCTCTAGATGGAAAGGACGTCCTTCGTGAAGTGAGGAAAGTCTTGAAAATTTCATCGTTAACAGAGTCTGAAATTCTCAGTGCCTGATCAAAGGCCGACATCTCACTCTGCAAGCTGCTCAAAAATTCTTCCTTTGTATTGCTCGTAGTTGTCTTTTGGGGCCAATTCTCTCAGAGCAGCGTCGATCATACTGTAGTCCTGCAATGTACCAATTAAACTTGGGTAAATTCGAAATTTTTCATCGAATGGATGAGTACCAAATAAATTCGAAAATGAAAAATCCCGAATAAATGAATAAGTTTGAGATTTAAAAATTCTCGAATGCATGAATTCCGAATAAAATAGGAAAATCAGAAATATCGAATGAATGAATATCGATTATATTCGAGCATTGGGAGTCGAATTTTGAATAAATATTCGATCGATTTGTTGAATTACTAGAGCAACCATATCCAAAATTTGCTGACATATTCGGCTGAAGCCGATCCATTCATGATCAGCACCCTCATATTCCCTATGACTCCTAGCACAAGATTTTCCAAAAATCGCTGAAACCGATAAAATAGTTTTTATTTTTAATCAGCACCCTCATTTACCCCCTTTTACCAACTCTCCGCCCCGTAGCTCAAAGTTTTCCAAAAATTGATGAAAGCATTAAAACAAATTTTTCTCCATAAGCAGCGCCCTCAGCCCGGTAGCCTTTAAAATCGATGAAGTTGGTTGGTTAGTTTATATCAGTAAAAAGTCATGTTTTACTTCCCATTATCTACTAAACAAAACTCTATTGCGGTTATATAATGAAACCCATCAACCTTTTAATCCTTCACTATAGCTGCGAGATCCTTTACTAAAAATACAAAAATTTGGGAAAAACTCCAAGGTAAACAATAGAGGCACTTGTGCAACATTGGTTTTACAAGCAGGAGTGCTCATTAGTGTGAAAATTTGTGTATCAAAAGCTGAGCGATGCAAAGGAAGAGAAACCGACTTGTCAGCACCCTTCCAATATATGAACTTGGAGCATGAGTTTGAATTTCATAGCTATTTATTGATTTGGTGTCCAAAGCAGTGCGAACTATCTCATTGATCGAGAAAGCATCAATTGAAATCCACATAAGATTTTTTTACTGTCAAGCAATCGGAAGAATGCGACCCTCCATACAGTTCAAAGGTCATAATGGTTGCAAAAGATGCATTACCGAGTTTTGCGAAAAAAAAAACGAGGACGAAGTGAGCTTGATACTCAGCAGTTGTCTCCAACAAACTCGAATAATTTGAACACGGATTTCATTCGAATACGAATGCTAATTGAACATTCGAATAAAGCATTCGAATAAAATCTATTCGAAACCCCGTTTTTTGATTAATCGCGTTTTCGAATTTTGTTCGAAACCCTTTTTTTGATTATTTGAGTTTCGAATATTATTCGAAAATGGAGAAACTCCGAGTATCGAATTTCGAATGCGAATATATTCGAATGTTTTATTCGAATGATCGAAATTCTATTCGATTCCGACCCAGGTGTAGTACCAAGTAACCCAACTATGCATTCATGAATGCGAATAGCGAAGGTTTTTAATTCCTTCCTCTGAATTGATATATCTCACAGAGAAAAACCAGGCTTTTCACAAAGAAAATTATTTTTGACACAATGTGGAATTGAACTATATCAAGCGAGAAATCTGCTAGGAAAAACTCCACCTTTATGGCTACGAAAAGATCGTGTTTATCCTGTGTCTTTACAGGAAAATGTCTCGAGAGCTTTTGATTTCCTGCTTCTATCCAAACAAAATCACTGATTGTATGCTGACACTACATACACTCTGTGTCAAGCATGCGCCCTTTTGCACAGAAACAGCCCCCGCGACGCCACGGCTTACGTGCGTTCTCCAAGCGCAATTCGAATGATCAAGTCATACTCGCGCGAACGTAGCGCAAAGCTCTGGCATGGCGATTCGATGTGAGAAGGAGTACACGATTGACACAGACTGTTTATTTTAATGAAAAACATATGACACAAGTTAACGCTCACCATACAAATTCCTCAAAATTCTTGCTGTAAGACTTGTGTTCCTACCTAATCTGCCGCCTATTAGATATTTTTAGATGTTAAAAATAATAAACTGCTTACATGCTTGATTCGTTCTAACTTCTCATGTTGAATCTTCTCATCTGCTTCATATTCTAGCCAGTGAAAGGCTGCTGCTCCAACCATCAAATAAACGAAGAGTGAAAGGTATAACCCGGCATGCGGAAGTGCCATTTTGGCGCGCTGAATCATAATTCGAGTAGGAAAGGAGATATGAGCGAGAAACTCACCTTTTGCCATGTAAGAGCCGTTGGCTCTTCATTCTCTTCGATTTCTTCATTTTCTTCCATGTAGAGGAGTGCTAGCGATGCAGTAGGGAAGATGCTTTGCCAATGCTAGGCGGCCCGGGGACGCAGCTGACCACATGGGCCCCCTCATTATTATAAGCACTGACTAAAAAGATTAGTTCGTAGCAAATGTGCAGAATTTCATCGGTAGCATTATTTCACATTATTCCAGGGAGAAACAAACAATTTGATATATTCAAGCACAAATTCAACATGATTTGCTGATGGAAGTTTGAAACCACTTGGTTTAGATTTTCTTTGATTTCCAGTTATAGACAAAGGAGCAGTCCGAGCAGTGAAAGCTTACAATATGCCGTTCATATAAACACAAACTCCTTTTCTAAATAAATCGAGCTGGTTTTGTTCTCCTATCATACTCAGGGTATCATTCAATAAAGCGAAGCAAGCTCTTCAAAATGACCGCCAAACTCCGCCTAAGCCGAAATCCAAGTAAAGTCTGCAGGCATAATCGAAAAAATGTTTTCATTTGTAAATTTTTCGCAAAAAAAAATGTTACGAACCTCCAAGTTGGTCATCTTACAGTTAACAAATAGTGATTTTTGAATATGCCTTTAATGGATTTTTTCCAAGCATAGAAAGCGAGGAAAAAGGTGTAGATTGACAAACTCCATCCCGGCCTCCCACGCAAAACGGCAAACTCTTCCCCAGCCTCACACATATATTAGGTTGGCGCGAAAGTTCTTGCGTAATTCAAACAAAATTCAATAACTTTTCAAGGACTAAACCTAAATTCACAGTTTTGTATGCTAAAAATATTAGAAGTTTTACGTTCCATGATGGAACTTCACGCACAACATTTCATGAGCTAGCCATCGAGAACGAAGCTCTCAAATGCGGGGCTTCAAATTTTGCGATTTTGAGTTTGGTGGCAGAAAATCGCAGAGGGCCGCTAGCTAGCCGAAAAAAATCTGTAGAATTTACTTACACAGCAAAAGTCCATACGTTATTTTAGCAGGCTTCGATCGCGCATGGAAATGCGAAAACAAAAAATTTGTGAAATTTCTCATTTTATAGGACAAATCCCCTTATCGCTCTAAATTTTCCACAGAAACACAGTCTGCAACCAGAAATTAGACATAGTGCCTATTTTGAGCCTTGCAACGTTTTCTCGATTGTAAATAAGTGTTTTCGCCGGAAAACTGGACATGTGGGGATTTTTTCCGCAAAATGACATATTCCACGAATTTTTTGTTTTTGCTTCACCGTGCAAGATCAAAGCCTTCCAAAGTAACATATGGACTTATGTTGTGTAAATAAATCCTACAGATTTTTTTCAGCTAGCTAGCGGCACTCTGCGATTTTCTGGTACCAAACTCAAAATCTCAAAACTTGAAGCCCCATATTCGAGAGCTTCGTTCTTTATGTCCAGCTCACGGAATCTTATGCTTAAACATCCATCCTGAAGCGTAAGGCTTCTAATATTTTTAGCATACAAGGTTGTGAATTTAGGTTGAGTCTTTGAAAAGTTATTGAATTTTGTTTGAATTACGCAAGAACTTTCGTGCCAACCTAATATCATGTATACCACAAGCCTTGGTAAGTATAACCTCAAAGTTGTACATCTATATGCACCACTAATCGGGAAATACAAATTCAAGGCTAAAAAGGCGAAAAAAGTGAAGTTTTTTGCAATTCGGACAATCTTGATTTCTCGATTTTGATCCTAAAAAATACATCATATACATTTTCGGGTGCTCTGTGTGTCTAGTGTATGACCAAGTTGTAGGTTCATAGGAGTTTGCTGGAAGGAGATCCGATCTTTAGTGGGTAGGGGAACGAAAGCCGCCACTTTGAGCCGCCTTTCGCGGCCAACTGGTCTTTTCTCAGCGTTGTTGCATGTCGTTCCGACCAGCAGTCCGCGAAGGCGGCCCAAACTGGCGGCTTTCGTTCCCCCACCCATCTTTAGTTAGCTGGAAAATTCCCATTTTTGGCTCTAAAATCTACCTGATTTGTGGCTTAAACGGATCTTTAGCGCTCATTTTGTAAAGCTTGCTTCTCTCAATCGAATGGGGTAGGGGAACGAAAGCCTTTGAGTCGCCAACACGCAAGCACCATATTCAATTCAGTGGGAGTCTTTGGGCGAAGGGAACACAATATCCGCAATGCGAGTATCATACAAGCTCACGGTGGAATTTTGATGAAATATGCAATCTTTACATTTTGGGCAAAATTCATGAGGATGTGTTTCGTAGACTCGTAACTCGGCGATTTCTGTAGAATGGAGTCTGAGGCATACACCATTCGATAGCACAGTTCCCACTGAACTTAATCTCTAAACGCAAGCGGGCAAGTTCTCTGACAGATACGCGAGAAGTGCGGGCAAAGTTACGCACTTTCGTGACTCCGTTACGGTTCCCTCACCATATTTATGCAGAAAGACCATGTATTACACAAAGACCACGATTTTCGTAAAGAGTGTGTCCGAAATCCTCTATAAGCGAAGTTTCCTTACAATTTAAGAGCATGAACATTTTAACCAAATCCATCGGCCAGCTTCAGAGCGTAAAACGAGAAAATGAAATTACCCGAACATCTCGAAAAACTTGCTCATGAGGGTTATCCGACTTGCTGATTACGAAAATCACATCTGCTTAGCAAGAGAGCTTCATATTTTAGAGTTACGGTGAGAAAAATTTAGAACGACATTATTTTTCCAGAATTTACCAGCCCTTCTATCTCCTTTGAAAAGAAGTGTGCGGCTAGTTCTTAGCGCCCCATACTCTACAGAAGAAGTACTATCGAAGATTTCTTTCTGAATCTACTGGGCGCAATACGCGCTGCATTACACCTTTGCAAAGAGACGTCCGCAGAAAGTTTCAAGAATACTGAAATCGAGATATCAAGGACACTGCATACCGAAAGATTCGCCTTGATGAGCTGAGCACAATGCTTTTTCGGGTTCAGAAAATTTCCACTCCAAAGAAAGTTACGGCGTAAAAAGATTGCCACAACCTTGCCAATTGAATCACACCAACAACCACCACACGAACGACACGCGTTTGTTGCCAATTACCTCAAACTTAGGTAATTAAACCGTCATTCTGCTTGAAATACACACACACACATAAACAACGAAGCATCAACATGAAAAAGTGACAAAATCACTAACAATCAGTTGGAACTATGACGACGATAAGTCAAACCAAAATAATATCTTGGTTATCTTGTGGAATTTGGACTACTTGTAAGAAATGTTCAAAAGGAGAAAACTTGAGATAGGAATATTTTCAGTGTGCTATCCTACGTACAAGGAATGAGCGAATGAAAAGGCAACACAAGCAATAAGTATAATTGGTGGAAAATGCATGATTAACAATGACTAAGTATATATAGAGGTTCGCTTACTGGCACCATCATTCCTTCTGCAACTCCAATCATTTTTGTCTGTAGTCCGAGATCTTTTTATCGAGTTGAATGTCGCATCTGGCATCGTAGATTCATTCCTTGGCATTCCGCATAGCCTTTTTACTTAGCAAGCATTCGAAACATTGGTTGATTGCAATGCGATCCGCGAAACAAACGGTCTTAGTTGGTGTTAAGGGGTCATCGTGTGCAACTCTTATGCATGATATTGCTCGATGGCATCGCGATCCGCGATACGGCGAGTAGAATCTGGAAACGAGTGATTTTTTCAGAAATTACCAGCGCTTCTTTCTCTTTTGGAAAGAACTCTGCGGCAGCTTTCTAGCGCACTATAATGTACAAGAAGAGCACTATCGAATGGTACGTACTGGAATCTTTTATGTTGGATAGGCGCTGCGTTACATACTTGCGAAGGACCTCCTCAGAAAAATTTGAGAAAACTGGAAACGAGATATAGATGACATTAAGCATGTTGAAAGATTCGCCTTGACGAGCTGAACACAATGCTGCTTTCGGATTTAGAATATATTCATTCCGAAGGAAGTTATGGCGCTGCATAGTTGCGATATTCCGGAATCACGAAATTTCTGGAATTTCGCGGAATTCCCGTTTGTGGGTGGTACTGTACATTGCACAGCACGGCATTCCACGATATGTGCTTCTCATGCGATTTCCAACCATTCCCCTTTGTCTTTCTGCATTTTGGGACCCGTCATGCTTCGCCGAGAAAAGCCCAGTTTTACACATATCCGTGCAGAATGAGCTCTTAAATTATACCCACCCTATTTCTGCACTGCTCAACAAATGTGTAGGTAGCCTCTGGAAGCAGCACACTGAATGATCCATTTACACTGAAATTCCAAGAAAAAACCTATATCCCACAACTAGGCACATCTGTATACTGGAAGATGCGCCTCGCCGAGCTGAGTTGAATGGTACTCTTATATATAGAATTCGTAAATTTTGAATCAAGATAAGGTCTTTTTTTTTGTAAAAAAGTTGGGCATTGCGCGACAAAGTTAGGCGGCAAATGCCGCTTTTCCGCCTAACTTTGTCGCGCGACGCGGCGCTTGCCACCTAACTGCGGCGCCGCGTGAGTTAGGCGCCGCCGCCAATTTTTTTCACAAATTACGGGTGGTATTGTAAATATAATTCTAAAAAGCTTACAAGTCCCAAATTCTACTTGACCTCTCTTTCTACTGTTAAGTCTGGATCTCGACTGATCTATGTGACAATCTCCCAACACGTTTGCATTGACGTCATTCTATGCAGGAGCGAACTGTTGAAGTAAATACAATATATTGAAATTCAGCTTTAGATTGGCTCAAAAGTCCTGCAGCAGCTTTTCTAAAGGTAGCCAACGTTGTCTCACGCAATTGCTGCTTTTAGCTTTGACGGAAGAGGAAGCTAAAGAATCATACTTCCTGCACCTAGAACTTGATGATTACAGCTGATTGAAAGGTGACAGAGATCCAGGCTGACGAAAACGATTACGCGAACATTTTCCCTGTCGAACAAAAGTGCCGAAAAGCTAGGCTCATTTATTTTATTAACGCCGAAAATACGGACTATCCCAAAAGAATGCACTCTATGGCCCCGGACAGACATCACGCGATTTG